ATGCTCCTGGGGTAACACAAGAAGGCATTTTATCAGCTGCGATGGTGCGAAATATCACGCGAGGGCTTGATTTGCAGTCTTGCGTGGTTGTGTAGTGTGATGACAAATGTGTTGTTTTCTCTCTGACAGCTCTTTCTATTTTCCTTCTATCCTCTTCATTCTCTTCTATCACCTCTCTTTCCCTCTTCTATCTACTCATTCCTTCCATCTCTAGCTGCTTGTCCCTTTGTTCCCCTTTCTTTTTTCCCCTCTCTCTTGTTTTACTTCGACTTGTTATTTTTCTGACTCTGTTCTCTCTCTCTCCTCTCGTTCTCCCTCCCCCGTTCAGTACATCTCTTCTCCGTCTTGCACCCTCTCCTATGTGCACATTCTATGAATGGATATTGTGACCACGCCACGTATGTCCATACGATCACTTGTAATTTGAATTGATCGGTGCACTTTGCTATATTACAACATTATTGGATGCTTGAATAGGGTACTCGTTTCTCTGAAGATTAGCCTTGGTTCCAAGCTCACCTTGTGTATTGGCTTGCGTTTTGATGTTTACATGAAAATGCCAACCAAGCGGGGTGAGGATGTCATTTAATGTACATACACAGTACTATTTACAGAAATCAGTTCCATTAGATAGTACCCCAAAAGCCTTGAATGAGGCCAGGTCATATTGATACCTTGGAGGTATTTTTTTATTGCTTTCTAGCCGTCCTGTCTTCATAATGTAGTAGCGGATTACAAACTACAATACTTGCCTGGCTTTCATCTTTCCACTTTCCCTCTCCAATTCACAAATATACTCTACCTTTTGATTTATTGAGAGGGAAGAATGATATCACATATGAGCAGAATCGTTACACAAATACATTGTGCCTTGAGCCAAGTCTAAGTCTTCTAGACAGCTAAAGTAAAGAGCTTGATTTGGGGGGGGGGGGGGTTCTGACCCTGAACTACATGCATTTTCCTGCGAATGTTACCAACTAAGGCCAGTTTTCAGTGGTATCAGAGGAGGCTCCCACTAATATTTAGGAGGGGGTCTCATTTGAAATGTATAGGGTGTGTCTGTAAAAGACCCCTTGGGTTAAGTTTGAAATTCTTGGGGTCCAGAGTTTGAATTTAGGTCCTTTTGGGGGCCCAGTGGTCCTGGGTGCCAGTTAGTGTTGAGCCATTTGTGACGGGGTATCCAGGGATATGTAAATACATGTAGGAATAATGTAAATTTAGGAAATTATTAGTTGACTCTAGACATAGAGCTTTTATTTAAGCGAATGAGTCATACTCAGTGTGGCAGTTGAAATGCAGCTAGATTTAGGTTATGCACAGTGTACATACATGTAGGGCCTAAGGGACCCCATCCCAGTTTATTACAGTTACAAAGTAAAAACTGATATCATTTGCCCCATTCAGGAAGTAGAATGATGAGCTGACTAATTCCCCATCTTCATACCAGCATTAAAGGTCAATCACTTGAGGTCGATAGATTTGGACGCAGATGTACTTGTAAGAGGAAGTACAAATCAAAAGTTAGCCAAGTTTCTCCTAAATCGGTCGCATTTGTAATACCACATTGTAGTTTGCCAATTAATTGATATTTTCCTGTGTCTCGGAGTGCTCGAGCTTCTTCCCCCGCCAGACAAATGTTGACTCATCTTAATTTATATTATATGTCTGTCTAACATACTCTGTTTAAATGTGATCAAGCAGCATTAGGCCACTTCACATGCTCTTTTCCTTAAGTGCTTTAAAGTGCTTGCTTAGTGATTTGATTTAAGTGATATTTGCCTCTTCCATGCCATTCACAATTTTGTAATTAAAAGCTATATAATATACTGTACAAGAGAGAGAGTTGGAATTTGTATATTTGTCAAAGCACAATTAACATGATATTTCAGTAAACTATTAATCATTGATTTGTTTCCCTTTTCATACTGAAGTGTGGTTCCATTTTACTTTTCTTCATGATTCACTTGTAATCATTATAAAATTAAGAATTCATTGTACACTGTACATGTAGATCTGCTTTCCTCTTCCAAACTATTAGACTTCCATCATCCTTCGTACATAATTGTTTATAGTTAAATATCTTCAAATAATTTGGTATGAAAAGGGAATGAAGCTCCGCTGTGAAAGTGCAAGAACGTCCATGAAAGACGGTGAAGTCCAAGGAGAAAATACTTTACAAATTCGGGGGCTACTTTTCAAGCCTGCTTTCATGAAAATATTAATAACAATCTTGATTTTGTTTTGCATTGAACTCTATGCAATTTTGTGGGCTCTTTTATGACTTTCGGGGGCTCTTTTGGGCATTTAGGGGGGTTAATTTGCCCCAAGCCCCCGTGTATTTTTTCCATGGAAAGACCCGATCTGTTGTGTTCATTGAACTCCTGTCATGATATCCCCCCTCAAAGATTCCTGTCTGCATAACATTTAGAGTTTTGCCAAATCATTCCAGGATAATGCCCTAGCATGATCCAGAAATCCCTGTGTGGACCAACTAAAAACCACCATGCATATCATATTCAAGAGGGGATTTACATTTAACCAATGTAAGCAAAGTTTTCAGGTTTTTTTTTGTGTGTTGTCACTTTTCATGGTAAAGTTTTGAAAGACCCCCCCCCCCCCCCACCCTCTTATGCAATCATCAGATATTAAACAGATGTACAGGTGTACCACATGTATTGACAATTTGTACATGTATACTTTTATGTTTGCCAGTCGAATAGGACTTCAAATTATAAGTGATTAATTGAAACACCATCATTAAACAAAATAAAATATAACATATGCTGTCAACATAGTGCCATGTTGTCGTTATGTGCACTGTTTACAACACTTGCTATTATTTTTAATAAATTGAATCAGTAAAAATACATCATGTCACCAGTGATGTAAATTAATTTGAAGTGTGTACAATTGCTAGTAATAAGTGAATGCAATACAGTAATTTTATGGATCGGTTTTGAAGTTAGGCAAACAGTTGTACAAGATGAGTCAGAGAGGAATTTTGATTGTAATGATAGTGGATATCTACTGTAGTTTACCTTGCTGCCTATCTACATGTACGTTACTGATAAATAGATTTCCTTGGTCATTGATTAATGATTGATCTAAAAGAGTCATATTTACAGTCTCTCATTGCCCAAATTTCATGTAAAAGCTGGATAAATATATACATATAGTTTACCTACACATCACTGTTATGATACTCATGTTACAGGGGAAGAACTATTATTAAGTTTCATTCAGTTTGATTTGAATTATCAGAACTTTACTTGCCCGTTTAACTTGTACATCTATGTGATTCATACAATGTACTAAATATTCTTTTCTATAATTTTGTTTATGAAATTTTCCAAGCAGTCATGTGGAAGAGCAAACTTGTGCTGGCTGTGGGCCAACTGAATTATAATGAAATAAGCTGCAACCAAATCCTGTTTCAAAACAAATAAATGATGTCTCATTGTTTATCCAGTGAGTTATCCATGTTGTACATGTACCATGTAATTTTTGTTTCTCATCCCTTTGTAACTCTTAACAGAGGTCATCAATAATATCCCAAATATTAACACATTATTGCCCAAATTTGTCACTAAAAAGCGTTATTTCAATATAGCAACATTTGGTGACGATCCGAAACATTCCTGTTCTATAGGCCTGTCTTCATCTGCTCGAGTTGGCCCAAAGTTACAAATCTCATCTTGATCAGCTTGAAACTCGAGCTCGAGAAATTAGCACAAGAAATTTGCTCAATGTTTGCTATAGTGCGTATCTTTGGGCTGGTGAAGACGGACCGGACAAGGGCTATTTGGCCAACTCGAGCTAATGAAAACAGGCCTTTAGATTCTTCCTCTGTCACAAATTTTATTCCCCCGTTTATATCCCAAGACGGCCTTCAACTATATATGAAAATGTCCAGTAGAATAACAACAAAATAAAACTTTTAAAAGAATTCTTGAAGGAATTGATGCTACAGACATCGATGTTTGATTAGTATGGATTGATACACATTCATGTTGAATAAGAAAAGAAATGGCTAAGAAGTTATTTTAAGCCTGTCTCCTTTTAATCGCAATCCGGCAGATATCTTTAAATGGCAGCACCCCATAAGCCGGTAATGACAAGACAGCCTATTACATCATCAAATCTATGAAAAGTGAAGCATCTGCGATATCAGGGTCCCCCAGATCTCAGCCCACGATGGGAGGCGCACCCTCAGCTATGCTGCCACAGTTTGATTCCTCACCCTTTATAGCTAAAAAAAGAGAATAATTAATCCTGACTATGACTGTATGTTTCCTAATCCAATCAGAGAAACTCGAGAGGCAAAGGCTGGATTTTGTTCCTTTTCTCTCCCTCTTGTATTTTTTCTTAGCCAAGTAAACAGCAGGGTACTGTTGACTTCTTTCCATTTTTTCAAATGCTTTTTTGTTTTCCAAAATGAGAAGAAGGCCGAAAGGATTCACAGCTGCAGACATTCATGTTCGTTGATTGTCTTTTCGCTGGAGCCGATGGGAATTAAGAGTGGGAGATTTGGTTCATCTTGTTTTAAACTTGCTGTTCATGACAAGGATAGAAGGCTTCAGTTGCATTTGTGGGCTTCAGAGCCATTATTTGCGAAGACTGAGGAATACGTGACAGCTAGAGATATACTGTCACAGCAGGTTTGAAGCTCTCTTTCGTACAGGATAGTCGATTCTGTGCAGCAACTTCAAGGGATATTCCAGTTTGTACTCTCAATCTAAATCATATTTCAAGGAAAGAGTGCTCTTTGTAACACCAGGGTTTTTAATGTGAGTTAGGATCCACCTGACTGGCATCTTCACCTGCAGATGTAGACGTGACGATAAGATGTTACATTTCTAGGTTTCAGACAGAGCCGATTAGTTGTAGCCTGAACCTTACTGGCAGTCCTATATTCATTCTTGTGAGTGAAAATTCCATTAACATTGTGTGCTATCACAAAGAGGTGTGGACCGATATCAAGTGGTGTAGGCCTTCATGCTGAGGACATTGTTTTAGACCAGTTATTGATCAACTGAGTTCCTACATTTAGGAGCAAACCAGATCCATCTGAATGCCTGAGCTTGAGTTTAGACCAAAACCGTGGAATCAACCAAATTGTCATTGGCAGCCTGTAATGATGTCCGCTTTTCAGAAGCCCCCACAGAAGGGTCGTACTAGTATTCACCGGGAGAAGATCAAGTCCACTTCAAATCCCATGGAACCTACGGTTAGCTACAGACAGGCTATCAATCTCCTTCTAGGGGTGAGTAACTGAGCCCTTGTAGACCTACTCATAGAAAGTGCATGAAAGAAATCAAGTTCTATCAAGAACAGTTCTTTGTAGTAAAGTACTGAGATCGATCTGTGCAGGCGTCGCTTAGGAAGTGGTCTTTGGACCGGACAGTCTTGATTTTGAAACCTGATCAGCATGGTAAACTACAGCTTTGTTCATTTGCCTTGTCTCTCATTCAGCACGCAAAGCCATACATTCTAGGTGCTCTTGATGCTCTCTTAGACATATTGTAAATAAATGTACACTGTGTTATGAAAGACAGGGGCTGATGCTGCCATTCAAACGACATTGTGCAGTATCCATGCTGCAGGCAGACAGGCATTGCTCTGATAATTTCATTAAATGATAGAGCCCTCTGTTCCTTGCTCTTTGGGTACATGTATGTCTGGCTCATTCATTTCTGGTCTTAGTGGACACTCTTCAACCTTTGTACCCTACTTTAAGTAATCTTTCACTTGCCATTCTTGACCCAGGTGTAGGAAATGATTCCTGGAAGAAAGAAATTCCTTGAACGTGTCAGTGGCTTTAATATACAGCTTTGGTTGTCATCACTTTCTACTGCGTCAAGAAAGCTAATATGTTAAAGCGCTGTGAAATTGCAATCATTGTATGCCTCTAAAAAACACACCCATGCTTCAAGTTTCCTAGGAGGCATGGAGGAACACAATCTATTGGCTCTCCAACCTTGGATTTTTTTTCTTCAATGTTAAAGGTAAAGACCAGTATTGGAAACGCCCCAATTTCAAAAATGAAATGGAAGCTTTTATTACCAATCATGTGAAAGAATATGTTTTGACTAATACATGATGATACAAATTTTGTCGGGAAACCGCCTACTAATTGATATATTTGGTAAATTAGTTTATCTACATGGTCTGTGAGAGATAAACGTCTTTCTGTGTACAGTGCTTGTAAATTTATGAAGACTTGGCCATATTTCTTATCATTTTGATGATTCCAGAACCTTGCAATACACACAAATACTTATATACTAGATGATCCCCCTTTTGTGATAGATTCCACACCGTTTCTTTCACAATGCAATCACATGACCAGAACTCAACTTTATCTTTATCCTGCATGATCTATACATGTTTGTATTTAACTAATGCTAAAAGGACGATGGCAGTAGTGAAGTAGGCCTACATGTACATGGACAGAACTTGGCTTGGACTGCCTGAACTCTGAATTGCCTTTTCCTTACCTCTTTCTGTTTCCTGTTTATCGCTCTTTCTTGTACAAACTGCTTTTTGTGCCAGCTTTTTTGGTGCTGCGTTTTTCATTTAACAGAATCTGCAATTCATATTCACTCAGCCAATAAGTCTGTGGGCTGTGAATGACAGATATCTGATGAGGTTGGTAATAAAGAATGTGTGTCATTAAAAAATATATATATATATATATACAAAGAAGACAATGTGTCTAGAGCCCTGTAAACAAGAATTGTACATGTACAATATAAACGTGGGTATGATATGTTTCGAGCAGTGTGTAATCTTACTCAGATATTGTATAACAATATAATTTGATACATGTAGATGTAGGCCTACTGTTGATATTGGACTGCATGTATTGATTCACTTGTAGGCATTTGTACGTATTTGTGTCAATTTTGCAACCTGGTTATGCTTACACATGTAGTCTGCTCGCACAGACTCTAATTTGACACTTTACCACAGAGCCTGAATCTGTCTTTTTCTGGCTGTGTCAATCAGGAACGGCCTATAAAGTACATAGCCTGCTGTAGTCTTATAATTCAGACACTGTTACACACAATGTAGGACAAGGGTTCGCGCCCGCAAACTAGGATAAACCTTTTTTCTGTTGGATCGAATAAGATAACCTACATTTACATGTATGAAAGCCTCCACAGCTCAATGCTTTTGAGCTTTGTTAGTAGCACAAGGGTGGGTTATACTCTGAATAATACATGTCAACTTGACTTGAGTCATTGTGAGGCCATGCATTATGAACCGGCGTTTTCATATTCACAGACTTGTAAAATATAGTCCTGTAATACATGTGTACATGCACGGTGAGTTAAGTTTGTATTGTGCGCTTTTCTCTATGAGGTCACTTGATCTGAAAAGCCATTGACAGAACTAAAGTTCACTTGACCAAATTTGAAAAGAATCTCAGCAAGGCCATTTTGATGTGTGTAACATGAGTTGTAATAGATTATAAAATATGATTAGACAAAAACCAACATGATTTCAAACAACAGGTATTTTTTCAATAACATCCCCCCTCCACCACCCCGAGTCCCCAAGAAAAACTTAATTGTTTTGAGAATATATATTTTGAAAATAGTTTGGGAAATTACTATTTCATAGCAAGGCCTGCACAGGTTTAGGGTTGAGGTTAGTTAAAGTCAGTGTAACTTTGGTTCACTTTTGTCCTCGTACAAATATGTCTACTAGTCTTCTCACATAATATTTGAAGCTCAAGGCAATCCAAGTTACTCCAAGTTACTCCAAGATTACCTGGCAGTGTGAGGCTACCGTTTACATGAAAATGTTCTATGGAGGATACATGTAATCAGGAACATGAAAGTTCACATTTAATCTCTTGTCTGACAAATAAATCATCCCAGAGAAATCCAAGCTTTGGGATTCGATTCCATCCCTCCCTCCGCCAATCATTTCCTCTACCCCGTATATCCTGCCTACAGCGTGCAGCATCACCACAAAATCTGCAACTTCCTCGTCTAAATGACAGACAAGCCGCAAGAGTTCACATGGCTGATAGAAACCGAAAGAAGAAAGTGTAAATTATCATTTTATCCTAAGCCCAACAGATACGAAAGTCCAAGTAGATTTATGGATTTGTTGTTTCTTTCTACATGTACATGTATGCATCCTAGTTTATCTGTAGATTGTAGATGTGTACTTTATAATCGTTGGTGAGTAATCATTGGTGAGTCATTATAGCTAATTTGAGTTCTGGTATTAAACAGGTTGGTTTTCCAAGAGATACAGATTTTAATTGATACTGAATCGTTTACCATGCCGTAGATGGGATGTTCGAAGCAGCAAAATAACAATGTATACAAACTCTTGAAAACTTTCTAAAATCACATCATTCGAAAAGAACAATTAGCATATTTTCACATACCGGTACCCATTTATCTAGAAAACAGTAACATATTGGATATTTTCATCGGCTGCCTACTAGAAGGCTTATTAAATGCTATTGATAATGGCTTGTAGCTCTTACATGCAGCCATTTCGAGAGCCTTCAGCTGACAAATTTCAATTTGGATTCTGTCCGTAATTTAGGGTATTGGAATGTCCCTTGGGTCGATATCTTGAAAGTCTTTAGGATGGCATTTTAATCACGGATTTCACATGGCATGTCTTGTCTTGTCTTCTGCAGAATATGAAATGTGACATTGTCATGTTTTCTCAGAATAACTAATCAAAACTATCTAAAGACACATGGTTATCGAATGAACCAAATTTATTGCCAATTCCTAGTATACTTGAGAGTGTATTGCAAATGGCTTATCACACCTGTGCGATCCAACATAGTTGTTCATACTAAATTGATTTTCCACCGTAATGTACGACGTGACTGTAATGTACAACGTGACTGTGTATTCATCTGGAATTCTCTACGGCTGAGTCACATTGAGGTGAGGAAGGATATCCCATCAGGAAGAAGTCTTTTGTTATTTCCAGACTGAACCCACATCCTTAAAGATACAGTTGAGTTTCTGGTAATGGGGTTACATTTCGAAGGAACCTCTCTTTAGAAGCAATCAGGAATTAACATTTTTTGTTGTTGCAGGCTTAGAATGAATTGTCTGTTCATTATGCACAATTAAGCCCCATCTGGCACAGAACATTCGATACATAAACATGTCAGGAAACATTATCAAATAGCCCAAAGTTCAATTTTGAACTTCGTCACATGGTATTTATTGTTTGTGTCTGAGTCGAGAACATTATCAAAGGAATGGGGAATTTCCCCCAAGAATGTAGACATATGACAGAATCAATTTTGATAGGCCAGCAGTTTACCTTTCTGCAGCAATTCAGAAAGACACTTTGGAGGAAGTAAATTGGAGCAGTTTGTAAAACATTGTTCCCTCTGCATGCCATGTCACTTCTTACACAACATTTTTACACAAATTGACAAGACTTAACGTCTGTTTGGAGCCAGAAGGGCGTTAAAACTCAATATGCTAGAATACAGGTGCTTTCTGGCTCTGAACAGATGATATTTCCTTCATTGGAAATGTAGCCTACCTGTTTTGTATGCTCTAATCATAATGTTAATGTTATGCATCGTGTACTACATGTACATGTACATGTACATGTAGGCCAACATGTACAATACGAGTCGATGTTGATTTACATTTTGATTAACATTAAAGTTACATGTTTATAGGTACTTGTTTTACAGCAACTTCAGACAAAATCTACAAATACAAATACAAACAAATATATAATCTGACAAAACACAGGAATTCGAGAAAAACTGAAGGTTTTTGCGTGCAGTATAAACAGCTATTGTTAATATTTAACCTCTAAATTCCTGAATCATTATTCATATTGGTTTGGTACGAGGTGAGGTGGATATGCTTGTAGGTATAGGCAAAGAATGAGTGCCTTCACCTAGGCTGATATAGCTACAGTCATTTTATAGTTTGGTTGCGACAGTTTTATGATAGTTTCTATCACCTTCAAAGCCTGTAGCCAGAGAAACAACCCTTTTGCTACATACATGTAGTTGCTTGTGTGTGCTGTATCTACAAAGTACATTTACCGGTTCATTGAAATCAAAGAAATTTTGTGATATCTTTTAGTATTTTGGGCATGCCGCTCCTGAAAGAGTTTATGTTCACCTTAATTTTAGTTGACAAATACAAAGATAAATAAAGTTCAAAGTTTCACAACTCTTTTAGGTTTAATACGTGACATTTCAATTTATATCCAAAGTTTAAAGTTCATTGTCTATTATGCATTCCTATTTAGCAATGCATTTATTATTATCACAATTATATTTTACGATATCTCTGAGAATTTTCTCTGTGTACATGTACCTGGTAGTCTAAGCATGTACAAGTAGAAGGACTTTCTTCAAGCAGTTGAAAAGAGAACTGACTGGTAAAGACATCAAGGGGGTGTATACTGACAGCCACAGGTTGTGTGTCCATTCATCGATCCTATCTGACCCGCTTTGAGCCCGCTTTGAGCTAGTATTGAGCTTGAATTACACCCACGTACATGCCATATGAAGATGTGAAGTGCATACATTATAGGCCTACATGTACTTATCTATGTGGTTTCATTGGGGAAGTGTTAGAGACATATTTGTATGGGCGATCTACAAGTGTTACAACCTTGGAGGCTATACATTTCAATACATACAATTCGTCATCATTTGTGATGTACCTGAGGGGTTACAATTGAACTGTAATGAAGGCCTTTTATGTGCGCGTAATTATCTGGGAGAAAAATGTATATTGCACTAAAATATAAAATGTAATAATAATAATAATAGTCATGCTACAAGTGGTAGTTGCATGTACAAGTACAGTAAAACCTGCTTTATGATGACCACCTGTCTGCAAAGACCACTGTTTGTGTTTCCCTGGGCGGTCTCTATAGACAGGTTTGACTGTAGTAGTTTACACAATTGAAAGACCTTTTGTAGAGGTGTTTAAACTGTTATAAAGATGATTTTTTTTTTTTTTTCTTTCCCAAAATTCCCGCACAACATTGTATTTTGCTAAAAACGAACACTTGATTTTACATGTACAGCTAGGCCTACTTTAAAGGTACTATGTCCCTTTTGCAGCCAACCTCAAAGTCTGTAGAACTTTGCAGGAATTATGAAAATGTCATGTATGTACTATCTGTGAAATTTAAACGTTAGCAGTGTCCTCATATTCAAATTATGTAAGGAAACCCGTTTACTTGCTAGACTTCACTGTCAGACACTATTGAGTGACTGACTGGCTTTTTTTCTTCTTTGGTAATAACATACATGAAAAGAGTTGTAAAGGGTACATGAGCATTTGTCTACATCAATAACCCACTTCTTGTGATGGCCAAGATTAAACTGATTGAATCTTTGCGCAGCATAAAATGTATGACCATTCGGTACAATTGTCTGAAAATCAAGACTATTACTTTTGGGCTCTATAGCCCTAAAGTCGATTTGACAACTAATAGTCATTATTTTCCCACTTGAAGACATTTTCAAGCCCCACCTTTTTTAGGGAAGTTCTAAATTAGTATTATCTTTCAAATGCATTTGGAATTTAACTTTTTCATTTTTTTGGCCTGCAAATGGGACATAGTACCTTTAACAATAAGAATGTAACTTTCATGTTTTTCTTCTTCATATCAATGTATGGGCTGTGTGTGAATGACCCCAATTTCAGACATGCAGAAGAAATGTGGAATTTGTGGTAATTTTGGTGATGATACATGCAATGGTTTTCATAGAAAGTGTGGGTGTGTGTGGTGGATGTGAGAGAAGGAAGTGTTTCATCATCTTACAATTGACGACTATTGACATTGTGCCCATTGATCTACATGTAAGTGATTTGAAGTGTGACTGATGGAAAATGGCATGCACTAATGTTTCAGTGTGATCTGTCATATATTCATGTCGCCTGAATGTACATGTGTAGGTGTGTGACCTTTGACATGTGACAGAATTTAACACTGTATAAATATCGTATTATCTGTGATGTGTTATTATTATGTAATGTGGACATGTAATCGTAATCCCCTTTCTTGCTCTATCCCTATTTTAATAGTTCAGTAATACTCTTTTAACGTTTTATTTAAAAAAATTATGAATCTCTCTTAATCTTTTTAGTCTTGACTAGTATGGCCTCTTTATCTTTCTTTATCTACCTTATTTCTATAATTCCTTGTGTTCATCCATATCTTCATGTAGAGAGGGACGCTTGTATGGTTCAGTGACAAGACATTCATCTTGTTTTTTCTTTTTTTTCTTCTTCGTATCTTATAGGACCAGATAAGTAATCTAGAGAAACACACGGATAGGGGGATAGACTATGTGGACAGGTTTGGCAGTTTTGTCAAGGAGAGACAGAAAATCGAGATTGAATATGCAAGCCAACTCAAGTAAGTATTTATTTTTTACATTTTTACAAAGAATCTGGTTTTATAGTAAAATAAAGTGTGATATCAGATGCTTTCACAAATTATGTGAGTGCTAGTAGTTGATATAGTTGATATACATGTATCTTACCACAAAAAAAACAAGTTTGTTGTCTTTAAAATGGATGGCTCATATTTATAGGTAGATTGTAATAGAATGAGCGTTGCTTCTAGAAGAAAAAACAGATCTCTCACACACTTCTTTAATATTTCGCATTTCTTCAAGTGCAGATCTAGCACACACAAAATGATGGAAACCCACTCATTTTTCAACTCATTGCTTTCAGTATAATGATGATCCCAGCTCTAGATGATCATACATAGCACAAATCTGACAAGGCTGTCTCATTTCAAACAACCCCTATTCAAAATCCATCTTTTTTTAACCGCGATGTGATTTCTCCAATTCAGATTCACTCATCCAATGAAATAGTGGGCTGTGAATGACAGATATCTGTTGAGGTTAATAATAACAAGGAATGTGTGTCAATTTTTAAAAACATGAAATTATTGCAAAGAAGACAAAACTGGTGAGTTAGTAGCAAATACAAGTTGGACCAAAAATCATATTATTACAAATTACACAGAAATGGTGATTGTTTACAGGGAACGTAAATGTTTAAGATCAAATTATTGCTATTAAAAAAGGAATAGTTCTTACGTAAAGCAAATACAAGTGAGAAAAGGGGACATACAGATCATGGTCACAAATCTACAGAATTTACCATTTTTGATAATTCAGTATTAAAGGAAAAGATATTATCTAAAGATCATAATGGTGAGAGCAAGTCCAACTTAAAGTTGATCTTAGTATATGTGAAACACCCCCCTGTTGTAGACAATGTAACATGACTCTCGTGAAGATAACTACTTGACTCTTGATAAGTTGGAGTCATAGACACCAATATTTATAATGATTATCCATAATATTGTTATTGTGACATCATAGGTTAGCTACACAGAAGCTTGTTAGCTGAGGGTTCATGAGAAAGTAGGTCTCTAGGCAGAGTTATTCACGCTCTTTTGCCAACTGGCTGTTTTGTGAGATGTAGAATGTCGTTAGTGCTATGATTGGATGTGTAGAAAGGGACCCGGGCCCTTTAAGACAAAGCTTAACAATAGATTGTATGATTGATAGATTGACTGTGGTGCATCATGGTCAATTGTAAAATATAAATCAACTGCTTACTTATCTTTGTGTTATGGGGCCCTGGTTTGTTGCAAGAAATGGGAAAACATTAGCTGAAAATCAGACCATCTACTGTTGGCATCAATTTTGGTTTACAGTATGTGCAAAATAAAAGAGAGTTTGCTTCTAATTTGTTGAGCTGCAGAAATCATTTGATATTCAAAATGAATGTTAAATATTCTGTAAAAGTCAAGTAACGCTGTGATCTGAACAAACTTCCCAAATCCTACATTTAATCAATAACACATTGTCCTAGTTAAAAGAACAGAAGATGGTGGTAGTGCTCTTGATTACAGGCATGTACATGTACTATACTTAGACCTACAAGTAGAATGAAGCAGGATCTTTTCTACCTTCGTTCAGGAAATGTTATTTTGTACCTTCATTGTCGTCACAAAACATTGACGTAGGTTTGCATGTACTGTACGTGTATATGGAGGCGTTGGTTGGTTGACTGCCACCATGTCTCAAACCCATATTGGCAAGGTTCTTGGTAATAATAAGGAAGTACATGTATCTGTAATTCTGTATGTACACTGTAGCATGTGATTCTCTACATTATTTTTGGAATAAAGACAACTTTCAAAAAGTCATTTATTTGAAGCCCACTGTGAACATATGACAGGTTCTATGAAGGAAAAATAATGGAACTAAAATATTTTCTGAACCTTTTATTTGTTTAATAAACAAAGAGAGAGAGAGTGTGAACTTGGATTTTAAGATGCACATACAAATTCAGTGAGAAAAGGAAATGAAAATGCTTACTTAAAACTTATCGGGGAAGATAAAATCCACATACCCTTACATCATTACATGTAATAATATATATTGACAGCTGAAAGTCATTTAATCTGTGAAATTACTTCTGATACCATTCAACAGACGATACCTACATAGCAAAGAAGAAAGAAAGAAGAGGAATCTAAAGTTCAAAAACATGAGAAGGGCATTAACTATGTATGGAATACAGTTGATACCCTCTTTGCTTTCAACAGACAATATGATCTTCACAACTTGTTAGCAGATTAATGATGTACTCGTCAATATTGATATGTTGTTTGTTCGAAGCCAGAAAGGCCTAAATCTCGTATCAGTTTACATAGAGTTAATCTCCTTCTGGCTCCTAACAGACGGCGTATGAACTTTTAGATAAAAACTAAAATGAAAACTACTTCCCTTCCTTTGCCACTTTCTAACTCTCGTATATTCTTCCATTTTGTTCTTTGTAGGAAGCTACACAAGAACTACTTACCGAAGAAGAAAGAGGAGGAAGATTACAAGTAAGTCTTCATTGTGTGGTCTTGGTTTTGGTTTTAGTCACATGACCCTTTTCACAGAGTAGAGAAATCACGACAGATCATTATACACACTCCCAGTCTTCAAGGGAAAGTCCACCTTGAAATAAAGTCAGATTAGATAAAGCAAATAATATTAAGAGTAACAGCGTGTCCACACACTAAACAATTTATCCGAAACTCTATAACGAAACGTTGTATAAAGAATCATCGTATAAATTTCAGAGTGTCCACACACAAGAAACGTCGTATAAATAATCATCGTATAAATTCCAGGATGTCCACACACAGAAGAAAGTAATCCTGAAACTCTACAGCGAAATGTCGTATAGGTGCGCAGTTTGCTACTGCGGTCATGAAATGGAAGCAAAAATGAGAGATCTGATCTCCTTTCGCTCGAGGTCACGTTAAGCCCCGCCCAGTTAGTTACACTAGTTACACTCCCCCTGTCCACACACAACATTTTCTGTGATTAGGCGTGATTAGGCGTGATTCTTTATTGAGTTTCAGTTCGAAACGATGCCCAAACCTGCGTTTCGTTAGACTTGTTTCGTTATACAACGTATCGTTAGTGAGCGTCCACACACACAATTTTCATCGTAAAACTATCGCGAAACGGTATCACTATCGCGAAACGGTATAGCTAATCACGCCTAATCACGGAAAATGTTGTGTGTGGACAGGAGGTTAAACATTTATTGATAGTTTGAGGAAAGTCTGATGAAAGATAAGGAAGTTATAAAGGTTAAGAATTGTGGTTGTATTAGAAACTCTGGCAAAGTGGCAATTTCTCTGAAAATTCTCTTCTGAGATTCCCCATGAGGACCTCTTCTTTCGTTCTGTAATAGATATATATTTTTTTTAATCTCTATTTTTTCTTTATAGAGAATATTTTGATACACTCCTGTTCTGCAGATCTATTTATAATTGGATCATAGCTTGTAAGGGCAAAAAGCTACGAGGGGCATTTACACTGCAACCAAAAACCATCATTTTTATCACATTCTGATTCCAGAGATTTTTCAGAAGTTGCTAGGTAACTATCTGTTAACATGACGATAAACCAAAATTGAAAACCCCACTTCTGGATTGTGATTTTTGTAATTCCGCCAGTTTTGCAGTGTAAATGTTTGCTCTCAGAATATGAGTGAATTATTTTAATGTTTGCTTGTGTGACTCTCCGCTATTCCATGCAGAGCAGCGACAATTGGCGCAAGTGCACAACTCACCATGAACCAGAATGAACCAGAATGAACCAGAATGAACCAGAATGAACAAACATTTTTTGTTTTCCAGTAGTGTGAATAGTAGTTCAAAAAAATTGATGTTTTTCTAGTTTTTTTTTCTTTCTTTTTTCTCAATGTAAATGAGCCTACTGAAAGGAAGACACCATGTACTGATTCATTTTGTTGATTTCGGGTAGTGGTGTCATTCGATCATGATCACATAGTTGGGATATCTTGTTACAGTGGCATCGTGAGAAAATATGTATGAAGTGCAGCCCATTCCTCCTCAAGTATATATCAAGGCATGTAAGAGATGACATGAATACATGAAAGGGTTAGAAGGTTGAGCGAATCAAATATATTTGCAGCGAATAGAATTTGATGCTATGTTGGGCATGTTGTGGAAGTCACTTTCATGAAAATTTATATGTAATTACCGTAATTCAACTTGAAATGGCTGCCCCCGTTAGGTACAGTTTAATTTTCACAAAAAATACTGTTGACAAAGTCAGTCAAAGCGGAGATGGAATTCGTATTATGTGTTGTCAATGAGTTTTGGGTAACATGTATTTTTCCTGCCGTCCAAAGAGAATAATTGTAAAAACGTCTGGAAAGCAAAAAAAGTAAACATTTTACCCCTTGCTGAACTGAATTACCCGGAGATGTTTATAATCTAAGCCAGATTTATTAAAAACAATATATCTATACATACATGTACAAACATTCGGGATTCTGTCAAAATATGGCATACTACCATCAAAATAAGGCTTGTTGATTCATTCTATTTCCCTCCAGAAGAAGTTTAATGTGTTTTTGTTTTTGTTGTTTTGTATTGTTTTGTTTTGTTTTGTTTTGTTTTGTTTTTGTTTTTGTTGTTTTGTTATGTTTTGTATTGTTTTGTATTGTTTTGTATTATTTGTTTTGTTTTGTTTTTTGTGCTCCCAAGTTCATATAGACCAAGCTCAATTTGTTCTTTACATTCTCCCTATTCTGAAGGTACACGGCTCTTCACGCATTCAGACAGATCCTCTCTGAAGTGAACAGTATCGCCAACCAGCACGAGCTGATTGGAGAGTACTTGGTTACCAATGTCCTGAAGGAGGTCCAAGCACTCATCTCAGAGCTGAGGTCGGAGCGCAAGAAACATCTACAGGAGTTCAAGCAAGATGATAACAACCTCGAGAAGTCCATCCGCAAGATGGAAGGGGTAAGAAAGCGCAGGGAACAAGGGTTGGTCCATACCCACCTGTTGCCCTTGTGGAACAGGGTAAGGGGAAATGGGAGAAAGACCTACAAGCCTGAGAGTCCCAAGACAACCACTTGAGCACGAGACCGACAGTCCATGATACCGACAAGATCAAGGATAGTTATGGAAAGATAGAAAAATACCAAATCTCATTCTTGTTGGCTGTTGGTCAAGTGAACCCTAAAAAAGTTGTTAAAAGGCCCATGAGCTCAAAATTTTTGGTCTTGTGGACTGTCCATCTCGCTGGTTGTTGGTCTGGTGAACCCACAGACAAGTTATCAGAAGTTGACTGATGTAGTCTGTGTCATATGCTGTGGGTCTCAGGGACTGTAGCCGGGGGGAAAGTTAGAGGTGTTTCCAGTTATTACCCTTGTGGAAATGAACATGAAGATATAAATGCACATGTACAGAGGAGCATCAAGCACTATTAAACTGATTGTACACTGTAGTTGTGTCTTGTGCATCAGGGTCTCTATGAAGAAGAAGACAGATGTTATACACTCCTTTCTAATTGAGTATCTACATGTACATAACTTCAGAAACAGCTGTAATGTACCATTAATAGCATGGCACTATGACAAGCTTTAATTCTATTCTGAAAGGAAATTAGTCCTTTCCTAGACCAGACTACTGATAGAAAGCTGAGAAAATAACCTCTTTTTTCCTGTTGTTAAAGGCATTGTTTAACAATGTTTCAAATTTTACAAAACTGAGATGCATGGCCCTATGTGTTATCAGTGTCTGTGATATATGGTGTAATATTGAAGCCATAACAAAAATTGCGCTTCAAAATATCATGAAGTGCTTCAAAAAAGTACAAATCTTTGAGTGACCGGTTTTACCATACTCATTTTTCCAAAAAAGACTGCAGTGTTATAATAAACTGTTCAAAACCGTTTTGCAAACAGTTTTAGATATTTCTAATTCCAATTATAAATATCTTGATTATCAGACAAGCGATCGGCTTGGAAAAGTCATTGGATTTCTGACTGACCTAAAGGTTTTATGATTGCAGCATGAGCTAATTCCAGAATTTTGTTTAGAATCTGAGGCAAAGATACCCAATCCCTGTGATGTGAACTTTTTCCCTTGTAAGCCATTGCCTACAGTAATCAGATGGAGCCTACATTATGCCTATGAAATAAAAGAACTCAGTAGACAACGGGTTAACACTGTCAGTGCCACAGCAATGTTTGAAGCCAGTGGTATTTTATAGTGACCATGCCTGTGTAGCGATGCAGGATCTGAAACTTGTTTATGATCAGTAATGTGATCAATGGTTGCAGCCAGGATCATTAATGCCTTTGGCTTGTTCTTAAAACCTTTCATAAATAATTAGCGTGAGAACAGTCATGAATGACATGGTTTCACTTGCTGACAGCCTTTTGATCTCACTTAACGTTTGATATCACTTTCTGTGTACAGGCAACTGTAGGAAATTTTTAGGAAAAAAACAATATCAACTTTAATTTCCTTTATGCTTTGTTGGCTTGAACTTAAAACCTAAAAATGAAAGATAGAACCAAGAGTTTTTTCTAATGTCTATATCCAGATGTGTCAGAAAGTGAATGATTCCTACAATTAATTTGCGCTCGTTTTTGTGACATTTATTGCCTCAAAGGTTTCTGAGGACATTTTCTATATTCTAAACACCCATTGTATTAATTAGTATTAATGCTTGACATTCGAAAGCAATATTTATGTTCCTGCATTTTGTTTTTCAATCAGATAAACAACATCACACTATGTTTCTCATATACATCAGTATATTCAGGGGTGGTCTTGCCAGTGCATACAACCTTTGGTGCTTTACCAAGCATGAGGGGATGTCAGGGGGGAGGCCAAGGGCACGGCAAGGGGAGGGGGGGGGGGGGGGAGGCCAAGGGCATGGTAAGGTTAATAGATCTACCAATGTATACAGTACAGTTGTATCCTGAAAATTGCTTTGATCTTCCCTAAGCTACAAGGCCTCAGTCCTGGGGTTATTAATATCATAGATTGAATATAACTCTTGCTTTTAAACATGATTATATCATATGATTGCTGGGTGCCCAGGGAGAATAGCATTAATACTGATGGGGCTACCCTGGATAAACAAGACTTATTATTATTATTATTGATAATGTGGACCTCTTATTTCTTTGTTGTTAAAAGACGAAGAGTACCTATAAACACAGTCATGAAGCATGGATGACCTCCAAAATGAACTTTGAGAAAGCTAACGAGGATATGAACCAAACCAAGGCACAAGTGGAGAAGGTGAGATATACACAATCACAGTATTTAGTGCAAATTAAACTTGTTGAATCTTAAGCCCAAAATAAATAGGCAGGAGTCTAGGAGATGTCACACCCAAATCAAATTGTATCTAAAGCTTCGTTTAGATAAACAACGTTTTTGTTTAAAAAATTACTAAAATAAGGACATAGTACTCCTAACATTTCTGTATGTTATAACACAGAGCCATGGGAATACATGTAGGAACTTTGCTGGGCCCAATTGCCATTTACCTTACAGGTTATAACAAAAAAACGTTGAGGTTTGCCGTTGCATATCTAAATGAGACTGTAAGGGTCAAAGGGATCTTGATTTCTAGGGATTATCTGCAATAGATAATCACAAACAAATTCATCGGATGAAAATCACACTCAAATGAAAGCACAATAAAGATGTGCGCAAAAGAGATTTTGCATTTTATCAATGTACTAGGTTGATCTAATTTGTCTAATTCTGCTTCGCTCAGTATCCAGTTCCCATGTATTTTCTACAAGTTTATTTGTGAGATTTAATTTTGATAATAATGGCTAATTATAAGGACTTGCTGTGAAACTACAGTATAAGAGCGATTAAAAAAAAAAATTCTTAAGGACGTGCCACAGTAATGTTCGTGTGCACCTTATTTGTACAGAGCGAGCTGGTTATGTATTCACCATGTGTAATGGTTGGAGTGCCTTATATTGTGCTTAGTGAATATATGATCAGCTAGCCCTGCACAACTAAGGTGGGCGTGAACATTACTGAACAACACCCTTCATCTTTCTACGTATAAAACATGTAGGTTCTATTCCACTAGTTCTGCATTTTTATGGAAAATTAATTGTATCTCTGTGAATATTGATCAATTTTCTTCCAAATTTTGATATGTTGTAGCTGTGACAATTCTCAACAAGATCAGCGTCCATCAGATTTAATAACATACCACTTAATTTGTTTCAATGACGAATATAATTTCTCGTTCTATTGTTGTTCTCTCTCCTCCGCAGTATCGAGCCACGATGAACGGCAAGAACTCTCAGAAGTGTGAATGTAAAGACAACTACATCCTGCAGCTTGACAACACAAACAAGGAGCAGAGAGATTTCTACTACACAAAAATACCACAAATATTCAATGTAAGATTCCCCTTTTTCTTCTTTTATCTTCAAGACAGAGCTGCGTTTCCAGAGTTCCGCTGTGATGGCCCTTCAAGAAGCCAGCGAGGCATACCTAGTTGGCCTCTTTGAGGACACCAACCTGTGTGCCATCCACGCCAAGAGGGTTACCATCATGCCCAAAGACATTAACTAGACAAGAGCTAGTTCCAAAGAAATATCCAACCTTTATGATAATAATGGTCACTTACAAGCGCTTACATCCGTCACACAGTGAAGCTCAAGACGCTTTGACATTATTTCCCTGGTTGTAGCCAATCTCTCAAAGTTACTAGTGCTCAATCTTATCAGGAATCCATTCACACCCGGTTGGTGGGTGGCAAATGTGGATTAACGTCTTTCCAAAGTACATTGGTGTCTTTCCCCTTGTCTCCCTTGCGTACCCTCGCTCTCTCTCTCTCTCTCTCTCTCTCCCTCTCTTTCTCTCCCCCCCCCCCCCCCCCTCTTTCTCTCCCCCTCTCTTTCTCTCTCTCTCTCTCTCTCTCTCTCTCAATCTCACAATATGTTTCTTTTTTTTTCTCCCCCTTTCTGTCTGTCTCTCTCTGTCTCTCCCCCTAACTCAAAATATGATTCTTTTTTTCTCTCCCATCAATTTTATTTTCAGAAAATCCAAGAAATGGATGAGAGGAGGAACCAGCGTCTTGGAGAGTTCTACACATCTTACGCGGAAGGTCATCGGCAGGTCATCCCCCTGATCCAAAACTGTCTGGACACTATGACCAGTGAGGCAGAGAAGGTCGATCCGTCCAAAGTAAGTCACCTTTGACCCAAAGATCATCTCATCTTTATTAACCAATCATTTTAATATTCCTGTAGATGGAAAGTCTGCCCTGTACATGTATATCCCATGAGTTGATATATACTTCTCCTCATCTTACTCAAGAACCTCCAATGGCACTCAAATTCAGGTCACAACCAAAAGGTTTGGGTGCCTTGCTTTTAAAAGGTGTTAGTTGTCAAAATCCTCTCAAAACAACAGCAACAGCCGCAACAACGACAAGAAACAATTGAGGGAGGGTTAGTTTTGTAATGGTTATTTTGTGATTTTCATTTCATCCAAATAATTGCAATTAACCAAATTTTTTTTTTTAAATAACAGCCTCTTGTGAGTGAATCCATAAGAGAGTACAGCAAAGGCCTTCTATACTATTTGTTAACTTTTTAGTTTCAATAATGTTCCTGCAGTATATACTTTCATGAGGACAAGAAGACACCTCCAACCCAAATACATTATACACACACTGAGAAGCTCCTTTATGACATCCTACAATGGAAGTGATCTGTATTGACACACAGTTTGAGGGATTAAAATCCTGGGATTATCTCATGTCAATGTGATAAGGTCTAGGGTGAAAATAGCTCTGCCATTAGGTCTATATAGAGAAAGCCTCGATGATTTGAAGGCCTATTGTATCATTAGGATTTAGTCCATCAGACCATAAAAAAGTATTCTTTTCCACTCAGTTCAAGCTTACAGTCTAAATTTAGATAACCTTAGAAGTAGTGGGAAGGTGAATTTGGACGCACCTTTTGAAAGGGAGAGATAAAGAGTTTTGAACTATTTTAGATGTTTTTATTTACATGTTTTTAGGATCTGGTGGTTAGAGTTATTCAAATGCAAACATAACAGTAGTCACCATGAGGTACTCTACTCAGAGAGTTTCCTTTTCTTCATTATTTCTCAGGAATGATTCATTTTCCTGTTTCATTCTTTTATGGGGATAAAAGCTATGCATACATTAGATATATTGTTCAGAACTTTCTCTTTCTTTATTTCTTGTGAATTTAATTTTGATGTAACTGTTTACACTTTCTCTCTTATCTTTCCTTTTCAGCTGAGATTTATACATGGTATTATACATGGTATTTTACACCCTTCTCTGTTTCAGGTTTTATAAACTACAAAAGAGTCTTCTTCATTGATCTGATCATTTAATATTGTCTGGGTCGTCACAAAAAATAAAAAGGCTTCCATTGAATATATATATTCCTCATTCTGTTTTAAAAGTCAGTTTTAATAGAAGCAGAAAAATGAGAGGAACAGGTCGGTCAAAGTTTATGAGCAAATTCTGATATAAGAAAGTTATGAGTATTTGAATCTGCGATCAATAAAACACAAATTGGCATCATTGTGACGTATCTTGCGAGCTCCTCTCCAATTTACTCTGTACATAAAATTTCATAGACTTTCACTTTCTTTGATATTGATGACAGAATTTTTTGTTTCCATACAGGAGTTGAATAGGAACATATTTGCAATAATTATATTGAGGGTGAATGTATGAGTTGCCAATAAGCTTATGAAATGAGCTACATGTCGTCCAGTTGACTCCGGTGGTCAAATATGGGAATACACTGTCTAGGAATGAATTGCAATTTGGTGAAAATAGTTCAATTTTTGACTAAATAGATGGTGAATTATAATGCACAGCATGCAGTTAACATGAATGTGAAAGCGAATTCAGAAAGAAACCATTTTCAAGCAATTTCCTATTTAATTTAAACTGTTAGCTACTCAATTCTATTGTGAGGCTGAGTTACCTGTCAATCAGTTTGAATAGTTATTATTTCTAAGATTCTCGTAGTTATGTAGGACATATTTTGAAGTGAAGGTCTTAAAGCCCTGGGCAGTGTTTCACGAAACCGTCACGAGTATAAGATCAATGACATCTCATTGGAACACTTGTGTTTAAATAACATACCCATTTCAATGGGTGTCGATGATAGTTTTGTGAAATAATGCCATGGGTATATTACCTATGTTGCATATTCTTTTAAGGTCCAGGGGGGTGTTTCATAAAGCTGTGCGTAAAGTTACGCATACCTTTACAAATGACTTGAATATGAAGAACTAAATGGGATTCTCAAATCCTTTTAATTGCTTAAGCTAAAGTTGAAATACCGGTATGCAGATGTAGATTAACCTTATCATTATTAACAAAACATTTTAATGCAAAGTGTATTTTTGGCTACAGATTAATTGAGATTTTGGGAAATACAGTCACACTTTGTTAAAATGTCAGGAAAAACTTTGGACATCCCATTTGGCTCTTCATATTCAAATCATTTGTAAAGTCATTTACGCACAGCTTTATGAAACACCCCCCAGGATAGAAAGGGTTAAAGGTAAAGACCAGTATTGGACACGCCCCAATTTCAAAAAATGAAATAGAAGCTCTTATTACCAATCATGTGAAAGAATATGTTTTGAATAATACATGATGATAAAAATGTTGACGGGAAACCGCCTACTAATTGATATATTTGGTAAGTTAGTGTATCTCTCGTCTGTTGAGAGATACAAATGCATGTGTCGCGCACGTGTGTGTAGTCCCATATACATCTTTCTGTGTACAGTGATTCTAACTTTATGAAGACTTGGCCAAATTTCTTATCATTTTGATGATTCCAGAACCTTGCAGTACATCTATGCTAGATGATCAACCTTTTCTGATCGATTTCACAATGTTTCTTTCACAATGCAATCGCATGACCATAACTGGTCTTTAGCTTTAAAGGTGAGTGAACAAAGCGAGTAACACAGCCTCCTTCTTCTTCTTAGGACTCCAGACAGACGATAGACAGGTACAAAACAGGGCTTGTCCCGCCCGATGACATCCAAATGATCGACTTTGATGAGTTACAGCGAAAAGAATCCAATGTAGACACTGTCTCGATGCACAGCCTCCAGAGCCTCAAGGACGTGGATAAGAACGGGACGCTCAGCTCCATCGCGATGCGCAAACGCAGAGCCAAAGGGACTATATTTGGCATGTTTGGGAAGAAGGTACATATATGAATATTGGACTGTTTCGTATTAGATTTGCTCATCTGTGTTTGTGTTTGTCTCTCCCTTTTTCTCCCAACCTCTCAACGTTTAAATCCCAACCAACCCAGGACACGCAGAAGACTATTGAAAAGTACAAGTCGGGTTTGATCCCGCCCGACGACTTTCCCATGCAGGATTTGGACGACCCGAATTCAATCGGGCCGGACCCCGACACTGTGTCGATTACTAGCGTTAGCAGTGTCAACGGGGGCCCCGCCAAAGGCTTTGATAAGAAAAAAAAAGGAAAGGGCCGTTTCCTTCCCAGAAAGAAAGTAAGTACTTTTGAAAGCTTGTGTCAAGGAGAGGAAACCAAAACACGTTAAAACCCTCTCCTTTTCTTTTAATGACTATAACCAGCACCATTCCAAACAAATGGCTGCCTAATACGTGCGCTTTCTCTGGTACCCAGCGCCGGAGAGACGCCCCAAAGATTTTTATTTTGATTCTTTCTTTTCGTTTGTTTTTGACGCTAATGCAACTCATCCATTTTCATGACACAACAGCTTCAGAAGTGCATTTCTTTGAGTTATGATTTCCTTCATGGGCTTCGTACAACGCCCTTGTACTTCCAAACTCTCATGAATGCTAGCTACATGATCAAAGGGGATGACTGTTTTTCCTTTGCATTGTGTTCTCAAATGTTTGTTTGTTTTGTTTTAACTCTTTTCTCTATCGTATGATTTCTCTTTTGTAATTATTTTCATTTGACGTTCATTTCATTTTGTTTGTCTTCATTCATGTAACAACATTGACATCATAACCTCACATTAGTATGATACATGTACATAGAACAGTGTTCAAGTATTACACCAAGCACGCACTGAAAGGTCTTCCTGTTACATTCAAAGGAATTTCAAAGGTGGTCTATTAAAATAATTTCATTTCCATGGGCCCAATTTTATTCCCCCACATTTGTTATGCCATTGCTGTGATATTAGAAGCTAAAAATTGTTGTTTCAATTTTTCTGGGAATATTGAAGTGGTGGGGTTTGTTTTCTTTGGCAGGAAAAAGGTCTGTGGTGTATAGTCTGTGCATTAAGTTTGACTTTGAGAAACATCCAGACCTTTTCACTTTTGCAGAATATTACAGTGTGCAATACACCTTTGAAATGTACTAACAGTATTTTAAACCATCTGTCACTTCATGGATGGAATGCAACATGAATGACCTTTATGTGCCGTGACTTTGAACATTATCAAGGGCATTGTCAAGGGCATTTTCAATGACACTGTCAAGGGCATTTTCAATGACATCACACTCATCATTCTTTACACAATATTAACCAATGCACCCTTTGTACATGACTTCATACTGTGCACATATGGACATGCTACTAACACAATCATTCATGTGACAGAATACTTCATGGCTATCAATATTTAGTCCATTTAAAGAATAATCCAGAAAAAAAGAAAGAGATGATACCAAGAAGAAGGGGGTAACTTGATTATGCAATTTGTCTTTGTTAACTTTGTTAAATGAAATATTAGAGGGAAACAAAACCTTTTAGATTATAAAATGAGCTTTTACCATGTATTTTGGATACATGCCCAGTCTAATATAATGCATCACAAATCAGTTTACAAAGGAAAGTAATTTGCAAGAGCGAGTGATCTTGTGATTGAAAGTTATTTGATAAACATGTCAATCCAAACATTATATTTAACACAGTCCCCATAATTATACAATGAACATGTTTATTATGAAAGAAAGGAAAGAGAAGCGAAAATATTATTAAGTTATTAATGACAGGTTTTATGACCCTAATAAACTTACATTGCATCACTGTTTTGTGCTTAATTGATTGAATGTTCAAAACACACTACGATAGTTCATGTGTATATGAACTTTCAATTTCACATCTATTACAAAAATTAATACATTTTTTGATTTTAGATTTTATGATACATTTTATTAATAACCCCCTGTTCAAGATGTACAAAGAACATTTCCTAATGAAAAGAGAATTTTAGTTTCACACATAGCCGGAAATGATGAAACATTTAAATATGACCCAAATACATGTAGAATTGTTCATTAGTTGATGTACAGTTATCAATCGATCAATCTTCTTCAACATAGCAGTTCTATGTTACAGTTGAAGGCTTCTTTTAATGTATTTTGTATCAGATATGAAGCAAAAAAGGGTATAACTTTTAAATCACCTGTTTAATGTGAAAGTACATGTAGGTGATCAAAAATGTGTCCAAAAGTTGGAAGCGATAATTAGATGTTGATGACAATGGCATATGATATAATCAATTTCACTCTTTTCTCTTATGATGATGTTGCACTATGCTATTAGAGTAATTTGTACCACAAAACAGTTACTGATTATAGTAAGTACTTAGTTTATAAAATGAACATTCAATTTTTTTTCTCTTGCCAAATGTCTTTAATCAGAAAAATTTGGGCGTTAGTTTTCCTTTAAATACTAACCAATTCAAAAGGAAGTTTGAATTTTTCACGGCCATGTCTTCATATAGAATAGAATTTGAGAGAATAATTGCTTGATACATGTAGAATGTTCACCTTCCAGGTGTACTGTTTCACAAACTAATCATAAATCTAAGTTCACTGACATCCTCTTCATAACACACCTTTCAAAGGGGTGGACATGTGACTGTTTTGTGAAACCGGGCCCAGTATTCACAGTTGCATGATCACTCACTGCCCATTACTAACCCTCATCATCAATGGGACATCTTTCACCAATCAGGAACAAAAAAAGGAAGAACAAAAATATAGTTTAAACCAAATTTGATAAGATTTCACTATAGTTTGCATTACTTTCTTAGATTTAAAATGAAAAGTTGAAGGAATGTGATTGGTGATCACATTGTGCCTATTATACAAATGACTTATTTTTGTCACTTGTAAAAAGAAAAAAAAGACTTTGAATGGAATGGAATCTAATAATGTTGATGTTTATCTTTTGAATTTAAAGTATACAAAGAAATTAAGGTACTATAAACTGTTGTAGTTATGCTTTTTTATTGTGAAGTTATTTTTCTATACTTATTTATGCTAAAACTTTTAATTGACATGATTAAACTTTATAGACATTGATAAGAATTCGTCTGTACACGACATGCATGAAAGACTCAAAGCTAAACTCAGAACACCAATATGATACTTCATATTTTGATTTTGCATTTGCTAAAATATATTTCAAACTCAATTTTTAACTTTCACAGCCACGCATGATAAATTATTTATTTTTGCTTTATACTAATAACACAACAGAATGAACAGATATAGTTCGAATTATAAATGTTTTTAGTTAACTCAAAAGTAATTTTATAATCATATGTAAAAATCCAGGTATATCATACATGTATTTACCTAACATATATATTATTGTTTTTTTTTTAATATATAAATTTAGTTCTTTATTCACCCATATTAATTTTATCATTGTTTAGATTTTCCCCTCCAGCAATAAGTTTAGCCTTTGAAATGTAAAATAGGTATTTCCAGAGGGGAATCGCATAATTCAAGCAAATATTTTATGTGCTGTTATCAAATACATGACAATCTTCTACTAACAACAGAGAAAGATTTATTTTGCAACGTTAATCCATTTATTTACAATATTCCAGCATAAATTTTAACACAATATTTAATTGCCAATTTAATGAATGGTATATCCAGAGGCTTTGCCGTGAAGGGCGTTCAATAATAAGTTAAGCTGGGGGCTTGTCTCTTTCTATGGCTAGTACATGTATGTCATCAAGCTGAGAGCAAAAAGGGCATTAAATGTAAGCTTTTGCATAGATTTAATGCCCTTCTAGCTTTCAGTGAGGTAGACAAAACAACGATCAACAGCAGCCTTTAATACGCAATGCACAATTCTTCTTCCAGCTTTTATATACTACCTGGTAGATTTCATCCTCGAGTTACTTTGAGCATCATCTATATTATTTCCACAAAGAAAATGGAGTATTTAATTTCTAATAACTCCTTCAAACCAATTAGAAATACAGTTTGGAATTGAAATTGATTTGTTTATTTAGAAATGTGGAAATGATGCTCATTTCAATGATGCTCAGAACAATGCAAGGATTAAATCTTCCAGGTAATACATGTACATAAAAACTAGAAGAGGAATGTTCAAGTTTCTGCATTGTGACATATTGGCCATGCTTCTGGTCTGACCATCCCCCAGCTTTTAACACTGCATGCAAAGACGATCTAGAAGAATTAGGTAAAGTCTAGCTTTTTCTTCTCTTTATCTATTCTTTGCCAGGGCCTCGGGCGTGAGGTGAGAATATGCAATTGTTATATGTTTGTATTCAATGTCTTTTCCTCCGTCTCATACTGTCTCATAGTCACACCAAATTGGTCCTACTCAACATTGGTCCTAAACTAACATAGCTGGCGGCATTCAGGATAATTAATAATTATTAGAAAGGGGTATAGAGTAATAATAATAATAATAATAATACTCAGTTTTTATATATAGCACTTATTACAATCACTAAGCGCTTCCAAGCTTGGAGTAGAGGTGTAGATCTAGTCGATGTGTCATCGGACTGTGGATCACATGGTTCACTGTTCGCACCCCTAATGTCTTTTGAAAGACATTAATATATACATTTGCCACTCTCCACCCAGGTGTAAAATTGTACCATGAATGCTGTGAGCACTGAAAACAGTAATCTGGTATCGCGGCGGTACTATTTGAGCACCTTGAGCATCTTGCATGGTATTAATTATAACTGTTATTATTAATAATGATTATAATAAGTGTTATTTATATAAGTCTGCTTTTCCATTTGCAGTAACTGTATTGTAGAATGTATTCTTACCCCGGATACAGCTTACTGGCCCAATAGGTTGCTCCAGGATACCCATGTTCACCTGGGTGGGGAGTTGCAAATGTAGTTTAATGCTTTGCTAAAGGATGTTAGTACTTAGCAGGGATTTGAACCCTTAAACTCTCCAATGAAGTCAAGTAACTGCACCACTTTACTATAATCCTTCAATGTTAGGGTTAATGCGAGGTCAATACCTTAGTCTGAACGGTGCATTCTAGAAACTAATCATGTTAGCTTCGGACCAGTGGTGTGTAGGGCTGAATGGTGTATAATCTCTCAGACAATAAGTATATCTCCTCAACATTCAGCACAATATATAACAATATAGAATAGTTGCCAGACTTTTAATGCACTCCATGTGCAATACACACATTCTACACCACTACATTCATAGTCATTAGTTTGAGTCATCCACAGTGATATTAATCAGACTGCATCAAGGGCTGCAGAAATTCTAACTTGAGCTTTGGGTCAATTATGGGGCATAAGGCACCTTAATCTCAAAGTAACTGCAATATTGCTTTCAACCAGCAATCTCTGACTCTTTATACACTGCAACACAATAGAATTTTACATAAAACATACTAAAACAAACATAAAATATTATAATTTGTCCTGTTTTTTCCCTAATACAAGTAATGCATTGTTATGGTTTATAACTTTAAAGTACATTAGGCCTGGCATGGAAAGTACACATAGCATTTTCAATTGTACTTATTTGAATAAATTAAGTTCATAATTTGATATTAGATATTGAACCTTGGAATGATTTTTATGCAGCCTTTTAATAGTTCATACTAAAACTTTTATAGCAAAGCTAACTTATTGAAAAGTCTGTTATGGAAAACACTTGAGGATAGTTATCAATACAGGGAATAATTTTCCTGGTATCGCATCGCAATTTGCTATGCATTTTTGCATGACTGCTATACAAAATATCTTTTGTGTAGCAGTTTTCTTCCATAGAAATGTACAGAATTTCATTTGAAATATTTATCCATCGCCTGAAATTGCTAATCAAAAAATTTGAGGAAAATTATTCCCTGCAATAGAATATAAGGTTATCTCTGATCACTTTTGTTGTTCATATATACTCTCGATATATTTAATGGCTGCCTAAAATTGAAATGCATTAAAGCGTACAGAGATACACAATGTACATGTTATGTATGAAGCACAAGCTTGCATCTTCCAATGGGAATCTTGACCACGGAAGTACAGTACTTTTCATTATGTTGTCCTTGTTCAATCCTATCTGTGCATCTTATGCATGCATGTAGTAATTAGTCATTTGAGTGACTGCATAGTTCAATTGTCTCGTTTCCTGGTAACAATAGTCCCATAGTGATATATTGCTGTTGTTAATTATGTTGACTTGACACAATAGTTAACTCTCAGTTTCAATGCTCGATTATAAGTACATATGGTGAGAGTGGAGCAAATAACCATACACAGCTAGGCTCTCGACTTGTAGTGGTCCATGTTTATATTCTTATTGTACTCCCAAACACTTTCACTAACACTCCTCATCTATGTATAAGGGAGTTTACAGATACAATCTGCCTGCGCATGGGCAGATAAAGGTCACTTGTACCAAAATGGTAACACCCACAGAGATGAAAACTAGATATGCGCTTATGAAAGTTATGTAACATTATTCATTTATGCACCAACGGTACATTCTATGATACGCAGGTTGAAGTATTCTTTTCAAGAGGGCAAACAAAAGGTATTCGTGAAGCACATCTAGGACTTTGGCAGTTATTATTCTAAGATGCTCAAAGTGGAACTTCTCCATGTGTAAAAGATCTGTGGATATTTGTGGTCATTTGTACCATGTGCTATCTGTAAACTCCCTTATTGGAAGACCAAGGATATCTGCTGTAGTTCTTTTCATTGCAAAGAGATGAAAGTCCGCCCGGATATTCTATTACAAATAAAGAGCAAAGACAAGGGGGTTGCCGCTTTTGGGTTCAAGTTCAGTGTCTTTTATGTGACTAATATGCATTATTGGTGTTTTTATACTATATCTTCCACTTAATGTTTTTCTTTTCTGACTCTATTTGCCTGTGAAAACTATCTGAATCTCCCTTGTGTTTATTTCAGTGTTTATTTCTCTCTCTGTCTCTCTCTCTCTCTCTCTCTCTCTCTCTCCCTCTCTTTCCCCTCTATCTCCTCTCTGCCCTCTCCCCATTTTTCAATTTCACTCTCTCTTTCATGCCCTCCTTTCTGTCTCTCCCCTCTCAATCTCTCTCTCTCTCTCTGCTCTCCCCCTTTCTATAAATATGCTTTGATATATTCCAAGTTCCTTAATTTCTTCACACTCATCTAGCTCAATCTTTGGTTGTCTTTCTAACCCCTTATTTCAGTCTCAAACCAATGATCATTTGTCTCCCCAATTTTGATTGTTGTTCCAGGAGAATTTTTATTCAGGCGCAGAAAGTAGTTCGGTATGATATTTCCAGTTGCATTCAGCAGCATTAAAAAGCTGTTTCAAATTCTAAAATAGCAATTCCGATTAAAGTGTTATAAATGATCTCTAAAAAAATTCTGTATTGGCATGAAACTGAAGCGATCCCACAGAGCTAGCGCATAAAAGAAGTGAAGAGAAAGAATTGAAAATCATATAGAAAATGCTAGGAGATGTGAGAAAAAAAATGTTTAAAAGTAGCGAATTTGCACAAGAAATCGACCATATATTATTGCACTATTTATGTATTTATTTGTATTGGTTAGTAGTGAATCAGTGCAGCATTTAGTTCAATTTCTTCTTTCCTAACTTACTCTTACTTAAAAACTTTCACAACATTGGATAAGTCAAATAATGGTTACTAACAAATGGGATTTGGGGGCTTGCAATTCTTTGCCATTCTGTTTGGATTGGTAAAATTTTATAACTCTTGTTAACAGTAGCTTAATTGACTGAAATTAAATTGTAAAAGTTCTACATGTAAATTAGCCATTAATGTCAAAAGAAATTACAGAATCTTTACATTATTTGTTCATGTTTAATACTGACATAGCATTCACGTCATGCAAGACATGAGGTTAATCCTAAGCACAGTGTATAGAGTGTTTTTTAAGATATCTGCCTTGGGGAAAAAGGTCAAAGGTCCTTCAAAAAACACAATTGTGTAGGTTTTGATTACCTTTTGAAAGTGTTACAAGCACAAGTTTTCCTAGTAATAATCTTTTGAGAAAGTTGCTGTTTTTGATATCATCACAAATAGCTACAGTAAGTTCCTGTATTGCAATTCATGCATCTCCATATTAGACATATATTTTATTTATTGTTATCTTATCAGGAAGTAATGGTAGAATTGATAGGGAATATATGCATTGTAATATTAGTTGGTATCCTCTGCACTCTATTTGACCTAACTCTACTAATTGCTGAACTGATAACATGCCTAAATATATTGATACAGCCAAAGCCTAACTGTATTGATACACAGCACATACCTAATGATACCAATGCTTCTGCACAGGCACATAATCTACTGTTCTTTTTTTCTATTTTTGTGAGCCAAACTATTTCTATGTAATGATCATCAGCATAAAGGAGTGATTTATTATTCCTTCATATGAGAAGAAAGAGAAAGGTGTTATCCCTTTTATGGAGGGGAAGAGGATTATAGAGTAACAGTACTGTTAAACCTTGTTTCTGTTATTTTTCTGGTAATAAGTATTATTTTCCTTTTCATTTGAAACATTCATGTGTAATAGGATGATGGTATAGAAAATTGTCTTGCAGTGATTTTTTTTCTTCTTTCAACCAGTAAGGTACTGATATTCCAATGCATTAGTCCTCAAAATGCTGCAGGAAGGGAGAAAGAAATCTAAGCTCTTTTGATTGAGATGCACAAACAAAATATATGCACAGCAGAAATCCATGTACATGTATATAAGCATGGGTATGCACAATCTTAAAGCCCCACTGCACTACTTGTAGCTGCTGGCGCCCTCTATATAGCAAACAATGTCGAATCGGTACCTGTTGGTCCCCCATGATCCCCTTTTTCTTCTGTTAATTGAGAGCTGATTTGATGAGAAAGCCACCTGTCAGTGACCTCGCAGGGAGGTCTAATCCCTCATGGTCAAACTACATGTAGTGCAGACAGGCTTGGATTGGACTGGAGGAGGACTTTGCCTGCTTCCAGTCTACCACAACTCATTGTATAACTCTACGAGAGTAATATAGCTATAAGAGAGTCGTCTGGCCATCAATTTGTTCAAACCATGGGTTTACTTATTGGATCAACCTGCGTTGGCTAATTTGTGGCACTTCAAAATTAACAGTATTGAAAAACTATTGAACTAGCAGGGGAAAATATCACTAAATGTTTATTTTAAAAAATTAAAAAATAAATCATAAAAGTTGTAAAAAAAAAAAGAAGGAAATCACAGCAAATTTAGCAGCTACTTTGCATTCAGCATGTAAAAGCACCTGTCAACGATATATGTATCATTCACAAAGAGAAACCAAAAATTGTACATCAACACCAGAGCGTATAATTACAGCTACACAATGTACAAATTATCAAATGCCTAGAAAACATTCATATGGGCCAAATGTATGACATCAAATGATGACATGAAAGTGTATGCATATCATTAAACAAGTGTGCACACAACATACACAATTTGTATAAACCACAAGCACTTGATACAAAAAAAAGAAAATCTATCTAAAAATAAATAAATAGCAAAAAAGAGTTTCAAAAACATATGAAACATTATTACATTATTTTTTCTCTCTCTCTTTTTCTCTAGAGATATGTTTTGCATATCTTCTATTATTTATATTCTGTTATAATTTTTGTTTTGTTAGATTTTTTTCTTCAAATAATATAAGTGTCATAAATGTGTTGAAGGTGAGAAACTATGTGATAATTCATATAGTGTGGGTAAAATGTAGACAGGATACCGATATCAAATATTAGTACTGGAATAGTTGTCTATATATCCTTACAACATGACAAATAAGAATTCAGAGTAGAAATAATTCTTGTTATGGATAGATATGGGTGTACATGTACATTCATTGTCATTGTGTTTGAACTAAGAAAGAGGGTATTGTACTTAATAACTATATGATATAACACTTTTGATGTTGCTAATCTGTATGAAAATGCTGTCCAGAGCACAATTTGATTGTAAGACTTAGCTGTTGTATTATAGAATGTGATGCATTGTTATCACAGTGTATTTGAATTTGCCTAGCAACCATTAAATGTCAAATGATTAGAATGCCCCTGTCTTTTATTAGAATATTAATGTTGAAAGCATTATTCTCTTAGTTCCCCCTTACTCCTCTGTTCTATTAACCCTGATATATGTACTGATTTTCTGAATTAACCTCTAATATGTAAATGCAGACTCTTCTTTCTGTTCTTTCTTTCCTTTCTCACTTTTCATTTTTCCTTGATTTGTTAATCATGTATTTCGTTGTATGATTCCTTCAAATCAAATGATTATTGTCACTAAATCTTTCTTTCATGTTTCCTTTTCATTAGCTAATCTTTCTATTTCTATATTCGGAAATATACCTTTACATTTCTTACGTTTTCTACATACCCCCCTCACTCTCTCTTCCTCCACCTCCACCCCCCCCCCCTCCTCTCTCTCAATCTCCTCCTCCCCACCCCCCCCCCCCCCCCTCTCTCGATCCCCTCTCTCTCTCTCTCTCTCTCTCTCTCTCTCTCTCTCTCTCTCTCTCTCTCTTGGGTTATATACTCCATACCATTCCTCCTCTCTTCTTTTCTCTATCTTTCTCTCTCTCTCTCTCTCTCTATCTTCACAAATATCTGTTTTTCTTTGTCCCTGTATATTTGTTTGTCTCTGTCTCTCTTATACCTATCTCCATCTATATTCTCTCCTCTCTGTGTTTCTTTCTCTTTCTCTTTCTGTCTCACCTCCTCTTTTTTGGTGCATTATTTTGCTGTTGACACTAACCAATGTTCTGCCTTCCCCCTCCCCCCTTCATTGCCTCCTCGTTGCCCCACCCCGCCCCCCTCCCACCAGGAGGATAAGGACGGCTCGCGCGCCTCGACCAGCATCAAGATGAAAATCCCACACACACCATCCTTTAGACGCAAGGTATCATGGTTATGAACTTTAACCCCTGGGTAGATGAACGTTAACCCATGGATTTAGATATTGACTAATAGACAGCACGTCATTGGTGCACAGTAGATAGATAGAGATCCCATTTAATACAGGCACAGCTATCACACCACACAAGATGTACCTATTGATGTAGCCATTGGCATCGCCCCAGAGGAAGACGCCCCTTTCCCCATTCATGAATATTATAGAGATTTTGTAGACCGATGAGAGTTCTTTAAATATTCACTCGCAAAATTGCTTGGGCTGTCCACTCCAACAAGAAAAAGCTATTGCATGTAGCATAGGGTAGTACTAAAATTGAAATTGACTAGATGACACATAATGCTCTTACTCAGAAATTGGATGAGGGATCATCTGGAGTATGGATAGGCCTTTGGAGTATTTCATCATGTTTCAGATCATGGAATTTGAAAGATTTATATTCAAATGGAATTTGCCCTTGAGACAACAACTATGTGATAGAGCAAATGATGCAATTATTCTTGTATCATTGTTTCAGGGGGAAAAAAGCAAAAGTAACTTTTTAAAAGATCAAAATATATGTTTAGCTGGTTGCATTTTATGCATCTCCCAACTATTTATCCTAGAAAAGTAAAATTTCATCTAATGAAAAGTCAATGTTTAAATCAATTTAAAGGCAATACTTTTCTGTTATAGGATTGACTCATCTACGATAAAGTTCTTTGAAAATTGCTGTGCCTGTCTTGAAATGAACAACTAATTACTGTCTCGCTAGAACCCTGCTTATGCGTCTTGCTAAATGGTTTGTGCCATGTTATTAGTTTGCATGTACAAGCATGGATTTCTCATCTGTATTTCATTGAACGGCCTGCTTCTCGTTTTATTCAATTCACGTGCGGATACAGCTACTGAACAGAAGACACATTGTTTATGAATTCAAAGACAAATTCAGAGAAATCTTAAATTCTACATATACTGATTTTAGATCTCCCAAACTTCAGGAAGGATTCAACAATTCATTTGGAATATGGTGTTTTCTTAATTTCTTCTTGTTTTGTTTTTCCCCCACAACTTTTAACTCCCAATTTGATTCTTTTTTTGCTTTAATTTGGTGAAAATCACAAACAGTTTAGTTGGAAAATGTATTGTGTTTTTAAGGGTTCACAAGACATGAAAAAGGATATTCACAAACATTAGATCTCTTCTTTTAAACCCAAGGCAAAGACACATATTTTGTTGCACATTAGAAAACATTATAGAATTCATTTAGATTAGTAGCTGACAAACTGTATTCATTAGAAGAATTCATTAAGTAGCAATTTTATCTCTGGTTTCCGTGAATCTATGAAAATGTAAGTGCCCTATGATTAATACCAGTAGGTAGATGTGGGATTTTGTTATGGTCCTTTTGATTATGTAATAATGTATGGAAGGACAAATGATTGAAACTTCTGCAGCTGTAATGTACACCGTATCTGTTTTGTTTGGATTAGTTTTGGTTCATCTAGAAGCAGTTTGTTTCTTGATATTGTCTCTCCTTATTTATGATTTGGTTTGAGCATGGCATTTTTGCTACAATGCATTTTTGCATGCTACTTTACTTTGCGTTGAACAGCTATTTGAAGTATTATTAATGTCAGCTTTGTTGTAGTAACTTATCAAATATGGCAATTAGTAGCTTAATATTGATGGACATTTGAAATGTATACTTGTCTATATGTTTTCCCAGCTTTGGTTGTGATAAAATCTGTGTGTGCACTCTATACACGTACATCTGTATATTTGCATCATTTAATCAGAGTTCAAAATAGCAGCACAATATATGTACATGTATATATTTCACCACAAAGACCATATTAATGCAGTGTATCAATATAAGCACACACAAAATCAAACACATTGATCGGTTTCACAAACAGAATACAGCCTTTTTGTAAAGAGAATGAAATAAAAGTATAATATCTTCCACTCCCCAGGGAGTGGAGATTGTGCACACAGTGTGTGCGAACAAGCACTGAATCCAATGACCGGGGTAATAGTATATTTGTAAAGCGCTTAGAGACATTTGTATTAAGCGCTATATAAAAATTAAATATTATTATTATTATTTCAGATATTTTGTTACCAAGCTACTGCATCTGTATTTATAAAGTTTGTGTATTGCAATGGCTCTTGACTAAGTGGAATTTTGCCCCACTTTATTTATGTCTTATTTGCAATGCAGTTGTAAAATTATAATATAATGTATACTCAAATGCAATCTGTGCTTGACGGGTCAAGAAACTACAATGTAATCGTAAACCATATACAATGCACCCGGTATGCATACACTTATATATTCTAATTTTGTATATGTGTACGTGTATTTATAGATATACATTATGCATATCACTTTGCATAAATCACTATATATTACACAGATAAATTACATATCAGCACCTTCCCACAATTTACATATAAAGAACAACAAAAATATAACATTGGACACTTGGTGTGTGCAAAGTTGGTTTTGTCCGGTTCAAATTGCATAATATTCGTACATATCCACAACATGTACATGTACTCCCAAAAGCACTGAAAATCCCCTGTGCACAAATATGCCACTATGTTCATTTGTTCAAACAGGCTTTTTCAACAGAGAGATGATTTATGTTTGTTTATTTTATTTTATTTTTTGTGTCTTTTGTTACCTGTATTTGTACTTTACCTTTGTGTGATTTTCTACTCTGTATTAATTTCACAGCTTTTCAGTGATACAATTTTTTTATCGTTTTATTTATTTCCATATGCTTTTAGGTAATGTACATTATAGTAGTGTACCACATTATTATTTGTATTTTCTTTATCATTTAATTCTTATCTTTTGCCCTTTCATATAATTCTATATTTGTGTTTTATTTGTTATTATTTTGTCTGTGGCACAGGTTCTGCTCAGAAAAAAGGTGTGTTAGATCATCTCTTTCTTTTGATTTAAATTTTTTTTATCTCAAACTTATTTTCACAAGTTTAAAGACGAGGGCAAACAATTTCACTTGAAATATTACTTTCCGATATGTTGATAACACTCTCCCAATTGCTTACATATCTCTCAATAACTGTAGCCTCTGCTTAAGTTCATGGAATTCTCCAGTTAACTAATCAAAATCCATCCTTTAAACTACCTCCCTGTCTGAAAGATGAGTTCTCATTGGTTGTTGTAAGATTCTGGCCATTACCAATCAGAATCTACAAATACTTGACAACTTGTTATGAAATTTAACTTATTGGTTTCATATTTTGAATAAGCAACAGGACCTTGTCTTTCAAAATTAATCTGTATCATAAGAGACTGATTCTGATTGGCTGATGACAGTTTTCACCACCAATTTGATTTTTTTTTTCTTCTTTCCTTTTAAAACTGAAAATCATCAGAGAAACTATGTCATTGGACTATTCAAAATTCTGCCTTCAACCAATTAGAATTTGCCTTTCAAACGTGGCCCCTTCTCTCATTGGCTGTTGAAAGTTACTGTAAACAGCCAATCAGAATCGATCTTTAAGGACTAGACCTTTCCCTGGGAGGCCAGAATTGTTATTAGTTGAAAGAAATGCCATGAAAATATGTATGTGTATGCTGGGTTGTCTGGGCAAGTTACACTTCAAGATCACTTTCTTTAATTACTTTCTATTCTTTTTCATCACAAATTCATACATTGGTTGTATTTTTTATTTAAAGTATTTTAAGGGCATTTAGGAGCAATGGTTGACAGGAATTAATGTAATGCTCACTGATAAGTATTAAAGTGCAATGTCACAATGTTGCATATGATGTATATGTATACCAGGTATTGTCTTTGTTAAAAAAGAAAAAGATAGAATAATCTGAGGAGCCCTATAAACTCTGTTTTGTGAGCACCTTTCTGGCTTTAATTATTTGCGTTGTGATATTTTATGGTAAATGGCAATATTGTCTGTACAGAGACAGAAGGGCGTTAGATGATATGCATTTGGGTGACACAGAAGCAACTTAAAAATGCCAAGATTGAATAAATTTACCATATCAAGGACAGGGGTTTTGTCAAAAATATATATTTTTTTGTCTCTATTTACTACATTTTACCTAGTTTTCTTTTAAAATACATCTTTCCCTGGGAGGTTTGGACAAAAAGAGCTTGGATATTTTAAAGAATGACATAATTAACATCGCCACCAATTCCATAAAAGAAATTAATCCCTTAATGGCTAATACATCTAAATTGATAATGGTGATGGTGATGACATAAAGCCTCAAGCCCAGCCAATGCTAACTTCTCTGTTCAATTTGAAATGCTCACTGCTCAGATACATAAAGATACACTGTACATGTAAATACTTTATCTATATGTCCAAATCATTTTCTATATTCTTCTGAATAGTAGTTGTACACTTACATGTAGTAGAGGGATATCTTGGGTCTATCTATTCACTCTTGAGCACTTTCTCTCTGCTGCTATTCATTCCTCCAAAAATATTTCTGAGATGGATGTAACCTTTAAGTTTACATGGCAGTATGGACTGTCCGAATAGATCCATACGGGGAAACTTGGAAAGCATATCTTGGGATTTATTCACCACAATGTAGAAGGTTCAAGTTTGTAAGGGAGGCACTAGTTTTTTCTGAAGGTTTGAAATTTCTGAAAATTAATTAGGATTCGTATTGCCAAAGGCTTTTTGTGTTATTACGAATGCTCATTCATCCAAGGGTTCATAATTCCAAAATCTAAATATGGTTCATACCTTAATGACATTGAAGCCTGTACATTATTTTTGGGAAGTTTTGGAGTTATGAACCCTGTTTAGTTTTCAGAAGTACGAACCTTTGGAATTATGAACCTTCAGAAAAACGACATGTGACCTTTGTACCGGTAGATGGTGAATAGGGAATAAGACTCTCTTTTTCACTCATTGTTTCCTCATCTTCTATCTCAATCTTTCTTTTATCAATCCAAAATCATGCGCAATTAATGCGTCGCATTAACTGCGCACTAATATAAGTGTTTCACAGGTTATGATATTGCATTGTATTTGGCTTAAGCCTGCTAGGGAGCTGATTACCAAAGTTGGCTGAGTATTTTATCTAAGCTGAAAAAAGTTAAATATTTATATTTCTGACATAAGTATTGAGTTCAATACTGGCCCAGAAGAATGTTAACTATAATTATGTAAAAAGTATATGATTTAAGGCCCTTCTGATTTGATTAGACGACATGGTCCATAGTATCCTTTGATCTTGATCCTAATATATAAAATCTTGATTTCACAGCAAAGTAATTTTTTGTTCTGTGAGCCATGCTTTGAATTTTGACTTGTTCAAACTGAGTCGTTACTGAAAATGGATAATAAATTACTGTATCTATTCATGTCGAATTGATAATCAGCTAGATATTGAAGGGTCATTCCGATATATAGCCTGTTTTGCTAGAAAGATAATTCTCTGTCCTTTTTTGTAAGATACTCTTGTTTTGGATTTGAACCATTTTTTTCGGTTCACCATTTCTGCAGTTTAATTTTGTTTTCAAATTCCACCGTTCAGAATCCTAAGGCATGTTCATAGCATTTACCTTATTTTGAATCTACAAAGCATGAAAAGAATTAAAAAGCAAGAGCTTGCTGAGTACATCCAATCTTTTCAGATTGACCATCGCTGATATTTTTCCCACTTTTTTTTCCAAAATCTTTTCAGAGACCACTGTCGTTTTTTCAGGTACGTCTGCTGATGACTAAAAATAACGAGTTTGTAAAAAGAAATCAGATTTTCCAGTTTTGCTAATTGAGTTTGAGAGTCTTGCAAGTTCTTTGTTACTTCTTACAAGTAGTAATAGAATTGTCATTGAAGAAACATCTGTGCATTTGAGTTTTCATCGATTTCTGCATATTTGAAGGCTATTTTTTGTCATATTTATCCTGATTTTGCTTGTGCCTTCCCGACATTCATACAATTATTTTTATTTTTGGAATAAGCAGGGAAACAAAAAAAAAGGGAAAGAAAAATTACCCCCTTTGATTGAAGAAAGAGTTTATTTCCAGAAGATTAAATTTAATTGAAAAGAGGTATTTAAAAAATGCCTGCTTTTTACGTTCTAACACCAAATTCAAACTAAATTTCAAGCTTTATTTGAAGATTGAACTTTAATTTGCATATTCATTTGAGATCTGCTTTTTTTATGTTGAACAAAATCCATGGGTAGAAAGGTAATGATTTACCTCTGCAAATCTCAAAAGGGCTGCAATTATTAAAAGTGATTTATTTCAGAAAGTGGGCTATAGCAAATTTAAAAAGAAGCTTCCATGAAGAACTATATTTTTTGATATGGCATAGAATGCACCATTTTCTTGTCGGCATGTCAGCTTTATATATAAATTTGGATATGTTTAACATGACCGAGACACAATGGATCTCCCCTTTCCAATTTCTCATAAGTCTGGGTTCTTTTAAGGGGTTTAATAGGAGTTGAAAATGAGTTATCAGGAGGAATTGCGGTAATTCGTCGTTGATAATCATTTTTCATTCATACATTTGTTTGAAGTCAATCCATGTGCATGTATTTCATGCACCCAGATATGATCTTATTTTTTACATTGCAGTTCAATTAATTTTTAATTTCGATTTATCGATTGACATAAACACTTGATATGATAAGATTATCATTATCAAATTCCTTTAAGATCTTTTTTTTTTAGACCGGGCTAGGGGGGGGGGGGTTGTCTTTGGAAGGGGGTACTGATTTTGATAGTGTAATGAGTGAAATAGAGTATTGAAAGTTATTCTTAACCTTTGACCTACTAAAGCTTTAGACAGTGAATTTAATCTAATTTTATTTTAATTTTATTTGTACATTGATGTGGTTTGTTTAAACATAGAAACAAATAATATATTGACTTTATTTACTAACTAGCAATATGCCTTGTTTTTTAGTTTAAGAGAGTGAATATGATATTCTCTACTTCCAATGCAGAGTTGTTTTTTTTATATCATACTTTGACGTGATTAGCTTTAGATATAAAGTAGTTATATTCATAAGCAGAATATATTGACTGGATTTTTTTTAATTACTTTAAATGCAGCAAGATTTCTTTTCTTTCAGACACCTAAACAGTCTCTTTTTCTCTCAATCTGTTTAATGTTATGACCCCCATCCCCGATTATTAGGGGAATGCAGAATTTTTGCTTAAACTCTGAAAATTGTTTTCATCATTCTAGTAACAAAATTTAAGGAACTGGTAGTTGTATACAGCCAAAAGTTGCACGTGTACATATCTTTTTACATTAGTTAAAAGAAGTTTACTTCTTGACATTACCTGGTAAAGTTATTTCAATATAGGTGATATAAGTATGAAGACATGTGAATGCAATCAGCATTTCATTTGGATATTATTCCATTGTTTTGCCTCTTATAGAGTGTGTTTTGTGGAAATTGTAGATATTTCCCCCTTGTTATGTCTGCAAGCTGTGAGCTAGTTTGTTAGTTACCGGTAGCTGGAACTTGTGCCATAATTAGCTCTTGTGAAAACTGCTCAAACATTGAAGTTGAAGAGAGAATAGTATTGTTAGACGGGATGATCGTGTCACACCTACCCCCCCCCCCCCCCTCCCCTCCCCTCCCCTCCCCTCCCCTCCCCTCCCCTCCCCTCCCCTCCCCTCCCCTCCCCTCCCCACTCCCAAAACAAAGCTCTTTGCCAGCATCTTGCCTGCAGTAGGTCATTAAAAAAAAATCCTAGGAAATAGGTTTACATTATCTTGATACGTATGACTTATAGTGAGAAACCTGTAGGCTTTAAAGGAATAACTATCAATATTGCATACAAGTTGTTCATAAGTATATATCTTGGGGTTTTGACCTTTTGCGCAGGCCTAGGACACAGGCCTAGGACACATCTCCCACTCGCCTTCCTAAAAGTGCCTTTCTTGCCTCACACCATGTCCCCTGTAATACACTCTTCTCCTCCTCATGTTATGAATATTGTAAATAATTCATGTTTCTTTTGTTTATCTTGTTTGTTTGTTTGTTGGCCTGTTCGTTTGTTAAATCACCTGATTGTTTGTAAGCTGCATCTCGTCTGTGTGTACACTGGATGTACTTTTATATTTTTGCATGACCCTGTGGAGCATTCCAAAAAGACTTGTAACGGTGAAAAGGTGTATTTTTTTTAATGTACAAAGCAAGAGCAGTGAAATGGTCATGATGTTAATTATACATGTACAATGTACACTGCTTGTTGCTACGGTGATTGGATTGTTGTTGCTTCACCATTGTGATGTAATTATGAAGTGCACCCTCTGTTGGCTGCATGTGCATCTTGAGAAAGCAGAAAAGTGCATGCTAGAAGGTTCTTAATGCTTTACTCTGCCTGCACCAGCACTCTAGTCTGTAATGCATTATGATTACATTGTAGGCACAGTCAAACCTGCTTTAGTGACCACCTGTCTACAAAGACCACATTTTTTTGTTTCCCATGAAAATGGTTTCTCATTGAAACATGTACTAAAGGAGCCTGTCTGCAAAGACAACTTTTTGTGTTTCCCTTAGGCGGTCACTATAGACAGGTTTGACTGTATTAGCCATGGGTTGAGGACAAGGGATCCTATGCAAGAAATGGCGTATTTTTTGTCTAAGTTTGTTGATTTTAGTGGGATGTTTGCAAACTTAATGAATGTAGACTTTGAATGTATGGTTGCTTCTTACAGTAGGGGGGGGGGGGGCTGTAGAAAGACAGTAGCTCTAGACCAGGTTGATAAGAGTTGCCTCCTTCTTTACCCTCAATTAACACAATGGCATTTAGAAATATGCACTATAGAATAATTGATTTCAAAATCACATAACCTGTACTTCTATTATTAGACAATATATTTTCATTTTATTTGAGAGATAGTTCAGTGCAAAATACATATAACCAATGGGTGTCTCAAATGTTTGTATCCTAATTTCCTTATTTTAGCAAAAAATAAATTGATTAGCAGAATCAAAACATTGTTGAATAGTAGTTAGTTTTGGAGCAAAATGATAGAAAACTCACAGAACTCAAACACACGCTCAAACACACGCTCAAATTACTTTAGCAGAAATTATGCTTTCTTAGCAGTCAGGTGAAATAACCACCACCATCACAGAATGGATATCTCTAATACAAATTTTGTTTATTACTCATAAATATACTTCCACTCAGATATACATGTACTAGTCCGATCCACAAAGACATCTACTCATCATATTATGTTGACGCAACTTTCAATTACAAATTTGATAAAGGTACATCATACATTCACATACTTAATACATAAATAATGACAAGAATTATGACACATGTAGTTTTCTACAAATTTAAACTAAAACAATTCATTATTGGAGGCAATAACAGAAAATTAAATACAAGTTTAGGATGTTTTTAGGCATGGTAAGTATCACAAATCAAATCCATATGAGGATTGAAGGTAGCACATGTGGCCTTTGTTTCTTCATTAAATGTTGGCATATGATTTGTGCAAGATTGTGCAGCAGTCTGTATCAGGGGGGTGTTTCACAAAGATCCTAAGTTAAACTTAACTCTTAAGTTGGACTTAAAATTTATGGAAAACCATTCGTAGCCTTGAAATAAAATATATTCAAAAGTGAAAATTCAAGTAGTTATAGACTTTTTATAAATTCCACATTAAGAACATGAAATCTCCTTGATAATAGAAAATATGAATGATTTGAATCTCCATTTTATGCCTTTCAAAATAACTTTTACAAAATATTTTCATAGATGCTGACAGCTTTCCATAATTGTTAAGTCCAACTTAGAGATAAGTTAGGATCTTTATGAACCACCACTCCCCTGATCTGTTATTTGGACGTACTGGAAGGTGTTTCGGGCAGTTGTGTTGTATTGTTTGTGATTGGTATGTATGTATACACTGCTCGCCAGCATGCTGCACGAGTTTGCGACACTTCAGACGATGCGATCGAAGGCTTACACATTTTTTCTTTCAATTTTTCTTGAATTTCTATGCATGAATAAACAGGAGGAGCCCAAGGAGGATTTCAGTCACTTGCCACCCAACCAGCAGTCAAAAAAACTGAAGGAGAAGCTGGATGATCTCAACAATCTCATAGAGTCAGAAGTCAAATCAAAGTAAGTTGGAGATGAGGGTGATGATGGTGAGGAGGAGAAGGAGGTGGGTTTTGTTGACGATATTGAAGGTGGTGCTGCTGGTGGTGATTAGCAGAGCTGCCAGCTAGTACGGATTTCCCGTAATTGGTATGGAAAGTAACGATCATTACGGCAGTACGGAATGTTGTCTAGTATTACAGATTAAAAAAATAAAAGATTAAATATGATTCATCGTAGCGAGTGCTGTGCAGTATGGCGGCCATCCAACACTCGCTGAAAAAGACGGAAACGTATCATGTATTCTCTTAATAAAAGCCAATTTTTCATGGAAAATAGATGTGTTGTGATGGCCTGAAAATCAATATTTAGCAATTTTGTGTGAGTAAAATCACCAAAAATTTCTGATAATCATGCGCGCATGCGTCCTCGTAGTGTTGGCATGCCGTTTTTTTAAGATTTATGGCACTGCATAAAAATTTACTGATTTATTCCCAAAATTAATGATTTTCTGTTCTGGAGGTTGGCAGCTCTGGATTAGGATGATCATAGTGATCGATGATGATAGATGGTGGTAATGGTGGTGAGGAGGAGGAGGAGGAGGATGGATGATGATTATTTTGATGGTGGTGATGAGGAGGAGAGTGCTTTATATGGAGATGATATTGGTGTTGGTAGTAGTGGTGATAGTGGTGGTGATTGTAATCATGATGATAGTGTTGGTATCCACTTTCATGTGAAATTCTTGACTCACTATATCAAAGGAAAAAATTAAAAAGACAAGGTCTCACTCATATCATTTCTGATGATGAAGTATTCATTACATTTTCATCCAATTTGCATTTTTGTCCACTTCCAGAGAGGGGCTCCAGAGAATGAGAGAGGTTTACACAAAGAACCCAACTTTAGGTGACCCGGCCAGTGTAGACCGGCAGCTGGCAGAGATAGGCAAGAAAATGGACGTTCTGAGAATGGACCTTAATAAATATCAGGTAAGATGACACCCACTATCATGGTTATCATCTAGGTATGAAAGCTCCTTTCATCATCTACACGTGTAAACATACATGGCGTGAGTCACCCTCTGTGCAGAGACTAGCTTCATTCACACATTCACCATTATGCTGGGTCAAGACCGGGTTACACTAGTGGTAGAACCAGATTACCTTGCGTTTGACTCAGGTTTATGTTCTTGTAGTACCATAGGAGTCTTGGTTGGGAATGGGTGTGAGTAGCATTTTGGAATAGAATAAAGCACGGTCATGCTGTCGGGGTTATGACTTCTAGGAATAGCCTTGCAAGATATGCGAAGATAGATATATTTTATTAAAATGGAGATTCAGAAGAAAAAAAAAAATCCTCTATCTTTCATCTCAAGGTACCTCCAGGAGATCATTGGTAAATAATGATAATAATGCTGCTGTTGTCAGCTTTCGATTTAATGAGGTTTTAAACTGCAATTTGACTTCAGATTAGGGTTCATTGTTAGCTACAGTAATTATCATTATGAGACACATCACCCATTCTAAAAGGAACCGGAATGTGTTGATTTAAACCATCAGGAATGCATGTTAAATGTCTGATGGAGAAGTCCAGCATGTCTATGTGATCATCTAAGTTGCATATCAACATGTCACCATATTTCAACTATTTTCTTTCCATTGCCTCATACAATGTGTTATCATTTGTGTTTTTTTTTTGTTGATGTTTTATTTGCTTGTCTCATATATTTGTTTTTGTTTGCTTCAAATTCTGTTAACTTCCACTGTCCATTTTCATGACCATGTGCAATTCAATGAGCTCTCATTTAAGGAAGAATTAGATAATTGTAGAAACCATTCTCTTGTTCCTTTACCATCGATTACCCCCTGGCCACAATAGCATTAAATATGTGTGTGCTTTTGCCTGCTGATAAGGCAAGAGTGAAAATTAAATGTATTGTGAGGGCGATACGGAAAAACCATCAAGTTTTGACCATCAAATATTGACCAATAAGAATCTAGGATACAACTGATGTGGATCCTGATTGGATGAGTAGCAAAGAGCTGAGGTTGATTCCAACCATTGTGAATGTAACATAGTAAGCCATCAGCAATAGACCAATCAGAATCAAGTATTCTGCTGATATGAATTCCCATTGGTTGAGTAACAACAAAATGAACTGAAGTTGATCTCAACCATTGTAAAGGCAACATTAGAAAGCCTTCAGCTATTGACACATCGGGATTGAGGATTCTTGTGATGTGGATTCCCATTGGCTGAGTTAAAAAGAGCTGAAGTTGATTTCAGCAATGGTGAAAGCAACAACCAATCAGAAGTGAGGATTCTGCTGATGTGGATTCCCATTGGTTAAGTCAAAACAAGAACTTGATTGTAACATTCTACAGTGTTCTAGGTCATGTTGCAGTTGCTTTTAAACACAATTGAAATTCAATCATAGAGTTAAAACTGGACAGATGTTTGCACAAAGTTCTGTAAATGCATGTGTCGGAGATTGTACAAAGATGTTGATAGAGTGTTGCAGTTTTCAGCTCTACTTTGCTAAAACTGATTTTTCTGCATCTTGAATTAAATAATGTTGATTCTTACATCTTGATTTGTGTAAATTTGTAAGAAATTTGACACTCTTTTTTTTCTTTTCCTTTTTAAATTTTGTATGTGCACATTTCTATTGGATATCTGCATCTTTAAGAATGAAGAAGAAACAAATTGTGATAAGAGTATTATTGTATATAAAGAAATAATTTCAAAATGAGAGAGAATTGCATGGAAGATAGCTTTGAAGGAATGTTAACCACAAGAAGACACTTTATGTATTAGAAATGACAGAAAGAGGTCAAAAACATGCCCAATATCTTTAATACTCAATCCACGATTTATTATCAACTTTTTAAGATACATGTAACTGAATTTATTCATGAAAGTAAAAGTACTCTTTTTATTTTATCTGTCACCTTCTGCCTCTGTGACACACTCTCTCTTTCTCCTTGTTTGACTTTTTGTTACTTTTTATTTCTGTAGTGTTAGAAAAGACTGTAAAACTGCTTTTTCTATTCCTTTGGAATTGAAGCTCTTTTGTGTTGGGGGGGGGGGGAGTGTGTCATAGAATATCAGCTATGAGAAATACATCCTGAATTATATACATGATGGAATCAGATAGATTTTCCTCTTTAACTTATTGAGACTTTACCTACCTACTAAGAGCCTGTCTGCATGTTGCATATGAGAGAATGCGTATAAGTTGTTTGAGTATGATTTTTTTTTCTTTCATAAAAGTGGTAAAGTAGATTGTTTTCATTGTTTATCCAGGGATAATCATTTCTGAAGACATTCAAGATTTGTGTTTCCATTTGATTTAATCTAACATGGATCGTGATTAGTACTTGGTTGTTCATTTGTTTTAACAGTCTAACAATCATTGTTCATCTACTAGTATTGAGAACCAGATGTACCTCAATAAAGTCTAAAGCGGTAGTACCCTCCAGTCTCAAAATCATTCAAAGATAAAGTTGAGTTCTGTGTTGGTCATGCGATTGCATAATGAAAGAAACTGTGTGCTAGTGATTGGAAAAGGTAGATTACATAGCACATAAGTATCGGTTTATGCTGTGAGGTTTTGGAATTATCATAATGATGCAAAATTGGCCCAGTCTTGCTAAAGTCACATGCACTTTACTTTAAAATGAGTATATGGGACTACACAGGCATGTGGCATGAAAGTGTGGTCCACAACCTTAAGTTGTTACTTGTCAAATTTCGAATATGAGGGGGCATTTGAAGAGCAATCCTTTTCAGGGGACATTTTTTTTCTAAGATACTCGTCCAGACCAACATACATGTAATTAGAATAAAAAAGCTCACAAATCATTTTTCACCTTTCCCAGAACTCAACCTTCTCTTTAACACAAACTTACGCCATCTTTTGTCTGGAAACCTCCCCATCGTATTCAAGATACTCTAACCGGTAATTCCCTTAGAATAAGCCAAACAACTTTCATACAGAAATGTTCTTGAAACAAGTACTGAATACTCTTAAATGATATCGTTTGCCCTCTGGTTCTCTGCTAACGATGTAATTAAAGATTAAACTTTTCACTTTGAATGGTGATGCTGTACATTTAGGACTTGCAGTTTCATATTTCTTAATGTATATGAAGCCTTCACAAACCATAATTTTTAATGAAAAATGGTTTGAATATTTAATGATAACATACAATGTAAGTATGTAAGTGCAAGATTGTGAATTGTGCATGGAAAATAGGATTAAACGAGGGTGTTTAAAGGTAATACAAAGTTTTGGGAAATTTTGAAAATTGGGTGGATAGTGATTCTTTACAATTTTGATATATTTGGATGCCCCTGTGGATGTATTATAAGCACTAGAAATTCAGCCCATAAAACACTTCTGCTTTAGAGAAAAATTAAATATAACAATTTACCGGTGCTCCCGGTAAATTTTGATAAATTTCAGATAGCGCTTACGGCCGTACAATGGTAGCTACGACCATGACAATCTCAGAATATGTAGTTGTGATATATAATTTCCAAACGGGAATAGCGAATTGGTCGATTTTAGTCAAGAAACATTGTTTCATAGCTTACTTAATATCTTGACCTTGAGAGGGAGCTATACAACATAAAGAGTTTATTATTTTAAATGTCATAACTTTAGACACGATTTCAAGCGCGACAACGATCACGGAATATTGTAGGATCACATATGCTTCTTATATGTTCATTTGAATCAAATTTATGATCCCATACCAAAACTTTGTATTACCTTTAAGCAAGAAAAAAATGTAAAAATTGTAAGCCTTTGGTAGTGTTCTAAAGAATTTTCTAATGAAGTAAATAGATATGATATTGCACTACTCAGCCATGGGGGGGGGGGAGGGGGGTTAGTAGCTAGAAGAATCCCCCAAATATCAACATATAAGTGAGAGTTTTGCATCCCCAGATCTTTGCCTTATGTCTGTCTTCTTATAGGGCTTTTTCCCCTTTGTATTTGAAGTTTTCTTTCTCTCTGGAAGTTACATGTTGTATGATTTTAACTGTTTATACTTTGAGTTTGTTGTAGTATAATTGCTACTACATAAGCTTGGCATGAATTGGTATATTTTCCTTTTTCTTTTGATTAGCTGTGTGCTTGCCTTTTTTCTTTGTTACTAACGCTTGTATTTTAGAGGAAGCATGTTATCCTTTAATTCTAATGGTGACTTAGTTGACTTAACAGACCTCACAAGGCATGAGAAGAATTTTATTATAAAACAACAAAATTGAATCAACAATAATTAAGTGCAATGATTATTGTGCACAATTTTGTGTACAACATTTTATCTTCATGGACAATTGACCTTTTTTTTCTTTTTTAAACTGCCCTGCTGGGGCTAATGACTTCCATGTTTCAAGGAAGTTTCTGTGGTATTTGTTTTGTGGATTTTTTTTAATGTGACGATTAATGAAGAAGCAAAATATTCTCTTTTAATGTTTGTTCAAAAGATTTTTTTTGAAAAATCTGAAAATTCTTTTTTGTCAGATGTGTTGAATGTTAAGAAACACATCTTTCTTACTTTTTTTTCTTCTCAAATTGTCAGGTTTGAAACTGCTTGTTTTATCAGGCAATATTCCATACATTTCTTGAAATAAATTTACACTTGTGAAATATTACAACTCTGTCAAAACAAAAACAATCATATTAATAATAAGAATAGAACCAGTACATGTGTGAATTTCAAAGGTTTTCTCATAGTGAGAAGAAAAAATAAGAAAGAAAAAAAAGGAGCTACGTGTGTAATGTGTTCCATTCTAAACATTGGAAACAAAATTTAAAATGATCCTGACTCTAAATTGTGATAATAAACTGTGTATTAGTGTCATGGTTTCATCTAGTACCTTTCCTTGAATACATGTAGCTTTTCTGGGTAGAACTAGATCGGCTGACGGTATTTTTTTCGGTATTGTGTAATGTGTTTTCCCCCCTGTCCTTTTCAACTGTAGAAATTCATGGGGCACTCACCATACAAAAATAACTCTCTTCCAAGTGTAAGTACTATATATATCATACTTGTATGCCATGCATTTTATTCCCAAGCTCTTTCTTTTGTTCCCCTTTGCCTCTCCCCTTGAAAAAATTGCAAGAGATCCGCAAGAAAGCCAGATCTTTCTCTCTTTTCTTCCTGTCTTTTCTTCCTGTCTTTCTCGCTTCAGAGCATGGCGTCCTATGCTTCAACCCAGCATGAATTTCTTTTCTTTTCCTCCCGTTAAAAATGAAGTCACGTTTTAAAAGCCCAAATTGTGATGCTTCCGCTTTACTAGTGACTTTGCTTTCTTTTGCGGCCTTGAGTTTGACAAAAGTCCTTGACTTGGCCTAAGATTAATCCTATTTCTTTTTAGTCTGCCCCTGAAAATGTTACACTGCATGCGTTGTTACTGTAAGTTTGAAAGTAGAAGTTAATGTTTTTCACTGTTAGATAAACTGTTTAAAGTAAAAGTTATTTGATTATCTTTCTCATGTTGTTTTTTTTTTCATTAGACCAAATATTTTTGCATGAAAAGTCTTTATGCTACATGTATTGTTACTTCTGTTTTATTCAAGAGTTTTCCAACATTCAACTTCTTTTATTCTAATTTAAAACCTAGGGCCTACTGGTTTGGAAATAAGTTTGTGTGAAAATATTGTCTTTAATGTTAATTTTTTTTTTTTTTTTTTTTAAGATGGCCTATTAGTTATTAAATCAACTACCGATATAGAAAATGTTAGGACCAAGGAAATTTTCAAGATAATCATGTTATTTCAAAATCAGAGATAAGTTGCAATATGCTGTATTTCAAAACAGCAGGTTTTAGAATAACATTGGATATTTCTTCTCAGTTTCAGTTTGTAACACGTATCTTGTGCCTGTGTTTGTGCTGCATTGTGATCAAATGTATGCATGTACTTGTACAACAATGGAAAAGAAAAGGAGAATGAGAGAGAGAGAGAGAAGGGGATGGGAGGGGGAGAAATTTGTGTGTTAAAAACAGGTTTTATCTCTATACCATATCTTTTAAAGAAATTTCTCTTCCTTTCTTCACTTTCATCAATTTGGAGCCTAGAGGAGTGTTAACTCATATACTTTACTGCATAGTCAATGCCTTTGAGGATCTGAACAGACAATTTATTATTGGGAATAATCAGAATGGAATCTGTAGATCACTGAGAACCCTATATTTTGTTTTGCTACTTTTAGCCTCCAACACATTTCAGACATGAAGATACATATACCATAATAATATAAAACATTCAGATTCAATACTTGTCTATAGCAATTATTTGAAGGCCCCTTTACAGTTTTAAAACAAAAACTGTGTCATAAACCATATGCGTGTATGTTTTTTTTTTAGGGGGGATGAAAGACATGAAAAAGCAGGGATTTGTTTAAATCTGCAAGGAGGTCGAACCCCATTTTGTTGTTTTATAAGATCTTTTGCCTTTTAAGATTTAAGGCTGTTTTTGTTTCAAAAAACATTTCTGTGCATGATATAACCTTCTAATTTTACTCACAAATAAAGTTTTGGGTTGTAAACTCTTTTGTGAACATTTTTTTTTGGCCATTTGTGTTATTTAATACATGTACTTCTTGAGAGACTATAACTCTTTTCATTTCTTTCGAATATGAAAAAAAAAATTTGTGCACTCTCCACTCAAACCGTAGAATGTGTTTAATGTGCACCTTAAGATGTGACGAAAGTCAACAAAAGCAGTTGTGTGCATGTTCTGTTTGATGGTGAAAGCAAGTGAAAGTTATAGTGAAAACGGTGATGACCTACAGTGTTGTTTCCGAAGACTTGCAGATACTGCATGAAGGTTTGAGCATGGTGTACTAGCTGCAACCGAGGACAGGTGGACTGATAAAGCCTTCTGCTGGCTAGCATGCCAGGCATGTTCGCACAGCCACAAACAAGCATCACTGCTTCTAACGCTTTCTACTTCACATGCTCAACCACCTTCCTTATTCAATATACAGGGCTGCGAGCTGACACCTACAGATACAGATAATGATAACGAGCAAAACGAAGATACTAGCGAACCAAAGGGGCATCGGCAAAGCGTTCTGGCCGAAATTAAGGTCTAATAAGAGTTTGTGCATGGAAAGCTACCCAGACTGACTGATAGAATACCTTTTTTTTCATTATTTGTAGACTTGAATTTACTTTAAAGGAACTGAGAAATAAAGTAGGTCCGAGGCAATTTTTCATAATGAAATATCTATTTTTCATCAAAGGATTTTTTTTACCTTTTTTTGTTCCTTCAAATTATTCTGCATTTGCAATTTTGCATGGTCACCATTTTAATTTCCATAATATTCAGAGATATCAGTTAAGATATCACAAGATAAGTGATACCAGTCTTGAAAATCACTATGAGTTAGAGGAGAGGGGACAGGTTGATCTTTTTACAATGCAGGAGACGTTTTTCTCGATATGGAAACTTTTTTCAAATTTTGCTGAATAATTTGGATGAACATTTTTCAGAATGATTTTGTAATGAAATGACTTGCTTGTATTTTGTTTTAAGTTTTAAGTCACCCAATGCATGTATCACTTGACTACTTTAGTTGAACATTGATATGTCCTGCCATTACAATTTAGATTGCTCATAAACAGCACTCTCAATCTCCTTTTGGTTCTGCCAGAAGATAAGATGGAAGCACCTTCATCGCATTTCTATTCTCACATCTTGCATGAATCATCACCTATTTCTCTCTTTCATTCACCTGACACTTCAAAGGAAACCATGTTAGTTGAAAAGCATGCATTATTTCTGCATGTATGTATAAAAAGTAAAATGATTGTTTACAATTGATGAGTGTGAGGTTGTCCCTGTGTTGTTTGCCCACGAAGACCCAGAGGGCATAAACTCTTTGTTAAATACAATTACTGTTTATAAAAGGTATAGACCAGTTCTGGTCATGCGATTGCATTGTGAAAGAAACACTGGAATTGATCAGAAAAGGTTGATCATCTTAAGTATTGGTGTGTACTACAAGGTTCTAGAATCATCATATTTCTTTTACAATTCAATTGCTCGACCAGAACTTAAATTTATCTGTAATATTCTTTTGGCCCTCAGGAAGAAAAAAATTGTGAGAGCTTGTTCTCAGATCCATGTAGACCCCCATAAATAAGTCCATATATGTTGCCTGAGAGAACTGAATGGGAGAAGTCTAATTACTGTTGCAATACTTTCCAAAGCCTTCTGTCTTTCTTATGTGTGTTTCTGAAAGAAATTTACTTGGGAATATTGCTTTAAAACTTGATGTGAAATTTTTGTTGATTTTTTACCTTGGAAGTTCTCTCTTCTTCAAAAGAACTATATGTCTATTAGTTTCCTAAATTATTGTGCAGGCTTCGAAAAATTTGTGTCTCTATGATTTGAATTTCAAGGAATACCTACAATAGTAAACCTGTTTTCATGTATATTGATTTCTTTTATTCAGACAAAAGATCAATATACAGTGTATATTTTCTTGAACAAAAAAGCAAAGCAAATCAAATTACTTATTCTTTGTTGCTGTTACGAGATTGTGTTAATAATTTTGTTACTATTTGTTTATATTTTTTTTTTTTTTACTATTCCTCATTATGTTTAACAGAGCCTTATGAAAGACCACCATTATTGGTGATAATGAGTCGCCCTGTCTAAATATCATAAATAAATAAATATATAAATATACAAACAAGTTTTCCCCCCTCTCATTTTCAGTATTAGGTGTAGTAATATCTGTATGCACATACAGTGTCATTTGAGATATATACAGGCAAATCTTTGGAGCTTTTAAATGTGGTCCTGATATGAGATATCTCTTCATCAGCTGGTTAATAACAATAATAATCTTTAATAACAGGATTATTAGTGCATTTGTCTACGATCTGAAGCTGATTCAGCTTTTATTCCGGCTAGAAGGCTTCAGTGCACTAAAAGTCCAGTTGGAAGAATTCTTATCAATATTTAGAACCTAAATCAGGAAGAAAATGTTTGTTTAGATTTCCAATGTCATTTCCATTTATGTAATAAAAATAGCCATTTTTCGAAAAAATCTGCCTGCAGGAAGATTGTAAAGTGATTGGTGAGCTTAACTTTCTTTCTTTATGAATAATCTTACAGAACTACTTAGCTCATGCTGAGGGGAGGCCCATCACCACCACCCCCCAGGGCACACCCCAGAGCACACCACAGGGCACACCCCAGCAGCCATCCAAGACGCACGACCATGGCCGGGAGTCGGAGACGGAGAGGCTCCCCCCAAGCGGGGCTGAGACACCCCAGACTATCACCGAGCACGACGGACAGAACTCATCTGGAGAGCCACTCAGGTGAGAACATGTTGGAGTGGCAGTAGACAGTGATTTAAAGCCCCACCGTACTAGTTTGGCCAGGAGGGATTAGACCTCCCTGCATGGTTACTGACAGGTGGTTATTTCAAAAAATAACTTTCGATTAACATAAGAAAAAGCCAAAGGGGATCATGGGGGACCAATGGTCACCGATTAGGCATTGTTTGCTATACAGAGGGCGCAAGTAGCTATAGGTAGTGCAGTGGGGCTTTAAGGTAGATCTAGCCATTGAGGGGTAGTTGTGTCATGGTAAGAAGGTCTAAATGAAATGGCAGAACAAGGCCTTCAAGTAATGAACATAATAATAATAATGATAATAAGCTTTGTTTACCTAGGGAGCCTCCTCAGCATAAATGCTTCTGTTCTTTCTGAGGGTCCTGCAATTATTATTACCCCAGCAATTGCCAGTCACCCATTTACACCTGTGTGGAGAGTGGCAAATGTGAATTAATGTCTTGTCAGAGAATGTTGGTGTCAGGCTGGGATTGGAACCCCCAACCATAAGACTGAGAGTCACTGTAAGAACCACTGAACCTTTACACTTCCACTCAATTATCATTCCCCCAAATGGAGCTAATGTATGATCAAGTAAGGTGAGGGTTTGGAAGCGGTCGCAATCATCTTCTTGTTTCCTTTACTTGCCTTTCACCTCTTCTTTTCATTTTCTTCCATTCAGTTTTAATTTAGATTTAATTTAGTTTAGATGGCACCATATTTCTGCTTCTTAAAAAACAGTGAAGCCATTTATTTTCTTCATGTTTGCTGAAGTAGGTATTAATTTGTTGCACATTTTTGCAGGAAGAATCCTTCTTGTATTGCAAAATTTTCCTCATTATACTTCCATTTTTCACACAAAATGGTACATGCCCATTGCTAAATGTACTAGTAGTTCGAAAGTTTGTGGTTTTATTGTATATCAATACGAGTGTCATATATCTTCCTGTTTGTTTCCCCAGTAGCCCTGGTTGGGGAGGACAAAACAGCTTTGATGATCAAGATCGAGAAGAGCCGATTGGAAAATGTCGAGCTATCTATGAATTCACAAGTAAGTACACCTTGTAAACCTCTAGATACTGCTACAAAACTAAATTGTGAATATCACCTTGAATAATAAGATATAAGAATAGTGTTTTAATTGTTATTATTATCTATATAAGGCTTCCAAGTGGTACAATAATCAGCGTATTTAATATCTTTAGCTCAATACCTGGATGACAGATCAATATTGTTTTCGTCATCCGGGAACTTCAACTGTCGATACAATATTGCTTTGTTATCAAGTCCAATTTTGATTAAAACTCATATTATTTAATAATAAATTGACATGTATCTTGCAGCTGATGATGAAAACCTACTATGCCTGGGGAAGGGAGAAGAGGTGGAGCTGATAGAGAAAGATAGCGGTGATGGCTGGACAAGGGTTCGTCGCGGAGAGGATGAAGGCTACGTACCTACTACTTACATCGAGTACATGTAACACGCGTATAAAATGGCTATGTGGGACTGAGCTGAGAACATGAATGGTTTTGTGTAGCACGCTGTGCAACACAACACGTTGGACTGAACATAGAACTTGAATTGTACATCTTCCTTTAGTTTGAAGAAGAAGATACTTTGAAGCAAGCAGGAGAGTTGGAATGCAGACCAGATATGTGATCTTGAAACGGGGAATAAGTGAGCTTCGGCGACAGAAGGAAATGTTTTAAACAATGACATACCAGCCAGGGTGCATTTTCTTGCAATGTGTCAGCCATGTTGGATAGACACAGTCTGTGTTTGGCATGAAGCACTCATGGCAACACTACAACATGAGATTAGCATTGGAGAGGTTCTGAGAGTGATAGTGTGGAAATGTCTTGCTGAAGTCACAAATATGGATCAAAATGAATGACTGGATGCATGTACCATTTTTTTTTATAAAATAAAACAAAATTGTGGCGCTTTAACCCAGTCACGCTGCAAGAAACTGAGTAATGCATTTTATATGTAAATGATAAGCACACGCTGATATTAGTGTTCCCTTATAATGAAAACAGCATTGTGTTGGGGAAATTTTGTAAATGTACGTAGTAGAATTAGACACTCACTTTCTGATCAGTAACATGCATTGAATAGAGGTAGATTGGGTTGGTATTAAGCTACATGGTTAGACCGCTTCAGTCGTATCTGAAGAATACAATGCTTTTGATCTGACCTTCATAGCAAGGTCACCTGTATATACTGGCCACCATTTACTTCTGCTTCTTTAGATGTGGAAAATATTCTAAAGACCAGGGGGGCATTTCACAAAACTTGTTCTCAGTGACAAATGACAGTTTTTGTTTTAAGCTAGTGAAATCCTTGCTTCTGATTGGTTATCAACAGATTTGTCACTGATTTTTGTCATTTGTCATTGAAAGAAGGCTTTGTGAAACAGGTCCAAGCTGGTAGCAGAGATCACTTTGTTGGTCATATCATTATCGGGCATTTGCACGTAGGTACACACAATTTCTTAAGTTGATAGGACTAAGGCTGCTCATACATCAACGATAATGGTAATGATAATGGATTTTGTAGTTTTAGTTACATGTACAACTATTGGTGATAAGTAAGTGATAAGTTACCAGTCTTCAACAGGAGTTGTGACGTGGCATGAACAACAATGTTGACCAGAACGTCACATGAAGCTTTATCTCTTATGGACCTAGTCAGTATTGCTTTCAATTCCCTAACCTTAGGCCTGTATTCTACTAAAACTACTTGGATTTAAACCTGATCCTGGGTTCAGGCTTTTGTTCAAAACTGGGTTCAACAATGAAAGTTTCCTGGGGTCTAAGTTTTCCTTTTTGGTAAATGTGAGATTAGACCCAGAGTTGGGTTTAACAGAAATGAGCCCAGTTCAGAAACACAACAGTAAAGTGTTTTTTTTAATGATGATGTAATCTGTAATGTGCTTCACGTTTCATATCACTTATAACACAGAGCTACATATGAGTGAATATGCAAAGGACCTTTGTTGCACACAGTTGCCATTTATTACTTGAAATAAAAAATGAGGGTTGAAAAACAAAAGAATTTAGGTGGTTTACCATGTTCTTTCTGAGTGAGCCTTTAGTAGAATACAGACCTATGTATTCAGGGTTATTGAAACATAAGCTTTGAAGCATTGGATACGATTTATTATCTAATACAACATTAAACCGCCAGCCAGATACTAGATTAGGTGTATGTTATACATACGCTCAATTCACTTGGCACTTTAGAAAATAGATAATTCACAGAAGCCTGACACTTAAAATTGTAATGGATGTGAGGATTTTTTTAACAAGGAGCACCACTGTATAAATAAATTTATTTAATCATTTCATTGATTGTAGACTGAGCCAGATCCTTATTTAAACATCCAGATTACAGTGCCGTCACTAGCACTGTTTATTGCCAGTATACTCAAAAGTTGTGTATCCTTTGATATGAGTGTAAGTGTCTTTCATTTTATGTGTTTTATTGCAATTATTAGGACATCAGATTCAGTCAAAAAAATGTATAATGTGAACAAAGTCTTTTAAATAGTTATTTGATTGTTTTGTGTGTTTTTTTATGCTGATGTTGAAAGAAATATTACGAAGCAGCTTTGATACACATCAAAGCGATTTGCCCCATACCACAAGAACTGTGCACCAGAATTTTTTTTTAATTGTTATTACTCAATCGGTAATTGTTTGCAAACAACACAAAGATCTTGCCAGTGTGTTTTACTATCTCTTCATATAGCCCAGTTACAGACACGATCAAAGTATTTTAAGACTTGTGCACTTTACTTCTTCATTTCAAGTTTTTTAATTTGAGACTTAGCATAATCTGTGAATTATGAAATAAATGATCTGTGAGGTATGCTTTTATTCTCTACTTTTTTTTCCAGTTGACATTTTGCGATAATATTAAGAGTCCTGGATGAAATGCACATTTGAGCAGGATGGTTGAATCTTGCTAACATCTTAAGCAAGGAGATGGAATTAGAAATATATTTAATTCACACATTGTCAAATAATGTGAATGTAGACTCTAGGGCAAATTTTAATTGAAAATGAATATGTTGATTGTGGTATAGTAAGTAATCTAATATTCATTTGCATTTGTTACTGCATTTACAATTTCACGAATCCTATAGAATAAGTACATTACATAAAAACTAACAACCATATATATTTTATTTGTTGTTAGGAAAGATGTTCACCACCAATATAAATTGTAATTTATATAATATATATATTATGTATCATTCCTCTTGTACAATATTCTGTATGTTATTCTACGTCCACATTCAAAAGAGTAAGAAATTAATGATCAGCGCACCATCCTAGAGACATGGACACCCAGTGTATAATGTTCATTTACATCTCACAGTTTGCAAAAGTATGAAAAACTAAGCATTTTTGGAGAAAAAATTACTTAGTGGTCATACCTTTTTTACTCACAAGTTGATTTTATTCACAAGTTCGAAATCATCATTAGTTTTTCCAAGTAACTTCAATATAATCTATATCTCTCTTTCTTAAGTTGTTCTATTGAATAATTTATTGCACCGTCATGGCATTTTCCTTATTTTTCTATATGGCCAGTAGTTGGTAGAGTCCTCGCTGTAGATTAAGTGAGGTTGTTTTTTTACAGATGCTATTAACTAATCCAATTGTAATTAGACTTTACTATCTGTTTCTTACGTTAATTAAGATGAATATTTCCTTGGTATAAGCATCCCCTGGTCTTCCATAAGAATTGATTTGTCATTCCTCCCAAACTGAGAGATTTGCTTTGAAGTGCATGAATTTGTGCGTTGTTGGCCCTATTAGTACCTAGATAATATTACATACATGTACATACACTTGGGGTCTGCAACATGTACAGTATCATTTATTTCAATAATGGAGGTATAAGTACTGCAAATTTAGCTGTGTATTTGCCTGGATTAATTTCCAAAACAGGAATTTGAAGTTGCAATTTTGTAGTGTATACTGCAGAAGGAGGGCACCGCAGACATATCAAAGATGTTGTCAAAAATGAAGTCCCATACCGATTCAAAGTGAGACTTTTTATCATAGGATATCATGCATTACCTTTGACAGCTTCATGGAATTCATGGATTCATTGTCTTAATGGCAGGATCTATTATACATCATGATATGCTAGATGAAAACAAAAATCAGAAAAGGGGGTACATGTATTTTCTTAAGCAAAGAAACAGGTAGTGTATCTTGTAAATTTCTCCCGGTTTATCCATTGCCCAGAAATCTACTACATAATAACAAGAAAAAGAATGTGCTTGCATTAGGTTCATACTTCTACTTTTGTTGTTATTCTTTAAGTAGATTGTATATGCTGAGGATAGGTGTGTATGAAAATAGGATGACTATAATTATGTATCAAGTGATACATACTTTGTAATGGTTAACACAATATATATTATGGAACATCACCCTGCACAGTTGGCAATGTTAAATCTTGCTACATTTTTTCTCTTATTATGGTGAGTATACAGATGTATAGATACTGATAAATCATTGGATATACACAAATTGTTTAACAAGGTTTATCTAACAAATTTTGAACAATGGCATCGTGGTTGATTTTCTTTTTTACAGCTTTTTTCTTATATGTTGAAACGCATCGGTTTTGTGTGTTTAAATGTGCAAATATATTTGTTGTTTCGACTTGTTTGTCTGTTTTATCATATCAACAATTCTCTTTTGTTTGTGAACGATGGTATGTGAAGATTTTTTATTGATATTCCAGCCCCAGATACATGTAATATTACATTATTCTTATTTTAATGATTTTGTATACCTTGTGCATATTCCACTTATATTAAGGGAGAAATAGCACATGTTTATTTCCAGAGCCTTAAGGTCTGGAGTCTTATTAAGGGAGGGGCGTTTGATAAATTTTCTCTGCTGTGATAGCATACTTTAAAAAAAAAATTAGTAGATATGTGATAGGAGATTAATAAGATCTGGGAGATGAAGTAAGATGAACATTCTCTAATGTTGAATGAAGGTTATTATTAATTATCCCCATATATTCCAGAATATATCAATTTTAAATGTTTAAAAATCAGACCATAAACCACCACTTTTTTGTTCGTGAAGAATATATAATTATATATCTGATGTCATATATGTTTTCAAAATCTTTCTAAAATTATAATGTATACTATAGATGTATTATGTAACAACAGGTCATTTATCATGGATAATCTTATATTTATTGTGTTTTGCAATGATCGTTGCTACACGCAAGTGGGGATTTTCTTGTTAAGGGCCAACTTTCTGAACTGATTACCCCCACCCCTTCTCTCCCCACCCCCTATTGTAGCTTTAGTATATTTGTTGTATGTAGCTGGATGCAAGCATGGTGAGCTGTATCACATACTATGTACAATTATCTGTTGGAAAAACAAAACGACCGATTAATGCAACAGGTACTTGTTAATAAATGTAATCCTTATTTTACATCAAACCAGTAACAATTTCCTGTTAAGTTGTGCTTTATTTATGGGTCATTTGCTGGCTGTGGTGGGAGCTGAAAGTTTGTTTGATTGTTTGCGTGTTTTTTAATCATGTTTTAATCAATACCTAGACATAGACTGCCCTCCCAGAGTTTGGGTACTCCTATATAATCAGAACTGATTTGACAAAATCACCCATATTTTATTTTCAATTTTGAAATATTACACATATTACATAACAGGTGCAAAATTTTATCATCAATTCTAAAACCATTTGCACTTCATCACAGTTTGTTTACAATAGGCCTTTTTCGTAATGCAACCAAATTTAATGCATAAGTCTTTATGAAGTGCCTGAATACAAGTTATTTCATTAACCTGGTAAGAATAATAGTATTCCAATAGTCAGAATGCAAATTGCATATATTAAGTGTTGCTAGGTAGGTCAAGCCATAATGTTTGTCCAACCTGGTAACAACTAATGTATGCAATTCAGATTCTGTCTATTGAAATACTATTATTCTTTTCAGGTGAATAAAATAATATGTATTGAGGCACTTCACAAAGACTTATGCATTAAATTTGGTTACATTACGAAAATGGCCTATTGTCAGCTGATTTTACTACACAACCATCAACTTCCTTTCATAATCAACAGGCCAGAAATTCCTTTTGGAATCATGATCTCTTTTGTTCACTGCTGGTCAGCCTATTCAACATTGTGACTCAATAGAATGTAAATCAGGCAAGCTCACCTGTTGTTGAAATACTTTCACTACTGTACTATAGTAGATGTTTGTGTACCATGGCAACAACTGGCTAATCAAGAGACAGTCTGGAAAAAAGCACACGACACATTTTTCTAGAATCATTCCATGGGCACCATCTTAGTAGGACTTCACCCTGGAAACAAGATTGTTCTGCTAAGTTACATGCAACTGTATATTACAACTCATCTGCATCTGCGCTTAGAGACATTTGTATTGAGCGCTATATAAAAATTAAATATTATTATTATTATTATATAGATTTAATCCATTGGATAATCATCTCACATTGTAAAATCGCTTGTGCTATCTAAGAAGGAGTTTTAATTTCAAGCGCATTTTTGTTTTGACACGTTTCGTCAGGGCCTCACGGAAGCGGTCGCTTCATTTCCTATTATGGTAAGCGTGTTCATACCTATGGCAGGAAATTTTAGTGTACCGGTATATATTAAATGTGTGATAATTATATGGACATCATGCCTCCGGGCTCCAGACGAGTTAATTTTGTTGGATTCCCACATCTGATACTATCCTAGCAGTTTGAATGAGAGTCATTCATCAAGTTACTGGTGAGCTTATGTACTTATCTTTTATGTTAGGAATTCATTACACGAATACCAAGAGACTGCCCTTCCAAAGTTTGGGTACACCTGTAATCAGAACCATGCAAGTACGCAGGGAGGGAGGGGTGGTTTGAGGGTTAAAAAACCCTCAATATTTCTGCCCCCCCCCCCTCAAAAAAAAAAGGAAGTATGGAGAGAAATGACAGGGCCAAAATAAGAAAAGAAAGCGAGGGAGAAAAGAAGTTTCCAGAATTCCCGCTGAACTCTTGAAATGATGATTTCACATTTGGGAAACTGTACCATTTATCTTTGTGTATTCTCCAAGAAATCTTATGCAGCGTCAGCTTTCGTGTATTATATTCTTGAATTAATTAGTATCCATACACTTGATGTTTTGTTGTCCATGGTAAGAGGGGATTGTTAAATCTTAAAGAAAAAAACATAATCCCTCATGGCTATACTAATAATAATAAATAATAATAATGTTCAATTCTTATATAGTGCATATTACAAAATTGTCTCTATGCGCTTAGATACGAGAGAGAGAGAGAGAGAGAAAAGAGATGAAGAATATTGAGCTTTCACCGTTTAGCAATTACAATTATCAAATCAATTACAAAATTCACATGTTTACTACATAAATTTAAATTTAAGACTGGCATGATCGAAACAGATATGTTTTTAAGTCGGATTTAAACTGACATAGTTTGATGTAACTCCCCATATATGTCCACAATTTCCATTTGGTATTTTTAATTTCATGATGAATTGCTTGTAAATTGTTATTTTAAGAGAGAATCTATGTGAGCTTTCAGGTCCCTTAAGCGAACCCTGAAAGCCCGGCCGAAGGGACTTCACTCACCCCCCCCCCCCCCCCTCTCTCTCTCTCTCTCTCTCTGCTTTCTCTCTTTCTCTCCCTATATATCTCTACCACAACCTCTTTTTTTGTCTCTCACTTGAATTATCTCTCTGCCTCTCCTTTCTTTTCTATATTCCATTATAAGTTCCTCTTTGATCCACTGTTAACAAAAATACTGAGTAGATACAGTATTGTAAAAAGGGGGTTCAAGAATGTAGGCAATCAAATGACGACACGTGACAGGGCACCCTTTCTTTCATACTTCATTTACCATGCCAAAAATTTCCCATCAATAGGCAATAGTGATAATGCACGGCTGAGATGCGTGTATCCCTGGCGCGTACAAATTAAGCCGCAACGAAATGTACGTAGCTTCAAATGGTAAGGACATTGATGCGCATACTGAGAAGTGCATTAATCTGTTTGGTTGCACTTATGTGTTATTTAAAGCAAATCAAATGGCGACCTCCTTAAATGTGCGATTTTTGACGTTTAATTGATCTGGTTAGTTGCTTTTTTATTTACTTTATACTCGCATTGTAGACACATTTTATAAAACAAAGCATTCATGCTCTGAAGCTTATGCATTAGTGATATGCACTGCATTAAGTAACATTGAGCTGGGTAATAAACTCAACAAGTCTTGTTCATTTTACAATTGTAACTTAAGGGCAATCCAACCCTTGTAATAAGTTGATTTTTTACGAAAGCAGAAGAATAAACAGAATGGCAAAAGTTTGAAATGAATGGGACCTATAGTAAGGAAGTTATGAATGTTTGAAATATGAGACCACTAAGTGAATATCAAAATGGTAGTTCGGTCAGTGGATTGCGACGTAGGACGTGGATAACTCTCCTACCCCTCCTATTTGCCTTGTACAAAAATATCATTAATTTCTGTTTTTTCTCATAAGTTCCTTCCCCCCTGTGGCACTACTCAACACTTATTATAGATAGAATATCATTACCGGTATACATGTAGGTCCTCTAAAAAGATTAGACCCTCCTGAGCAATGAATTTTTGAAAAATGTAAATTTTATATGTTGGAACAGATAGGAAAGTAGTCCGGCACTACATCACATCGACATCACTGCTTCAACCAATTTGAGTTGCCCATTCGTATAGTGATTACAACTTTAAAAAATTTATAACATTCATATATTTAGTCAGATTTTATTGAAACTTTTTATCAATTTGCTTCTCTAATTTTTCTGCTTTCTTTTAGAGTAGTTGTCTATTTTGGGTTGGATTTCCGGTCTGCGTGAAGTGCATATGCACTAAATGCACTCACAAACATGAATAACTCGAAATTCCTCTCAAGAACTCGCAAAATGACTTTTTTTCTCACGTCTCACTTTTATCACTTCCTCCTTGCACTACTATTTTTTTTTACACCAAAAACAGCATTCTATTAAAAAAGGACATTAAATGCACATGATTATCTTCAGCAAGAAACATCACATGGACCCTGTTCATATAACGTAGTCATATATATAACTGTTTATTTGTTCTTGGACGATTCACTTTCTTCCAAGATTGTAAAAGTCACGATTCAAAAATACTTTAAAAGACATGAAATACATATTATAGCTTTTGTCCATCATTTTGTGATACTTCACATGAATTAAATATTCAAACAAGTGGTAGATTTGCAAAGAAATTGAAATCAAATCATTTTTATGAGACAGACCGATTAAGCTAAACAAATAATCTTATATTCTCTACATTACAATAAGCATTCCAAACACCAAGTCATATTTTATGAATATTGCATTACTAATCTGTGGTAGTATATCAAGATTACGTTTCCTAATGTTTTTTCAATCTCATAATCTCATTAATATCATATTGTGAAATTAATTTTGCTTGATATAAATTCTGCTTTTCCATAAGAATCAGAATGTTATAAAGTAACACTAACAAGAATTTTAATAAATAAACCTTTTTTTTCTGAATAAGAAACTGATTTAGACCCGACATTGCATGACTATGTCTAGACTATTCAACGTCAGAAGCATATTGTCTGAATGTGTTGCCATTTTAAATCACGCCGTCGGAACATTAATGGAACAATGTAACACATGAAGTTAAAAAGATGAATAACTGTATGTACAATCTCTATATAACATACAAAGTAGAAAATAAATAGAGATAAGAAACTTAATAAGGACATGTAACTGATTTTAAATTTCATTCAATGAATGCAGCCACAACGTACACAACTTAACTATTACATTTCATACACAACTTCATCTTAATCATAAGCATAATAACAATGGAAATGATGCACTATTGAATTTGAATTGATCAAATTATACACAAGAAATGGACAGGAATTTCTTAAGTTTTTATGTGTAATCATACACATTTGAATGTATAGTCATTTGTGTATGAAAACAACTTAAATCCAATCACTGGCACACATTTTACAAATTTTAAGAGGTCAGTTAATTATGTATTCTAATATGTTTACCTTCTCATGATTTTGTTAAATCTTACGTAACAACTTTTCAATCTCATAATAATTTTGGGGTTCCTGGTAGGTCTATAGAATATGCGTTTCATGACCTAAAAGTGAGTGTTTGTCTTTGTATGCTATCAAAAAAGAAAGATGTATGCAAGCGAAGAGTCGAATTGAACAAATTAATGGTCCTTGATTAGAATAGAGAATTAAAATGGAGGAATAAAACAATTTAAAGGTTTCATGACAAATAGCACCTATTGCTTGGCCTGAAAGTATGACCTCGTTAGCATTACATAATCTTTAATAAAAGCACACATGACGAAGAGTATAAAAATAAAAATGAATAATTTTAAATACATTTTATAGACAGAAAAACATTCATAGCATATCCATTAGAATTTTAATTCTAACTTGAAAGAATACATGTTCCACAAAGGAGTTATCGATCCACACGACTAGCTAGCACCATCACTGCCTCAAGAAAACGTTTAAAATCACCTCCACTATTTAGCACACATTTGTCATATTATTTACAAGATGCCTCGTCCAATGATTAGGGAGCTCTTCAAATTGGCAACAATTTTCAAGTTGATTGGTCTTTGAAGCAGTGTTCCCAGACTTGGTTTGCTAGAAATGCTGACATCGATGGATAGTGCATCTTGTCACAAAATAAAGACTATTCAATGGATTCTTCCAACATAACGCATTTGACGCAAAGAGAGCTTTAGATTGGTGCATTCAGCAAAGGCATCCTTTCTCAAGATCAAGACACACATGGTCTTCACAGGCTTTACTGTCCGTAGCGAGTCAGGATTCCCCTAAGCCTTACAAGCAGCTTGCATCAAAGGAAACACAGCAACAAGTCACAGGCCTTTTGTCCAAAAATGTCGCAATTATTATTCTCGATCTCTCCCTCTGTCGCATTTATCATTCTCGATCTCTCCTTGTTTTGTTCATGTTACTTGATGGTGAACCAGAGCCAGGGGTGGCATGATTCTATGAGTTACTGTAGGGGAACTGAGAGACCGAGACGTGGATATGGAAGACATTGTCCAGTTCAACGTGGGTCGAGATATGGGATCCTGAGAAACCTTGAGCTCGCACTTTAATCACATAGTCTCTGGGCTCCTGAAGGTTGAGTCTGGTTGAAAGAACTCCCCGGCCACTCGACTCGGTCCGGATATTGAAAGGCACCTGAAGATAACAGAAAGAAAAGAGGAAATATGTAAAGGGTCATGAAAGCTTTGACCATAAAAAATGTGAGGTTAAATCATTTATTGATAACGTTAATTTCAATTACAAAATTATAGATAAACATGAATATAAATGAAGGACTTTCATATAAACTGAAGGTGAGTTTGAAGTACCTCAAACTAAGACAAGCTAAGAAGCAGCCCGTGTCAGTAAGCCACATTTATATCCAACAAACCTAAAAGGAAGTGGTACGGTTAATATGGTAAGGGCTTTTTGTTCAAGATTCATTTTTACAATGCCTATATATCTTTTTATCTTCATCTGTGTGCAAGAAGATCATCCACATCTCCAGGGAATCTATAGTCAAAGCTTTGCATTCATCAGAGAAAAAAACTTGTCTCTTGTATTGTTTCTTCAACATGAAAAGAATACCTTGGCTCTGTATGTCATAATCAATATACAATTGACATATCACAACCATACTGCCCTTGTCTTACAAATCTGGGCAATATGATTCTGATATATCCCTCAAGGCCATCCTATATTGTATCAATATCTCCTTCAAATCAAGTCAATATCAAATACTTACCTGCGTGTTCTCAATACTGAAGTATGTGTTTGTATGGTAGGTACCGTCAGATCTGACAACCCTAAGCCTGAGTAGATCCCGCCCAGCCGATGTGTCCGTTAGCAAGGCAAGGGTCCTGAATTGGATGGTACCAGGCAGGCTTTCACACAGCTGTAACTCTGATCTTGTTAATGTCGCAGGGCAAGACCTCACGCAGTACCTGTGAGGGGAAGGGGAGGGGGAGGTGGGTTATACAAAGGGAACAGTAACAATTAAAAACAATTATTTCTGACAAAGTGTTTGGGCGGCAATATGTTCTTTTTTGGGGTATGTCGCAAAGGACAATACAACACCTTTTTTTAAAGGCCTAATGGCTATCGGAATTAAAGCCAGGGTAGTGATACCAACAGCTCTAAGGAAGCGCATGAAGAGTTTACATCATAATGTTATACATGTAGGCCTATTATCAAGCACACAATGATTCATATTTTGCAGATTTAATTCTCTGATGAGATTTTTTTTAACCATCGTGCTGTCGATGAGTTATTCAAGCCAAATGTAGATGTGTTGTGGTCTAGTGGATAAGTTGGTAAGTCGCTGGGCTGTGAACCATAGGGTAAGGAGTTCAAATCTCTCCCACAGCTCTAACGTCCTTGGAAAGACAATATTAGCACTTAAAGGTAGTGTGTCGTGGCGACAGTATGTGTCTTTCCCGACACGACCGCAGCATTTGCATGCGTGCAACATATGCGAAACCGAACTTCGGTCTGTTTCGCCAACGCTAGCGCGCACTGACCCAGTTAATCAAGTCCATTCTTTTATGTGCAGTTGTCAAAAGAAGACGTAGACGGCGTTAACCAGTATGAGCCAACATACACTCCCTTTAACATCAATCTACATTTGCCACACTTAACTCGACCTAGCAGAGATTAATAATTCCTCAAAGTGTTAAGACATAAATGAAAGATAGACAAGAATCCATTATTAATCAGAGCCTACACAAATGTTTCACAAATATCCTAAGTTGAACTTATCTCAAAGTTGGACTTAACAATTATGGAAAGCTATTAGCATCTTTAAAAATATTGTGTAAAAGTTATTTTGAATGGCATAAAATGTTGATTCAAATCATTCATATTTTCTATTATCAAGGAGATGTCATGTTCTTGATGTGGAATTTATGAAAAGTCTAAAATACTTGAATTTTTGCTTTTGAATATATTTTATTTTAAGGCTACAAATGGCTTTTCATACTGTTTAAGTCCAACTTGGAGTCAAGTTTGACTTAGAATCTTTGTGAACCCCCCCCCCCCCCCCTGTACTCCAAACATACCCTGTAAAACGTTCCCTCTCATAATATTGTGGACAGGACGTTTCCAAGCAGCTATAGTTGCCTTGACGATTAAAGCAGAGGTCGTTGCCTCCACATTGTATGTTGTGCTCGACGCATTCATTGATGTCTGGTAAAAGAAAAGGTCAAGATTTAGATGATACTTTCAATGTGACATGCAAACCACTCATATCCAAAAACAGATGTTAATGCTTGTTACTGTACTCTCATTATTGCTAAAGCTGTAAGTTTCAACTTGAATGGTTCTTGAATCAGTTATGAATTATTTCATATCAGTCAGATTTTGTTACTCTCCTTTTTCACAGTGGACTTCATCTTTGATGAAAAAATTTCTGTCAGTGAGGATTAAAGTATAACAATCATAACTAAAATATTTTTAGCTCTTGGTGTAAGGGGTTCCATGTCGCTATACTGTTTTCAAATTATGAGCTTCAAATACAACTTCTACATCGCATATTGCACTTTAAATGTACTCTCGATCAACAGTAATGTGACTTATTGAGTAAATAGGGTGTGTGCACAAAACCAAAGGCAGACTTGGGTTAATAAGCTGGGTTTCATGGTATCCTTCATTTTCTTCAAACTCTTGAACCATTCACCTACATAATGCCAGGTAAATTTATCTAAGATTGATTTTAACATATTCTAGCTAAACACAAATTATTTTTTAGATGACAGCATGGTACTCATAAAAAGGAAGTGGCAAGACAAAAATTGTGGATACTCATTTAGGATTTGTCCCCAACAAGAATTAAATGAAAGGTATGATATAAGATAAATCCAATCTTTCCACTTACCATCACAAGATACTCTGTCCGCTGATAGGCGATAACCTGGCGGACATTCACACATGAAACTACCTTCGGTGTTAACGCATCTATACCGGCAGGGATGTGCTAGCTGGCATTCATTCACATCTACAAAGGGACAACAAGGAAGACAAAATCATGACAGTTCCTTCCAACATAAAAGTAAAATTATTAGGAAAACAAATTTCAGTAGACTACAATTACCTAGGCTAATAAAGAATGTAGTATTCATGAAAACAAGACTACTGAGAGCCAATATACTATATAATATACAATAAACTAGGCGTTGTGGCGTGCGCCTGTAATTCAGCTAACAGTTACCAAACTGATTCGGCCGAGGACGCAGGTTCAAAACTGAGTCACGTCTTTCGGATGGTGACATTTAAACGTCGGTCCCCAGACGTAAATAATCATATCTGATTGATACACGTCTGTAAAAACCCAATACACACACACACACAGATCATATTTCATTACTGAACATGTTGCTGTTTTAGTGCCATCAGAAACCAATGCTGCATATTACAGGTTGTACATAAATGGACCTCTTGCAAAGCCAATCTTATATCTACAGCTACTTGTAACACCTCACCATCCATGAAAGTCAGATGTGACATCCTTCAATCAACGTGCCCATGTATGGTCTGTTTAAAATGCGGGTAGTATTAGACTACAGAAATTAAAACAAATTGGATGGTTTTCGCTTGGTCTCACAAAATAACTTGGATCTAAGTTTACATGAAAGTAGTCTCTTTCCTGAAATTCAACCTACGTAGACCAAGCAAACATGTATATACTTGGTCTAATAATTGCTGCCGTAATCTGCCGCCCAAAAAAAGGGGTTGTCAATGAATGGCAAATGCGTGCAACAAAGATCACATGCCTAATCACCGAGCTCTGTGTTATAGGATACAGAAATGTGAAGCTACACTTAACGTCATCGTAAATAAACCACCACGGTTTGCCGCACCATATCTGAACGAGGCCCTATACATGCGGCTTTGTGAGGACGACACCATGCACCACCACCACTTACCAACACATCTGCCTGCCACACGGCGCCATCCATTCATACAGTCCAAGACCGTCGGGGGCTCTACTTTTTGCTCGTACCCGATACAAGTCTTTCTGTCTGGCGCCCTCATCATCCCCGGTGAGCATATACATTCGTAATCGCCCTGGAGGTTACGGCACTGATACGTGCAGGGTCGGTTGGCACATTCATTGATGTCTGCATGGGCAGAAAATGAAAAATTAACACAATTTAATTTCATTTGTATGCAAGCAGAAAAATAAGAAAACCAAAATGGCGAAAGTTTGAAATAAATCGGGACAAATAATAAGAGTTATGAATGTTTAAAATATGAGAGCAGTAAATCTATGAGAAACTCAAATAAGCAATATGGTCAATGGATTGTGATGTAGTCATAAACAATTCTTTGTTTGTTGTGTGATTATGGATGGCAAATAATTATAGCATTATTAGTGTAGGTCCTTTGTAAAGGAAAAAAATTCACCCAAGTACTAGTACTACAAATTGAAAAAATGAAATTTCAGTCATTTTGTGTGTTGAAACAAATGGGAAAGTTGTCCAGCACTATGTCACAGTGACATCACTTAAATGCCAATACATATAGGGACTCTTCTTCAAACATATTAAGCACAATTATATGTACAATGACAGTAGTATAGTATCATATAGTCTCATATTCATCTATTTTGAAAATTAGTGACTTTTAAATAGGATTTGCAGCGACGGAATTATCTTCTGAATTCCTTCTTTTTCTGTATGTTTTTTTTTTCTTCAAATCTATAATGCTTAATCTAAGTAAATATTTAAAAATCTGCATAAACCATGCTTCCCACAGTAAAGGTAGAACAAAAAAAATGTGAAGTAATGTGATTCTTAAGATCTGTCTTGTACCATTACAACGTCGGCCCTCTGCACGGAAACCACGGGGGCACAGGCAAGCATAGCTACCCATGGAGTTCATACAGGTTTGAGTAGCAGCACACTCGTGACGATTGGTTCTGCATTCATTGATATCTGGTATTAAAACAGAAACAAAGGAGAGACTTTCAATGAAACAATAATACATGTACAGAGGTGAAAGTGTTGAAAGACATTTTCAAATGTGTGTTGTATACACTCCTTCAATTGTGTTGTAAGCTGTGTTTAGACAGGGTTCTACAACCGGACTTTGATCGAGTTGTAAAGTTTGAGATATCACGCTTTTGTTTTAGTTTGTTTTACCTGACTAAGAAAGCATGTGTATGCTTGACATTTATCAACCAGGGGATCAACGGCTTTAAATCCTTTCTGAGGGACTTGGTAATGAGGATTAATGCCTTACCAAAGGGCGCTAGCGCATCGACCTGGATTCGAGACCACTACTCTACCACTGAGCCATCGCGCTTCCTTTTTATCACGATGGATGAGAGCATTAGAGTATATTTTTGAAGGCTTTTAAAAAAAAGAATATTTGATACCTCAAAATGTTGAAATATTAAACATTAAAGACAGTATACTTATTCAACATTTTTTTTTAAATACAAAATTCACCTTTACTGTCCTTGAAATAAAAATTGCATCATGCCACTTTGTGGTGGTTTTATGATGCACAGTCACGTTTATAATAACTGCACATTAAAAGGCACGTTCAGATATTGCTCAGCAAAGCCACTGTGTTTTTATGGTGACATAAAGTGCAATACGCATCACATTTCTGTATCTTATAACACAAGATGCAAAGGAATTTTGTTGCTCCCAGTTGCCATTCATTCACACGTTACAAAAAGATGTGGTTTTCTTGCAGCGATTTTACGCATCAAATCTGAACAAGCCTTAAAGCCCGTCTGCACTAGTTTGGCCAGGAGGGATTAGACCTCCCTGCAAGGTCACTGACAGGGGGTTTATCTCATCAAATCAGCTCTCAATTGACATAAGAAAAAGAGGATCATCGGGGACCAACAGGTACCGCTTAGGCATTGTATGCTATATAGAGGGCGCAAGTAGCTAGAAGTAGTGCAGTGGGGCTTCAAATGATGTTTACCTATGCATGAGCCGTTCCTAGCCTTCTCAAAGCCTTGTTGACAGACCGTTATACAGCGATAACGACCTTGTTGATTGATGCAGTCCTGATTGATCTGACATGGGTTATGTTCCTCACATTCATTCACATCTAAATAAATTCAGACAGAGAAAAGAAATATTGGTCATATCTCTACTTCATTTTTATCACAAGGGGTTGTTTCACAAAACTTGTCATCAGTGACAAATGGCAGTTTTTGTTATAAGCTAGTGAAATCCTTGCTTCTGATTGGTTATCAGTAGATTTGTCACTGATTTTTGTCATATGTCATTGAAAAAAAGCTTTGTGAAACATCTTCTGATTACATAAAAAGAAAGAATCTTGATTGATAATACATTTAAATGTCATTTGAATAAACTTGACTCCATCTTACTCAAATGACAGAATGAATAACCAAGGGAGACCGCTTGACTTCACAATTATTATTCTACATCCCCTACTATCCCCCATCCTGTTCTCTCCATCTCACTCAAATGAAAACAAAAATGAAAAGCGTATTCTTACCTTCGCATTGATAATTTCCCCTAAGACAATTTCTACAGCAACACTGGTAGCTCAATCCCGACTATAGCCTGAATTCACCCCCCCCCCCAACCCTCTTCTCTCCATTCCACTCAAATGACTGAATAATAAAAGGATGATTCTTACCTTCACATTGATTCTTTCCCCTAAGACGGTATCCCTTATTGCAGTAACACTGGTAGCTTCCTTGAGTATTGCTGCATTGGTGGGAGCAGATGTTGGGAGACTCCTGGCATTCATTGATATCTGAAAGCGCATTATGGAGAAGGCTATTACCATGGCAACCTGGATTTCCGTATCTTCCTACGCTCATTACTCAGCCCCTATACTTTTCCTACCAAAATCGTTTGGCTCATGTCATTTATTTGTATTCTTGAACATTCAGTGTAAGTTTTGTTGGATTCTATGAAAATCTATTTTCTATCATTACCAAAACTCAAGCTTATCCTTAAGATTTAAAAAAAAAAAAAAAAAAAAAAAAATCGAAAATATTCATCTGATTCACTGGTAGTCATAATCGTCAACCAAGGACAATACACTATCTCCTTTTATACCCAAACTAATGTTGACTTACCGCCACAGCTTGTGGTGCCTGGTATCCTGCGTGTTCCCCGAGTGCAATGCTGCACACATCGGAAAGACCCTTCGGTATTCTGGCATTCTTCACTAGACGGACAGTTTCCATTGTTGTACCGACACTCATCGATGTCTACAGCAACAAGAAAAAGTGAAGAGTTAGTAACGGAGAGGTAGAGTCCACCAATTTCAGTCACATGTTACATTTGCAGTTTCAAGGTGACAAAAGAACATTTAAATATCAGACGCAGGAATTATGAACCTCTCAACAAAAATAGCAAACAGAACATTTTCCTCCTCCTGCCCTGAGCCCTGAGCAAAAACCACTGTTAACTTGTGAAGACACCAATGACTTTTAGAAAGGCCCCCGTGATTGTGTAACAGTAGGTGAAATATTTTGTAATTGCATGGTGGTATAGGTAATTTTCACCATAATTACTGATAAAAGTTTCTCTGCAGAGGTTATTGCCTTATCATTTAACTTTCCAAACAGTGGTTTGTATGTACATGTACCCTCAGTTACATTCCATCAATCTTTTCACATCTACTGTAATACATTCTTATTCTTACCGTCACAGGTGCGTTCATTGAATCTGTTGAGTCTGAAACCAGTGGGACAGGCACAGACGTGACCGCCGTAATAGTTCTGGCAGAAATGGGAACATGTATTCCTCTGCAGGCACTCATTAATATCTGCACAAATAAAAAGTTTTGCAAGCTTTGTCAAAATTGATGAGCAACAAGTTAAAATATATCTTTTATTTTTATAAGAACAGCCCATCTGTCATTGCCCTTCAAAGTTTTGTTGAAGATGCACTTGTTTTCAGAAACCTTTTAATATTTTTTGGTAAGGAGGAATTCAATTATTGTTTTTGTTTTTGTTGTTGTTGTTATTATCATTATTATTATTATAATCATCATGAGTATTATTGCTTCTACTACTACTTCTATTATTATTTTAATAATTATTTATTTTTATTCAGTTATTCATTATAATCCTTTTATTCATTGATTTCTGCATCCTTTGTACTGTAATATACTGATCCCTGCCCTAATGGAGATACCGGCTGGGAAGATCTCTTTCATGAAAAGTCACAAGCAATGGCAAAACTTCTTTTTTTACGAGGGTATTCAAAATAAGCTTAACATAGACAATGATTGGACACAATGATTCAGACAATGGTGATGTTACCTCTGCAGTATGGTCCAGATGGATCTAGCAAGAATCCTGAAGGACATCTATTTCGTGGTTCACCTGTAACAAAAAAACAAGAAAAACATTCAAGAGTATTTCACATGCTAAGCTTTTTTTTTTATTAGTTGCAAACATGAATAGTATCACTTAACAGTTTATGAAATTGCAACAGCAGCCTCTCACTGAGAATTTTGACAGGCCAATCAAGTGGTTCACTGCATCTCAGAATAAATAAATGACGAAAAATCAGGCGATAGAAAAGAACAAACTATTACGGTACCAAAGACAAAGGTTTTGCTTCTTCATAATGCAAATATTCCTCCATCAATCTTTTTATCAGTCAACTTTTACAAGCCGACAAGTACTGACCTCTAGTAAAGTAGACGCGTATGGTGTAGGTCAGCGACCCATCAACAGGATTGTATTCCACTGTAGCGCCCTCTGTGTTGAGAGTCTGCACAAGGTAGGGCATCTGGCTGCCTGCATCATCATAGAGAATGGTATGGTTCCAGGCATATAGGAGAGCCGTTCCATCAATAGTGACATGACGCGATGACTTGCCGTAGATCTCCCCTGGTCCTGTTTGGATGTAGTCTTCTCGGTAGTTGCGTGTGATGACCTGATCCTCTGGGAAGATCTCGGGCGTGTCTCCGGTCAGGAGGATGGTCAACTGCAAGACTCCATTTTCATCTACTCCTAGTGAATGCATTCCCATGGTCAGCTCCTCGCCTGTGAAAACCATGCAAGAAAGGGTTCTCTGCTATTATGACATGATATATTATGACATGATACACTTTAATTCTGTGCAGTGGAATCTGGATATATTAAAAAGATGGAGCTCTCCCTACATGATCACATACTGTTTGAGCAGCTTGAATACCTCTTAAGGCTTGTTAAGATATGACGAAATGAATGGCAACAATTACAGCTTACATTATCATAAAAAGTTGCCATGGTTTCGCCTCGTCACATCTGAATAATAATAATAATAATCTTTTAGTCCACTCCAAATTTTATTAAACCGAAAATGGAATGAATGAGGCTTTTAGGTGAATAAAATTTGTTTTGAGTAGCAGTTCAGGCATGCTTTGTAGGGATAAGGAAGTGAGGTGGGTATCATATGTGTACTTCAATAAATATCTGTTTCATTATCATTATCAAATAGATAATATAATAATTACTATTAACATTTACATGAATTTTAAACCATCACATTACAATATCATGGCTCTGTCTTATAAAAAGTTGTGATTGATTCAAATTAATCGCAACTCCTTTCTTATTAGTACATAGTTGCGATTAATCTCAAGTTGCAATTGATTAGAATCAATCTCAACTTTTTATAACACAGGGCCCAGATAATCCACTTAACCTGCTCAATAGTATGCCTGAGATATAATTCAAGCTATCTGTAGAAACTGCATGTATTTCTTTCGAAATCAAATCGTTTTCAAAGAGTTAGATCGGACAAGATCTACCTCACTGTTTATATACTGATCCCTGCCGTAATGGAAATACCAGCTGGGATGGTGTGTTTCATGATCTGACCTGAAAGACTGTTTATCAGGTTTTCAGACCACCTAGAATCATAGGTTAAACCCAGAAGATACAGACCATCACCTGAAGGCATGGTGAAGGCACAATTACTGTACAAACTTTCCCAATAAGAATATCAACATGAATGATCACTAAACTCATTTCAGAGCCAGAAGGGTGTTAACTCTGTGTTGAAGGATACGAGTTGATGCCCTTCTGGTTCCAAACAGATGATATGAGCATTAAAGCAGTGTCTTGCTTGATTTACCTGACCAGAAGCGGACTTGAGTCTGTCTCTCAAAGTTTCCTTCTGTAACAGAGAAGCCATTAGCCGTGTTGTCACGCTCATACGCACTGGTCCAGTAGACAGGAGATATCAAGGAGATCAGCATACGCATCACGTTACCTGGATGGTGAAGATAGGTGTTACAATATTGTTTATGAGATATAAGAAAAGAAACACTTATAATGTTTATATTAAAAGAGAGCAGCATACAGCCTCAATGGTAATTAATTACTCTCTTGCACTACACATGAGCTGTGTAATCTATTCTTTTGTTTGTGACACCTCAATGCTACTAAAACGATATTGAAACATGGTCGCAGCGGTGGGATATTCAAACAATAAGAAGGAAATAAAGGCTATTAAACCCAAACTGCTCATGAAAGCTTCTGCATACATAACCCATACACTCATGTACTCACTCATTCATTCATTTTCATTGGTCCAATGTACGTTCAAACATTGAAAATTGTTTTGCCCACATTTATAGACAGGCTCAAGTAGTTAACATTGTATTTACATTACAAAAACAATAACAATTGATTATGTGACATACATGATTAATGAATAATAATTTTGTTTAAAGGGAAAGTTGAGTTCTATTGCTGAGGGCGCTACACAAAATAATTTTTTGGTGAGATAATGAAAAACTGAGTGTCAAATTTGAAAAAACACAATATTCAAATGACAAAATCATCTTTGTTTGATCAAAATCGTCTCAGAGACGGGTGGAATATAACAATTTCTAATACTTGTGTACCACCACAAGTATTAGATATTTTGAAAAATTTGAAAAAAACCCTGTTTATGTCCTATTTCAGCCAATGCCGATGTTGGCTTTTTTGTTTGCATTTTCGTGTTGCTTATATTTATTACCCACAATTAGCCGGCTCATGTATTGTTATTTTTAATTAAATAATTAATTAACGGTCACCATGTTTTTTTTTAAGTAGAGCTGAATTGGTATGATCATATTGGCTAAATTTCACCTTCATTTACCTTCATAGCAATTTTAGGTTCTAAAAGGGCACTATAAATGTCATAGATAAGAATAAGAGCAATAACCATGCACTTTGAAGGCATTTGCGGTCTGAAAACAGAACTCAACTATCCTTTTAAGTCTTGGTTAATAAACAATATATAATCAAACAATACAGATTACAATACAGGTCACAGGTTACAATAAATTAAACCAGTATTTATTTCTTTTCTAAGCACTGAAATATATATATGCCAACATATAGATGTAAATACCACTTCCCAATTAATAACACTTTCTCTGTTTTTCTTGAGCTACAGAAGCTCAATTACATCAAACACTCATTAAAGTTTCACAAATCTAGTACAGATGTAGCTTCTGTGTTCATCCAGTATAATTCATACTTCTTCCATGATAGCACGTCTTCTTAAATACAGTGTACAATTACATTTGAATAATAAAATTATTCTGATCAATCAAATTGAGCCATGATAGGCCTGTATAGAATAACGCTATTTCTGATTAGGAATGTTGTTGATGACTTACCAATATCTTTAGGTACATTGTCCATACTGGCACTGACCATGGTGTAACCAGCATTGTCCACACTGATGTTGGCAAAGAGTTGACCATTCAATGTCTGACCATTGATGCTGCCTGTTACCATGGCAACGGCTGTCCTTGGACCAACTGGGAAAAAAAGAATTTTCAAAATCATGGTGATGAAAATACATTTATGTACCTTAACACTGGGTGATTAAGTGTTGGGTGAGTGGTTATTTCACTTTATAATGTTAGAAGTTGTAGATGGCACTATTAAAATTCTTTAAAATGCCTGCCCTTAAACAAGGCATTAGGTATCATTCTTTGACCTAATTATACTAAATGCAAAATCGGGGGTAGACAGAAATTGTTTGACATGCTTCCAGCAATATTACTGATCAGCTAAATCCATTGTAATTATGATATGTACTTGGCCAGCACCCATACTGTACATAACTACAATGTATATTCTTAGACACATCGTCAATACCGCAAGCTGTCTGTAAAAAGGCAATAGCAGCCATGACACCAAATACTTTGCAGTACTGCTATTATTGCAGGAAGTCATCGAATATTGCTTTAATGTCCATTCGCAAGACATTAATCTTCATTTACCACTCTCCATCCAGGTGTTGAATGTGTACTGGTAGAAGGAATTTCTTTGAATGCTGTGAGCACCGAAATAGGTAGCCTAGCAGAGCCGGTTTAATATTGGATCATCTCAATACGTGATGAATATGTACGCTATGAAATATCCAATATTATATTACTATTTCATCACTATATTACCATCATCATAATAACAAATAAACAATTTAGTTGAAGATTTTATATAGCAAAAGGAGGTACCTATACATGGAGGTGTATGACATGCTTGAATGAGCTCAGCTGCCCCTATACACGGCCTGCCACCATGGGCTGGAGCAGGGTTGGTACACTCTCGGGTTTTACGTCTACTACTCTCTCCACAGGTCTCTGAACATTCACTCCATGGTGACCAGGGTGTCCACTTGCCATCAACTGTCAGGAGAAAGAAGATAATTGTTAGGAAGTTCCAACATATGAAATACACATAAATATATATTTGTTTACATTATATAATCACCTGTTCTCATCAATATTGCGGTATGAGTACATACATTTACAACTATCAAAGGTACAACAAATAGCTTGTTCAGACTTGTAAAAATGTATATTAAACTTGCTTAAAGAATCATCGTATAGCAAAAGGAATGTACAGACTAGAAAGCAACTTTGTATATTAATAAATGTTTTATAAAGAAATAAAGAAACAATTTTTTTTGTACTATACAATGTGCAGACTAGAGCGGGATGTTGATTATTTTTTTAGCCGATTCGTTTAAACCTAAACTAAAAGCCAATTGAAACATTAATCCTAACCTATACAGTATGTTTGAACAAATAGAGTTAGGAGCAACTGTCACCGGACCTGAGCACCTATAGTGACTCTTCCTACCTTGGCATGGTTGTTGATTGCACGGTTCTGTATCAATGCTGTCACCTACACAGGGTCGACCTGTAGGGGATGGTGCTGGCTTGGTACAGGAGCGGAACCTTTGTCTTATTCCTCCACCGCACATAGCTGAACAGATACCCCATACGTCCCAGTCGGACCAATTACCATGTACTGGATTGAGGGAAAGAATGGAGTATAAAGTTTAGGTAATGTAAATGATGCAATAAAATGGTCAGTTGGAAAGGCGAATAAAAAGGTAGGATTTTTAACATTTTAGATGTGGTGTTGGGGGAAAATGCTGAAAACATCTTGGATAGAACATAGAACCAACCAATGAATTTGTTAGAAATCAGATCACAAACCACGCTACAATGTGTCAAAAGATTGATCTTAAAGTGCTTTAACCATATTTTTAGAAGGAATGAAGGTAGGATTGAAAAGATCATTAAGTAAGGATGCACTGAAGGTCAAAAGAGACTAGATGGACCAATGGCACAAGACAGTTAACAGACTCGTCTAAGCCTATTGCATGGCTCAAGACCGAACACTCTGGAGGACCATTTTCCACAGGGTCACACCGGATCATTCATGACTCATAAGACAACAACAAATATGTTTAGCTCTATTTTAAATGGACAAGATGCTTCTGAATAGATCCAAAACATTTAATGACCAATACTTTTTTTGAAAAATTTTAGCATTTTTTCACACTTTGCTTTGTAGGGCTTCACAAAATTACCCATTTCCTGTTTGATTAGCTTGATGACGACCCATTTAACAATGATATACATAAATCTTGTGCTGGAAACAGTGAAATAATCTTGAAGCCTTTGGTATATATCCCATGAAAATAACATGTGGCACAGAAAGATTATTTGTGTGACATATAAAGAGTTAATCTTATTTTTTGTATTGCCTTAAACTAAAAAATGTTACGCTAATGTAGACCAACAGCAAACTCTTACCTGGACACTGCTCTGCATTACACCGTATGGTCTGTTCACTCCTACCCTCACAAGGCTGTCCACCATGAAGTGGTCCAGTACAGGTCCTGGTCCTAGTCTGTTGTCCTCCACCACAGGACACTGTACATGTAGACCAGATACTCCATGATCCCCATACACCATCCACTATACAGACAGGGAGAAGGAATTAGATTCATGTTAAAGGTAAAGACCAGTTTTCGAAACGCCCCCCTCTCGAAAAATGAAATGGAAGCTCTTATTACCAATCATGTGAAAGAATATGTTTTGACTAATACATGATGATACAAACATATACATCTTCTGTGTACAGTGCTTGTAACTTTACCAAGACTGGACCAAATTTCTTATCATTTTGATGATTCCAGAACCTTGCAGTACACACCAATACTTATATGCTAGATGGTCAACCTTTTCTGATCGATTCCACAACGTTTTTTTCACAATGCAATCCCATGACCAGAACTGGTCTATACCTTTAAGATTTTGTTCAAACTCTTCTATCAGTTCACATCATTTACAAATCTGTGATGCTATTTCTAATTTAACTAAATGAGCCTAATTACATCAAAGTAATAATATGATAATAATAATAATAACGGTCTTGTTTACCTAGGGTAGCCTCATCAGCAATCATACACTGTCTTAAAAACAAAAAACCTGAGAAGTTCTCTTAAAAATCGAGCAAAGTAGTTATGGAACTAAAGCCGCTACCATAACTGCAGAACGAAAGGAGCTTAGCGCTTAGAGACTTTGGTGGTAAGCGCTTTACAAGTATTGTTTTTATTATTATTATTAAGGATAGTTGAACACACCTGGGCAAGGTCGAACGTTACAAGCTCTAGTCTCCCTGGATAGGCCGCTGCAGTCCCTGCCGCCGTACCTAGGCTCAGGGTTGTTACATATCCTCTCACGGATAGTATTGCCATTGCCGCAGGTTCGATCACATAGTTGCCATGACGACCAAGGTCCCCAGCCACCGTCCACTGTGAACAGGAAGAAAGAGTCCCAACACATGTAAAAATAGGCATGAACATACTCTTTGCAGAAAAGAAAAGCCTTTTTGCAAAAGAATTTCAATGAATTTTTTAACATTCTCCAATTCAACAACAGAAGCATATTATTTACATTGTGATCTAAAGCTCACATGGATATTCCACCAAGCACTACATGTACATGAAGGATATTGATGATATGTTCCTCTATTTTAAACAAAAACAAGACATTACTATCATGTACATTATTATCAATTTTTCACTGCAATCACAATTATCAACAACATACTCATCATGATAATCATATCACAAACATCATAATCATTATCAGCAGCGGCAATATCACCACCATCCTTATCACCGTTTCATTTCCATTATCATAATTATTATGGTCATCATCATCACCATTAATATTATCACAATGATCATCAACACCACCATCATCACCATCTTCATCATCATTTTCATTATATTCTTCATCATCATCATCACCGTCATCACCATCATCATCATCATCACCATTAAATTCTACCTTCTCCTTCTCTTCCTCCTCCTCCTCACTACCACCACCACCACCACCATCCCCATCCTCCCATCTTCATCATCATTTTCATTATATTCTTCATCATCATCACCATCATCATCATCATCATCACCATTATATTTTACCTCCTCCTTCTCTTCCTCACTACCACCGCAACCACCATCACCATCCTCCACACTGTCATCACCATCATCACCATCACCGTCACCATCACCATTACCATCACCATCACCATCACCATCGTCACCATCTCTCCATATTCATCCTCCTCACTGTCATCATCATCATCATCACCACCATCCTCCTCACCGTCATCCTCCTCATCATCATCATCATCATCACTAACCTGGGCATTCTCCTGCAAAGCATTCATCCTGCTGGACACCCTCGCCTTCGCAATCCCTTCCTCGATACTGAACCGGTGGGTTATCGCAGAATCGTCGCCTTACACGGACACCAAAGCCACAGGATACAGAGCATTCTTCAAATGGCTGCCATTCACCCCAGCGACCATGAACTGAAGAGAGAGGCAAGACAGAAAGATCAGGAATAAGATGGTGAACATTAATTAATGACCACAGGCTACAACTCCACATAAATTCAAGTCATGAAAATAGGTATTTCTATTTTTTTTAAGTGTCTGCATTCCCTGAGGATAAGAGTATGTATATTAAATCTTTTCTCTTTGATAAAACACAAAATGGAACAAATGTTTCATAACTATTGCCGGTTCATGAGAGAGAAGAAGATACTGTCTGTTTGGAACCACAAGAGCAATTGCTCTAAATTACATGATACAAGTTAACTCCCTTTTGGCTCCAAAAAGATGATATGAACGGTAGGTTCTGATCATGAGGACATTGTTTTTAAAGAATGTTCATATATTTTTTGATTATGAATCCTAACATTCAAGTAATCTACAACAAAATGAGACACAATAAGAAACATTAAAGTATACAAGTACAAAAGTTGCAAAATCTGAACTGCATTGATTAAAAGCAAGTCATGCAAATCAAGAAACGAATCGCAAATCATACATCAAACAATAATGATCAAATGGGAAATGTTTTGAGAGCAATAGGTGTATGACAAATGTGAATGACTGAATGAGTTATTGTAATGTCACCAAATTCAAATTTAAGTTTAGATGAAGTGAAAGAGGAATCGATTGGTTATATGAAAATATTGTATGTTGAATATCATTTTACATAAATCCTGTTTTATATTCAAAAGAGGAACCTATAATCTAATAATGGAAAAACATTTTGGTTTGGCAACCCAACACACTATCCAATTTAGATGAAACTTTTTTGTGATGATATAATACCTGGTAAAGGATACCATTTTCAAAATCTGGTCGATTTTTGAAAATATTGACTGTGTACCCACAATTTGGTCATGCACGATCATGCATGGTCAGAACTCCTTATCTTGTCATTAATATATTACTAATATACTTTCATTTTCATCTAATCACTTACCTCTGAACTCCATCCTCAAACACACACACACGCCCACACACATGCACACACCCACACAAGTTAGCCAGCACTTACTAGGGCAACTATCCATATGGCATGAGTTCTGTTCTACCTCTGGCCCTGTGCATTGCAGTCCATTGTGAGCTGGGGACGGACTGTCGCAGCGACGTGTGCGTATCCTCATGCCCCGCCCACATGTCTTACTGCACTGCCCCCACTCGGTCCATTCTGACCAGCCGCCATGCACTGTCAGACAGAAGCATCCCATCATGCAATGCAAATCAAGCAAGAAGCAACTTACAAATAAGGCCTAAAAAAAGACGTTGTATTGCCATTTGCGGCTGACTCAAAAATCTTGAAATCTACGGTCAGCTTTTCTTCTTTTACCGGTAAGTTTTTTTTTCAAACCCTTTTTTAGAAAAAAAATGTATTAAAGCATTCAAAACTGAAAAATATCAGTTAAAAAAATTGTTTAAAAAAAAAGATTTCCGACCGACCGACCGACCCATGTTTTGGCACGTAAAGGGCAATACAACATCTTTTTTTCTAGGCCTAACATGATTCTGAGTTTCTCAAGTCAACAGATAAAACTTTTGCTTTGGGACTATCAAAGGAGTCCTTCAAATTTTGGTCTCAAATGACAAGCAGATTTGATGGGTTCCAGAGGCTTCTGGTTTAATAAATTAATGAGTAAAGAAGAATAATTGTGAATCTTGGGCTTTTCTCATGTTTAGACATCACATGATTTATTCAAAGCATAAATGAATAAGTTTGCTAATAATGGTGAACTTTATATGCCAAGGATGTTTTCTAAAAATGCATAATATTATGTATTATTCTTGTCCACTTTTTTAATGTTTTTTTTTTTTCTCTTTTGTCTAAGACTTGAGATACTCTGAACCGATATGAGAGAAAATATTAAAGTGAATCTAGAAATTGAAAAAGCACAGTTGAAAAAGCCAGATGATCCATGGCAGAGTTTTTCTGGAATAATTCTCAACTACTTAAAGGTAATACAAAGTTTTGGTATGGGGTCATGAATTTGGTTCAAATGAACACATTCGAAGCATATGCGATCCTACAATATTCAGTGATCGTTGTCGTGGTTGAAATCGAGTCTAAAGTTATGAAATTGTAAATAATAACTATTTATGTCGTATAGTTCCCTTTCAAGGTCAAGATATTAATTAAGCTATAAAACAATATTTCTTGACTAAAATCGACCGATTAGCTATTCCCGTTTGAAAATTATATATTACAACTGCATATTCTGAGATTTTCATGGTCGCAGCTACCGTTGTACGGCCATAGGCGCTATTTGAAATTTATCAAAATATACCGGGAGCACTGGTAAATTTTTATATTCAATTTTTCTCAAAAGCAGAAGTGTTTTAGGGGCTAAATTTTTTAGTGCTTATAATAAATCCACAAGGGCATCCAAATATATCAAAATTGTAAAGAATCACAATCCACCCAATTTTCAAAATTTACCAAAACTTTGTATTACCTTCAAGATTTTCTTTTTTAAAATGAAAAATCCATAGTTGCTAACTACTAATCGAACACCTTATCTTCTCTATAACCAGCCCCCCTCCCCCTTATTCAAATAATACCTTTTCTTTTTATCATATATTTCAATATGAAGATGATTTGCTTTTGTTTTTAACCATTAAATGGTGCAAATGTGAATTATAAAATTAATGGAAAAAAAACATATTATCTCTGATTGACATAACAGCGCCTATAAATACTTGAGTAGGGGTTTCAATATAACTTCAATAGAGTTTCAATCCTGCTAATTTAAATACAAACACTCCAAAATAATTTGAACATTTTTGAAGGCAGAATACCTGGGTCATGCAAATAATTGCAACTATCTTTCAGATTTAGTTTGAAACATATAACAGTTGAAACAATAACAGCAAACAATAGCAATTTAACTTTTAAGACATTAAAACAAAAACACATTTACGACTAATACAGAGAGCACATTTGATATCAAACAAGTACTTCATTAACCAACGCAAGAAAACGAACAGTACAAAACGCTCAGACACAAATAGTAATGAAAGAAAAAAGAAAGGGATAGAAATATTCATTATCAAAGAAAAAATCATTAAATTCTTTTTAAAAAACTGCCAAGTAAAATCTTTTAGAAATTCTATATCTCTTTTTAACAAAATATGATTATAAACAAAACATAAAACTTAGAGGAAAATTGAAAGTATGCTCATTAAATTTTACAACTCTTTATATCTGTTAATAGAAAATGTGATAATTACTGATCATTTGCCATGGATATGATGTGCAGAAATTACTGTGAGTAAATATAAATCAAAAATGAAAAATGAAAAAATCACACAAATCATAAAAAGACAGACAAAGGAGAGGAGTGCAAAAACTTATGTCTGAAAAAGAAAACGAAAACAGAAAGTACAAGTAAACAAATAATAAAGACATGCGTGTTACAAATGGTATGTGAAATGCCCCATATGAAACTAATCGTACATATATCTAAAACCTTTGATACCCAGTCAGCTTTTACCATGCCCTACACTCCTGAAAGGTATGCACAATTAATATTACAAAGACAACACAACATAAACATTTCCTTTTTTAAAGAACTGTTGGAAATAGTTGTGGAGCTTTGGAATACGAAAATTACTTATATTTTTTTCATTCAGATTTTTAAAATTGATAGAATACACTTGCTGAATGTATTTCCTCTATTCTAATTTTATGAACTGATTATCTTCACTTCTTGATTTTTTGTTTTTTCACAGGAGTTACAAATTCATGACAGTGACAAAGACAGAATCACAAAACCGAATACCAACTCTAATTATCTAAAAGTAAACAGAGTAACAACAGTTTGGTAACATAAATACCTTATTAAAATTTGCCATTTGCACACTGATGAATGCAATGAAAATGAAAGGAGAGAACATAGGACAATAATATACTGAAACTTTCATGTTCTCTATGAATGTGGTATGTGCTTATATTTGTGTCTTTTAATCTTTTTATAAAGATTATTCATTATTTTCAATTGCAGTCTGAATATTCCAGGAACCAACTAAGTGATGCCAGAAACAATACATCTACAGTAAGTACATAATCTAATATACTACTAAATCATTCACAAAACATATTTGCATATGCACAAGATGCAAATTCAAAGTCATGCATAATTCATGCTTCCTACCCCATGACTCATAACAAATATTTGTGAAAAACTAGCTTGTTATTACCTAAACGCACGATGCAAAGGTGTCAATAGTCTCTCATAATGAAAACACATGTCAATTTCAAAGTGATAGTTTCTTAGTCAAGCACTCACCCATGACGGTCAGATGGATGGTCATCACAGCTCGACCCATCTGATTTTCAGCCAGACACATGTAGGCACCACTATCGGTCAGCTGTGCAGCAACTATCTTGAGGGTATTGTTTGGGAGGATGGCCACACGCCCTACCGGTAACACCCTGAAGCCTTCCTTCTGCCATCTCATGGATGGTTCAGGCTCTCCCTGAGCTATGCAGTCCAGCAGGACATTCTCACCGTGGGATACTGTGGTGTTCTGTGGCTCCACCACAAACATAGGACGACCTGCAAACACAATCATTCAAGTCTCCTTTATATATGATGTGGCAAAAACGCAAAGTGTTTTTTAAGACGATGATGTAAAGTGTAATAATCTTCACATTTCTGTATCTTAGACCCCAGCGAATACATAAGGGAAGTCGTTCACATAGGCCAAAAAATAGACATCATTTGGATTAGAATGTAAAGAACAGATTAAATAGTGATCAACACAAAACAAAGGGAAAAGTATATATTGATTTTCACTAAAACAAGATCTCTTTGTATTGAGGTACAAATAACCCAAACATAATATAATTTTAGAATGGATATGACACTTTATTCATAGCCCATAATCCAATATGTAATTCTTATCTACAACTCTGCAAAAAAATTTTGTTATATTTACAAAATGTCTTGAGATTTGCTTACTTTGTATTTCAAGATGATAGCTGACTTCATCAAGGCCGTAGAGGTTAAGAGCTTGACATTTGTAGAAACCGGCATCAGATATCTAAAGAAAAAAAGGCAAAAAAAATTAATGAAAACAAAAATGACCAAGTCATACATCTTCAACAGAGAGGGAATACTAGCTAACAACATATTGGATGTGTGACAGAATATATTACCTTTTTTTAATTATCCAAAATTAGGTGTTGCCTTCCCCAAAAATGTGCTATCAAAGTTTATCTCTAAGATTATACACAAATGCTTAGGAACTGTAGAAACTATAACTGAAAGATATTTCCCCACAGAGAATTATATACAAACTTGCCATCCACAGAGCCTGTTAGTCACTCAACCCAGAGTGAATGCATTTATGTACCATTCATATTTTTTTCCTACTACCCAAATAAATAATATCCATTGAAACTAATTTTGACACAATTTATTTTCTTACAGTCAATATCGTTTGAATGGTCAAATATGAAGTAATTTCATCACTTTCTGATTACCACAAATAAGGCTTTTATAAACCAAGAGGGATACCAGGAACTATATGGGAGGGGAACATTAAGACATGAAGTGGAATGACACACCAAGAGTATACTAGGGTGGCAGAAAACAGAAATGTGTGAAAAAATGTTGCAATCGATCTCCAAGCCGGGAGAAGATACCTTGATAGTTAACCATTCAAGGAGTTATAATGAGACTTACAGCAGTGGGTGCTATAATGAGAGAACCATCAGAACTTTGTTGCATGGTATCAGTCAGGGCTACAGGCCGGTTGTTCTTGAGCCACGTGACCTCTGGTTTGGGGTCACCGTTGACTGCACAGTTCAACACCGCCCTCTCTCCTAGGGTCAGGGTAGTGTCTGATGGGATGCGGTGGATCCTGGGTGGCACTGCAGAAAGAGGGTATTAGAAGTTCATAATGATTACTTAGAATTAATCTGGCCTTACTTGGTAAGAGAACACAAATGCTTTTATATATCACTACCCACTTTAGATGCTTTAATAATAATAATATAATATAATAATATAGGTAATAATATAATAATAATACAATAATAATATTAACGCTTTATTTACCCAGGGTAGCCACTTAAGTTATGAAACTGCTCTTCCAGCGGGCCCTGCATTACATAATATGTTATTACCACCCTTCTCCAATCTTATATACTGAGTGCCTAGCTAGAAGGCAGAAAGTCTTATTGTTATAAGTCTTTGGTATGACTCGGACGGGGTTCGAACCAAGGACCTCCCATTCACGAGGCGGGCGCTCTAACGACTGAGCCACCATGCCCGGTATAATGGTATTCAAAGCATACAGGAATTGTCTTGCTAGAAGGGAGACATTTACAACTTGTAAATTACTCAATGTTCAATGTTAACACTACAGATAAAAGTTCTTGCTGAATGCCCTGTACTGATGAATCTCTGACGACCTTATACTCTAATTGTAGTACTGACAATATATACTGGAAAATCGTTTGGATATTTCCTCCTATTCTGGACGTGTGGGCGGTGGGTTTAGAAACACATCTCATTAGAAAGGAGGAAAAAAGATGAATACCTCTCAAAATATAATTCCAATCAGCTTCTCATTCTAAGGGTGGCAGCGGTGGGATGTAAATACACACTCCTGAACAATTGACATCTGGGGGGTGTTTCACAAAACTTGTCATCAGTGACAAATGACAGTTTTGTTATAAGCTACTGAAATCCTTGCTTCTGATTGGTTATCAGCAGACTTGTCACTGATTTTTGACATTTGTCATTGAAAAAAGGCTTTGTGAAACACTCCCCAGGATTTGCCTTCTATGCTCAGAATGTCAATGCACACCATACACAAACACAAAATTGATTGAACTACACATAAAAATGTGCATGGTTAAGTAAAAACTGACTCAGATGTAGTAACTCACCCCTGACACGTACTGCAGTGATGGCGGTCCTTACACCAAGAATATTTTCAGCTCGGCACATGTACGTTCCACTGTCACTCTTCTGTACATTCCCAATGGCAAGCACACTACGACCATCAAAAGTAGGTGGGTCTACATGATGAAAAATTCATATATGTACAGGTGTAAATGATAGTGATACAGACAAAGTAGGATGTTTATCCTGTCAATTAATACAAGCAATTATAAGTTGAAAAAAAAGTGAAAAGGGAAATTGTTGCAGAACTTATCTCCTTTGCAAGACATCAATCTAGATTTGCCACATACTCGACTCAGCTGAGGTACATGCAAATAGGATCCTGGTAGGAATCATTGAAGCACCAGGAGTGGTAAGTGTGCCAAATAAAAGCACCACACAAGAACCTACAAGTATTATTGTTATTAAATATGTTGAATAATATCAGGGTTATCATGTTTCTTACTTGGAATCATCTCAGTCCCATTGACCAGCCATGCAATATCAGGCATAGGGACACCAATAGCTTCACAAATCAGTTCCAGTCTGTTCCCAGCTGCTAGCTCTACATCATTTGGGAAGTGGGTGAATGTTGGAGCAACTGAAAATGAACACAATTAAAACAAATGGTCAGACAATCAGAATGCTCAATAAGTAATGGGTATTCTTTTCACTAATTTATATTAATTACTATTACCCGTATCAGACATCTGAGCTGGTCATTAACAAAACCGTATTGCCCTAGTTTTCACTAGCAGTGGGAATGGAGGGGTATATTCTTTGTATTTTCCTTGGTCTCCCTGCTCGTATAGACTTTGCGTGTAGAGACGAGTGAAAATATAGTCTTGTATTGACCGCGCCGTATTTTGACATTTTCATTGCGCATCTATTATGCGTACATGAACCTGCACACTTTTTGCACACTCTATTGTGACATAATAATCACATCAAAGACACACTGTTTGCAGTGTATCAAATATTTTGTCAAGCACAAATATGGATGCACAGTGCTGTTTTGACTAAGTTGTTTCAATTCTTTTCTTGTAAGAGAAAAATAGTTTCTTGTACAGTTACTGATGTCTTCCTTGCCTACCTTAAAACAAAATTAAGGGTTGTCGGTGGATCGAAGATGGCGCCTTTCTAGAAAATAACACACGAGCCTCTCTTTAGCAAAGTTTTGATCCAACAGGACTTTTGAAGGCCTTTTCAGCTCTGATTTTACTGCTCTTTGATTTAGTGTTTCCTAATGCCGGACAAGAGATTAAACTCCCCGTCCAAAAACGGTGGATCGATCGAGAAAAAGCAAAGAAAGTTGCCCGTTGATTGTCAGCGATCCAACGCCATGTCTCCGCCAGCCGGCCCCGGCAGCTCCCGGGTGAGTGACGCGGCCGCTGCAGCCCCTGTTTGGTTCATAGAATATGAAAGGCGTTTGGATTCAAAGTTTGATGACCTGCATAAGAGACTGGATTTTCATGAAGCTGCTTGTGAAGAAAAGTTCCAACATCTGGAAAAGGAATTGGCTGCAGCTTTTGATAAGATTGACGACCTTGAGAATAGATCTCGAAGAAACAATCTAATCTTTTTCAACTTCCCTGAAGGTGAGGAGCCTGATTCTGCCAGTGGATGCAGTGAGTTGATCTCATCTTTTTTGGCCTCTATTGACAAGAATCTTGAGCATGTTCAGATCGAGAGGGCTCACCGCACGCCGCCAGGTCCACCATCATCTCGTGGACATCCCCAGAATGGCAGCCAGTACAAGCTGAAGGATCGTCCAATTCATGTTTGCTTCAGTTCGTTTCAAGATCGAGTGAGGGTCCGGAAGGCATGTGTTGCTGCGTTCAAGGAAGGGTTCAAGTACAAAGAGAGATCAAAGTTGTTTGTTGCAGAGGATTTCAGTCATCGCGTTCAGGCTCGCCGTAAAGCTCTCCTGCCTGAGTTAAAGATGTTGCAGCAACAAGGAAAGCGAGCATTCTTTGTATACCCTGCGACAATTAAGTATGTCCAAGATCACCAGCTGAAGGTTCACAAGCCAGGTGTTTGAATTGCAACTGTAGTACACCATAAAAACACTGTGATTATCATAGTGGCTGTCTCGTACAAACCGTCTGACTTTCACAGAAAACTTTTATATTTTACAAGATAACATGCCTTGAACTTAACACGTTTTAACTTGCTGGACACCAGATTAGTTTAGTGATGTCGGTCTTTTTAAACATATTTTGTTCACTTAAACTTTTTTAGGAATTCTCGGGGTGCCCTGGAGGTGCCTTGTTTTTGGTTACCCACGATTCACCATTGGGGATAATAGTTTTTATTGTTCTTATCCTTGTTGGTACTGGTTCATTATGATTAATTATGAGGCTCTAAGGTTTTCTCATTCTTGCCTCATACCGTTGGCTGCCTTTCCAGTTTTTTTTTTGTTTTTGGTGGGTGTTTGTGCGTATGCTTTTTTCACTGAGTGTGTGGTGTGTGCCCTTTTCCCAGGGGTCCTTTATCATGAATCAAATTGTGTACATTTTTAGGATATTACTTGTTTTGTCAACTCACTGTTGCTACTCTAGGTTTTTACTGTTATATGATGTTACAGATTAATACTTTTAACTGCAGAGGTCTGCATGACAATTTTAAAAGAAAGAAAGTTTTTAATTTTTTAAGAGAATTTGGGTATGATATAATCTTTCTTCAGGAAACCCACTCTAGGATAGATGATGAGAAGCTGTGGCGTACTCAGTGGGGAGGGGAGGCAGTTTTTGGCAGCTATTGTTCCAATAGCCGAGGTGTGGCTATTTTGTTTAAAGCTTCTTTGAAAATATCAGTCTTATCTTTTCACCTGGATCCTGAGGGAAGATATATTATCCTCCATGTTAATGTTAATGATGTACACTTTATTCTTGTCAACTTATATGGTCCTAACAAAGACTCACCAGATTTTTTTGTTAATGTTTTTGCTAAGTTAGATGAAATAGGTAACTCTCATGTTATTTTAGCAGGAGATTTGAATATTGCGGTAGGCCCTTTAGATTATGAGGGTTCTAATGCAACCCACTCTAATGCTCGTGCCAAAATTGCTTTTAATATGTATGTAGAAGAACTAAGTCTTGTAGATGTATGGAGAAGAGATCATACTCATGATAAGATTTTTACACGCCATCAGAAAATTCCATTTGTTTCCTCCAGGTTAGACTATATTTTTATTTCTAGTGATTTGTTGAATTGCGTAAAGAAATCTAAAATTGTGACTGGTATTTGTTCTGATCATTGTATGGTAACACTAGCACTGTCACTAAATGATTCACCTCGGGGCAAGGGATACTGGAAACTGAACACTGCACATTTGAAACATTCAGAATTTTGCAATTTCATTAAAGACAAAATTAAGGAATTTAAGGAATTTCATGCTGAATGTGATCTAAATCCACATATTATTTGGGATGCATTCAAATGCACAATGGCTGGTCATTGTATGGAGTATTGCAGTAGAAAGAAAAAAGAAAAGAATTTGACTAAGAATAATTTACTAAAGAGTATATCCTTACTTAAAGAAAAAATTGGTTCATTGAAAAAGGATAATAGTTCAAATGGAGAACTGCAAGAATTATATAGCAAATTAGAAGTTGAAGAAGCACAGTTGAATGAACTTCTGGATACTGAAACTGCTGGCTCTATAGTAAGGTCTAGATTAAAGTGGGCTGAACACGGAGAAAAAAGCTCTAAATACTTCTGCAATTTAGAAAAACGGTCCTATGAAAGAAAAACTATACGCCAACTGAAGGCGAACAATGAGCAAATCATCACTGATCCTAAAAGAGTACTTCAGGAAATTCATTCGTTTTATAAAGCTTTATACTCTTCAGAGGTATCTCTTGAGGATAGGGACACTATCAAGGATTTTATCGCCCCTTTGAATATATCTACCTTATCAGATGATTCAATTTCTGCTCTAAACAGACCTTTAACCAAAAATGAACTTTGGACTACTTTAAAGAATATGGGAACAAATAAGAGTCCAGGACTAGATGGCCTTCCTTGTGAATTTTATTTAACCTTTTTCAATGATATCATAGATTTATTACTCCACTCTTATAATTATTCCTTTCAAGAAGGAATTTTATCACAATCTCAAAGAAGTGGAATAATCACGCTTCTTCCAAAAAAGGGTAAGGATCCATTGTTAGTGAAGAATTATCGCCCTATCTCTCTACTGAATTGTTGACTATAAATTATTAGCCAAAGTTATGAGCTCCCGTTTGAAGTCTTGTATAAATTCTTTGATACATACAGATCAACAAGGGTTTATGAAGGGACGCAACATTGGGGCCAATATTCGGGTTATAATTGATTTAATTGAATATACAGACTATATGAATGAGCCAGCTACAATTATTTTGTTAGATTTTGAGAAAGCGTTTGATAGAATAGAACATGATTATTTATTTTCAGTCTTGGACTATTTTAATTTTGGAGACAATTTTATAAGATGGATAAGGACTTTTTACAATGATAGAACTAGTTGTGTGTTAAACAATGGTTTTATGTCCAATCCGGTTGCAATTAAAAGAGGAATATTCCAGGGGTGCCCAATATCCCCTCTTTTATTTATACTAGCTATTGAAATTTTGGCTATTTCAGTACGACACAATCCGGGGATAAAGGGAATTTCAGTTGGCAACTTTGAACAGAAGATAAGTCTTTTTGCAGATGACACAACTTGTTTTTTGAATGGGGAAACAGTTTCCTTTAAACATTTATTTGAAACGTTGACTCAGTTTGCAAAATTTTCAGGTTGTCGCATTAATTTAAGTAAGTCAGATGCAATTCATATAGGAAAGCTGAAAGGCAGTACAGTTATTCCACAAGATGCATTAGGGTTGAATTGGAAATCAAAAATGTTTAAGGCTTTAGGAGTGGTTTTCTCATTGAACACAAAAATGCTTTACGAACTGAATTTTGTTCCCAGACTTGTCATTATAGAACAGATTTTAAATTGTTGGCGGCATAGAAGCCTATCCTTGTTGGGCAAAATTGCTGTTGTAAAGTCGCTTTTACTCCCCCAAATGTTATTTTTGTTTTCAGTATTATGTATTGACCTGCCAAACTCTTTCTTTAAAAGATTAAATGGTTTGCTTTTTAAATTCATTTGGAGCAATGGCAATGACAGAGTTAAGAGAGATATATTATGCAATGATTATGAAGAAGGGGGTCTAAGGATGATTAATCCTTTAGTTTTTGCACAAGCGCAGAAAGTTTTGTGGATGGCTAAACTATTAGACGATAAATATGAAAGTTGTTGGAAAACAATAGAAATATATATTCTTTCTACCTTTTGTGATGACCATCTTGCCCTTTTTAAGGCAGATGCCCCTGATTCGGTTTTAGCAAAACTTAAAAATTGCCAGTTAACAGCGTCTATTAAGACATGGTATTTATATAGGCAAGAGATGAAAAGAGAACTAGGTTTATGTCAGTTTCATTTACAAGATTTTATTTGGTGGAATAGAAATGTAAGATTGCAATATACAACACATTTTTTCTATCCAGTTTGGTATGAAAGGGGTATTCATTCCATTTTTCAATTACATAATGGTTTTGGTAATCCCAAAACATTTGAAGACCTCGTAATTGAGTTTGACATTCCTATTAGAGACCAAAAAAAATATGACTCCCTCATGAATGGCATATTTTTGGAGTGGTTTGATAATTCTCTTAATGTGGATGAGAATATATTTAATCAAATTTTTAAAGATCTATTAAGTCAAAAGAAAATGTCTAAGTATACATATAATATTTTGCTGAAGAAATATAGTTGTACTAATGCCAAAAGGGAGAGTAAATGGGAGGAACTATTTGGCCATCAACCCAAAGAGAAGGATTGGTCGATTATTCATACGAGTAACTTTTGTTGCACGATTGAGACTCAGTTAAGGAGTTTTTATTTCAAAATTTTCCATAATGCTATTGGTTTTAATGCATTTTTGTTCAAGATTGGGAGAAAGGAGTCTGCTAATTGTTATTTTTGTTCAGATTTTCCAGAAACTTTAGATCACTTGTTTTGTGACTGTAGGAGAGTTGTACCACTGTGGGAAAAATTGGTGGATAAGATTAACACTGGCACTGATCACAGTTATAATCTGACTTTGTCAAAATTTAATTTTTTGTTTGGGATACAGTCAAGGGACAAATACGCCTCTTGTATAAATTTTCTCTGTTTATGTTTAAAATATTATATTTACTCATGTAGGTTTCAGGGAAAAGAACTTATTTTCGAAGCATTTGTTTCAATGGTAAAGTTCAAACAAAAAATAGAATATAAAATTGCCCAAAAGAAAAATAAGTTACAAGTCCATTTTAAGAAATGGTCTATCAAGTTTAACTGAAATTTAGGAGTAGTCTTGCAAAGCTCTGTTGTCATTAACATCTTCATTGACTTTTTGAAATGTAAACTTGCCCTCTGGGAAAGTATGTGAGTGTGTGTGTGTGTGTGTGTGTGTGTGTGTATGTTTATGGGTGCATGAGTGCGTGCCTGTTTTGTAGTTTTAAGATGATATTATATTTTATATTGCTGCTTTTACTCTGTTAATTTTTCAAAAATAACAATAAAAACAGAAGAAAAAAAAGAAAAAAAAAAAAAAAAAAAAAAATTAAGGGTTGTCTAGGGAACTTTAATAATGCAATAATTGAACCTATTGCCTACCTTGCACTGTGAGGTAGAAATTTAGTCTGTTACTGCCAATTGAATTTGTAGCCACGCATGTATAGGTACCACTGTCACTTTCCTGGTGAAACAAAACAAGACACAACACACCTACATCAAACTACATCTTTGTCAATTGTAATTCTATGATTTTCAACAACAACAAAATTAATGGCATGCATTAGTTAATTTTGCAACAACAACATTCTTTGCATCTTGAAGTCATTGTCGATAACATTATATCAAATCAATTTTCAATTCGTATACATTTTCTTATTAACATACATGTATTTATGTATCATAATGAACATACCATATTAGACATCATGCAGTCTCAAAATATCACTCTACTTTAAAAAACAAAGATCAAGCATGTTCTTGGATTTGGTCTAAAAAAACGTTAAATTATCATCCAATCTAAATTGACATTTCATTTTTTTCATATCAGTGACTAATTTCCACTTTTTCTAGAGGAAGAGGTGTCCTAGTTGAGTAGTTTAAACACTTCACTGGAGATGTGAAGGTCATGGGTTCTGCATTTTATCTACATGGCTTCTCTTCATCCAGGTGTTAAATGGGGACCAGGTCATTGTAGTTTGCTCTGTATTGTGAGGATCTGTAAAATGGCGCCTGGCTGTAATGCTCCCCAGGGGGTGGAGAATGTGCACATACTGTATGTGCTTAAAGAAATTGTTGATGTTTCAAGCACTATGTAAACCCAGAATTTTTTATTATCATTATCATTGCATGGATGAGCTTGCTTTATACCTGTACTCTGTCAATGATGAGTTCATGGTTCTCAGTCATGGTGATTCTACCTGCAGGTTCAACCAGGATTCCATCCTTCCTCCAAGTGACCTCAGGGGGTGGATAGCCATCGGCTGGACAGGTCAAGACTGCTCGTCGATTCACACTGATGGTCATCTCAGACTGCTCACGAGGTGGTCTTGGAAGCCTTGGAACATCTATAAGAGGGAAAACCAGAAGAGGTTCAGGATGAGAACATAATGTACTGGGAATGAGAGAAGAAACAGCAGTCTGGCAGATGCCACATTCATTCACTCATCATTTATAAGTCTTGACTACTTACATAGCACTACAAGAATCCTCTCTGCTTGGGCGAGTCCAGCATCATTATGAGCCATCATTTATAAGCCATGATGCCATCGATGCTCCCACACTCCTCAGCTTCAAAACGACAACTATCCAACCTGGGTTTTTAAATGGGTCCCATAGGACCCCCTTAACCCTGCCACACAGGATCTTCATCACCCCGATGGCGAGGTGTGGCCTTCAAGGTATATTCAAGGTTTATTCAAGGTATATTCATGGCTACTTACCTAGCACTACAAGAATCCTCTCTGCTTGGGCGAATCCAGCATCATTTTGAGCCAGGCAAGTGTAAGCCCCACTATCCTCTGCCCTCACGACAGGTATCTTGAGGTTCCCATTAGCAAGCTTCAGACTCTGGGCTCCCAATTCTCGTCCATTGAACAGCCAGCGAATGTTTGGTTTGGGAATTCCACCAACACGGCATTCCAACTCGACAGAAGCGTCAACTCGGATCTCATATGTTTTGGTGGTCTCTGCGATCTGAGGTGGCTCTATGAATGGAAAAATAAATAACATTTGTTCCATCTCTTTCATACATATGCATCAATAACATTATATTTGTACAGGTACATATGGTATTTGTTTCTTGAAAGTGATTGTGATAATAAATAAGGAAATGGTCAAGCATCTTCCTGTGGATGGTTGTAAGTGTTGTCAAGTATGCAGTTCTTCCAATATGATCAATTAAACAGCTCCACCAAGGGTAGAAAGACTTTTACCCCTTTATTAACAATCTGGTATCAGTACACTCGACATAAAATCAGAGCAACCTGGCACCCAAATGGCATAAATTTTGGTTTAATTATTTCAAGTAACAAATCATAGAACTTTATTAACCCAATGCCTGCATAAAAACAAGGTAACTGTTGTATATGCCTATGGGAAGAAAAGAATTCAGAAGTCACTGGGTTAAGGAAACTCACCATGAACCTCAAGAATGACCTTGAAGACATCTGCTCCAGCTCCATTCTTAGCGATGCAGTCATAGCGTCCTGCATCTGAAGGCTGGGCATCATTGATCTGCAACATACCATCACTGATGATAAGGAATCCTTCCATGGGAGAAACCCTCTGACCATCCTTCTGCCACAGGATCTCTGGGGTGGGGACACCGGTGGCATCGCAGAAGAGGCGCACTGACTGACCGATTTGGGTGGTCACCCTGCCACGCCCTGGTGTGATGGTTGGTTGAACTAACACATCAAAGAAGAGAATGAAAACAGCTTGATATTCAGACTCATAATGACAAATCTATGTGTGTCGCAATGGTAAAGTGTGTTTTCCAAAAACAGAAACAAATTTCAAGGAATCAAGCTACACTGTAGGTATGTAGATAAATTCTGAAATAAATTCCTGCTTCTTAAAACCTACATTTTCAGCAATTTGTTTCATCTACACACTTGTTGTGTAATTTACTTATCTGTAAGCTTTTGTATATGAGATGACACTGTAACATTTATGTATAGGGAGTAAACTGACATTATTGATCAATACAAAAGACTGAAAACTAAAAATTGAATCTTCCAACAACTTGTTTCCCTTTTTCTGCTCATGTACGATATACAATTCAGAGCATACTGGATCAAAAGATAACAATTTTTGTTAAATCTCTAAAGGGTGACACTAGAATGTTATGGGTTGAAACTGTTTTGATTCTCTGTAAACCAATGGAATCTTACCTTGAACCTGTAGATCAATTCTTCTTGTCACATTGCCAGCAGAGTTGGAGACAAAACATTCAAAGACACCTTCGTCTGCGACTGTCACTGTAGCTATATGGAGCAATCCAGCGGGGTCTATGTCATATCTGATCAATATCAATCAAAATCAAATAAAAATAATTTCACTCAAAGAAAGTCAATTCAAAGTATTAAAAGCCTGCATCGTTTGCCACCATCACCATACCTTTGCTTCATTTAGTCAAAATCAACTAAATTAAATTAAATCTGATCAATATTAATTTGATTCAAATTTTAAGTAATTTCACTCAAAGTCATTTCTAGGCATTCAAAGACTGCTTTTTCTGCCGCCAGCACAATAGCTATGTTCATCATCATCATGTGACAGCTGCAGTCCAGACAGAATTCACCCTTTGATGCCACACGCTCTTTCCAATCTTGACCTTAAGAATGTATTCTAACTTTTAGCCATGTTACATGCAGTCGATATTAATTCAATTTGATTCATAGTAGTAAAACTTAACATCAGATACATCGATCTTCTATTGTCAATTTAAACCAGTCAAATTTCCTTCCACGTATCTTTGATTTGAATCAGGATAGATTAGATTCTTAAACCTAATCCTGAGTTATATTAATTTTAAAAAATTGAAGGAACCCATGTATGTAAAATTCTACATTAATTTATTAAAACTGCTAATATCTAATTGTGAACATCATATTGGTTCATTTTCAAAGTTTCATATACATTGCTCTTCTTAATTCAGGAAGAAATAAGGATAATTGGCAAAAGCAACTGGACGAAATAAATAGTTGGAAGAAAGGAAAATAAGAGATTTGTGCAAAAAGATGATGGCCGTGAAAAACAGAAAACATCCAGACACCTCACCTTATGCTAGCTGGTGAAATAAAGGCATTATTCTTTGTCCATGTCACTGTTGGTTCCATATACATTGCTCTTTTTAATTCAACAAGAAATAAGAATAATTTGCAAAAACAACTGGACTAAATAAAGAGCAAAAAGAGAATTGTGCAAAAAGATGATGGCTGAGAAAAACAGAAAACATCCAGATACCTCACCTTATGCTAGCTGGTGATATAAAGGCGTTATTCTTTGTCCATGTGACTGTTGGTTTGGGGACACCATAGCTCTCGCAGTCAATGGTAGTTGAGCCACCAGCTATGACGGCAATCTGATTAGGCTCCCTGGATACTATGACAGGTGGAACTGTAGGTAAGAGAACATTTATAGAGACAAGAGATGAAGGAGTATAATATTATATTCTCATTGTAAGTGACCTTCATTCAACCACTCTACATCACATTAGCTGGTGACGTACCTATTCTCCTGTACTGCTTTCAAACTCTGGAACAGGCTCCCTCCCTAATTGATATTATCACCTACAGTACCACAATTCAAACAGTTTGAAGACATATCTATTATGAAACCATATGCATTCACTGAAATCACACTGTCACTACTTGATAACTTGTATATATCTTAACTCTAACACTGACGCATAGATGATATCTCAAAGTGGTTTGTTTCCTGTGGAAAAGGCACTCTATAAACTGCAACTATTGTTATTATAGATGACCCATATGGCAAAGGGTCAATATGCTTTGCCATATGCTTAGTCTACTGCAGAATGACTCCAGGACTATTATTATTCTTATCAGTATTATCAATATTATCATCCATAGCTCAGTGACTTATTCATTGGACGATGACATCTCTACAAAGGTGAACCCCAGCCCAACCTCTAACAAACACAAATAAATCACAAAAGTACAAACCATCAATCTGTAAATTGAACAACTTCATCTCTTCTCCCGCCACATTGGTTGCAACGCATTGATAGACGCCCTCATCGTGAAGCTGAGCATTAGGTATCCTCAGAGTGGTGCCATCAGGAGAGATGAGGACTCCGCTCTGGAAGGGGTGAAGACGGTGACCGTCCTTGTACCAAACAATCTCTGGGACGGGGATAGCTACGGTTGGACAGCGAAGCTCAATACCCATGTTGTTGACAACGGAGACATTGTGAGGGAATTCTGCTCCTTCAATCTCAGGCCTCACTATAATAATCGGAAAGATGCAGTGAAGGCTTTGATACTCATTGCTCCTCTAAATAATCACCATAAATCTGTATCACTAAGCTCAAATTTATGAAATCATACTTTTATGTTTTCTTACAAATGTTTCTGTTATTTGGGAAGGGTTTGTTTAAATATGTTTATTTGTTTCAACATGTCTTTCCAAGGTATATGTATCATCAATTCTCTCATTTTGATATACAAGGTCAGTGATACAAGTATTTTGTTCCGTTTTTTGCTGGGATAGGACATTTTGTATGTAACTTATAAACCAGGCACAGACTGTTAATCGTATTCAGGGTAGGTAAACTGTAAAGTGGTAGATTTATTTTTTTAAATGTCTCAAACCATTCTATACTTCTTTCATTTGAGGCAGCAGAATAGGAAATGAAACTCTCATGAACATTGAGAAACAACAGAGACAGCAGAATCAACATTATTTCTTCAACAATAATCACCATTCTCTAAAATTTGTACAACCCACCTCTAACATTGAGCACATAACTCTTGGAGATGTTCCCTACAATGCTGCTTGCGACACAGGTAAACTGCCCAGCATGTATCCTATTCACCCTATTAATCCTTAGTACTTCTCCAGAATTGGACACAGCCACGCCCGGTTCATTGTGGGTTACCAGGCGACCATCTTTGTACCATCTAATGGTAGGTGGAGGGTACCCGCTGGCATGGCAACCAAGCTGGGTGGAGTCATCTTCGTTGATGCTCATCATCATGGGGTTCACAGGGTTACCATCAGGGAAAATTGGAGGAACTGGGGAAAGAAAGAAAGCATGAATGACTAGTATTTTAAGTATCGCTCACCAAACGGACGTATAAAAGTTGAGACAAAAGTCATCCTCCTTCAAAGAATTGGCTTTTTGAATATACTTCAACTCAAATTGATGTAATATCAATCGGATCATTATTTTTCTTCCCTATTTACACACATTTTAGTTCACATTATCCTAAAGATAACAAGCAAAATTGAGTGCAATATCTGTCATTAGATATGTTCATTGCAGGTATTTGTGATCATACAATACTTTCATGTGATAACACCTTTCATAACATTGTTTAGGAATATAATATTATGGTCCTTTGCATCTTTCTGACCATGCTTGATGGTGACAATGATACTTTTTTTCTATACTGAATGAATTATCTAGAAATCCTGTTTTTCTACAAAGAGGATCAGTTTGCCTTCAAATGTGTTCAAGGAATAGGACAGGGGCAAGTACACTCCCTTGTGGTACTCAGACTCTTGGTTACTTTATAGCTGTATTATCGCTCTTTGAACATACTAAATGTTTTCTTTCAGAAACATGATTAGATAACAATTTTATTTCATTATTGTATCCTCAACAAAGCTGGCAGGATTGTACCACAATGTCCACAAGTATGTAGGCAAGATTGTTTGAGGAGTCTGACTGGTACTTACCGTGCACTGTAAGGCCAAAGAACTTGGTAGCGTTTCCTGCATTGTTCGTTGCGATACAGGTATACCGACCCTCGTTATTGACCTGCACCTGATTAATCTCAAGGATCTGACCATCTCGAGAGATGCGGATGTTGGAATCCTCCCGAAGAGAGATGCCATCCTTCTGCCAGACGATGGATGCCATGGGGATAGAGATGTCAATCTCACAGTACAACCTAGCAGGATTGTTGAGAATGACTATGATGTCCACAGGTCTGTAAGCGTCCACGAGGAGTGGGGGAACTGAAAATCAAGAAATGATGGGATCAAACACATAGACATGTTAAAGATCAAGAATAATTCAATTCCTTTGGCTTCACGGTAGTAACATACAAGTATTTATTTTCACATCATTCCAAGATCAGCCAATCTCTGATCTGAAAAAGTACAGGAACTACACCATGACATATCAAAATTTGAAAGAAACCAATTTTTGTGTTCCTATATTTTTATGTACTGTACACAGAAAAGGTTTATTTTATATCAGGAGGTATTCAGATGGATGATTGGAAGTCTTGTCACATTCAAATATTTTCAACACTATCATTTCACTTTTCCTACCAAATTCCATCACTGTTCTGTTCAAAGTTGCTAGTGGAGTGCATTTGTTTTACTTTACTTTATACTGAGAGCTTTTACTATCGCATAGAGAGTACAAAAGCAGACTTACCCATCACTGTGACATTAATGGATATACTTGAGTTTCCAGCTTCATTCACTGCACTGCAAGTATACACTCCAGCATCAAACGGCATGGCTCCCGGAATGACCAACGTTCCATCATCCTTGATCTTATACTCTGGAGGAGACAGAATCCGGTTGTCTCTGAACCAGGCCACTCTTGGTTTGGGGTAGCCGGTGGTCGGGCAGGGCAGCTCGATGTCATCACCTTCCACCAGCTGGACATGTTGCATACGATTAACCTCAAGTTCTCCTAGGATGATGGGTGGCTCCTGCACCTTCAGCAGGATGTCCAAGGACTGTTCGCCCACCTCGTTGGAAGCGATACAGGAATAAATACCACTGTCGCCCTCTCGAGTGCTGTTGATGGTCAGGCTGCCTCCATTGCTGCTGATGCTAAAGGCTCGGGTACTGAGAGGGATCGGTAAGTTGTCCTTTCTCCAGCTGATGGTGGGTGCGGGAAATCCTGCAGCTTGGCATCGTAGGGTCACCGACTGACGTAGACCTATGGTCACTACCTCTTGCTGCGTGCTTGTCTTGGGAGGAACTGGGATAGCAAGCATGTACAAAAAAATGAGCACAACATAATAATAATAATAATAATAATAATAACTTGGTTTATATAGCACCTTTTCCATTGAATACAAGAAGCTGTCCCTATGTAGTCTATCAACAAATTGAGAAGAATTGAAGTGTTATGTATTCAGATGTTTTTAGAAAAGTCAAAATAAGTACTATTGCTTAGAAATGTAGGAAGTTGGTTCTATAGACATGGGGCAATGGATTAAAAGGATTTGAAACGAGCCTATTTATGGGATTTGGAAATGATAAAGGAAGGAGTTGACGTGGATCAAGGTGAATAGTACTGTCGTCTTATTCTCATTTATGGTAATCTTGCATTTTATGGGCCTACATATAGACATCATATACATAGCCAACCATTGGCAGTAGGTGGAAAATGCCTGTGCATACACATTGGTAGTATAACCTGAAATGTAACAATTGCGATTGACGAATCAACATTCAATTCATATTTATTTTATTTCCAACAGAAAGGTAAACAAAGATATTACATTTTTTTCTGGTAACTATACAAATACCCTTTGCACATAATAAAATTATTACAAAAGAAATTCTTGATTAAATGCACACACTGAGCGGTATTTTGCTCTATAAGTTTCAACATGGGTACAAAAATATGTTAAATCACCCAATATTTATTCGATTAAGTTTTCTTCAACATTTCTTCTTTTAAAACCGGACTGCACTACTTGTAGCTACTTTCGCCCTCTATACAGCCAACAATGCCTGAGGGGTATCGTTGATCCTCCATGGTCCCCTTTTTCTTATGTTAATTGAGAGCTGATTTAATGAGATAACCACCTGCCAGTGACCATGCAGGGAGGTCTAATCCCTCCTGGCCAAACTAGTGCAGATAGGCTTGAAAGTCCTACATACTCACTCTTGACAACAAGATGGAAGTTCTTGATGGCATATCCAATGTTGTTGGACGCCACACAAACGTAGCCCCCGCTGTCGGTGTGCTGCGGAGCGGTGATCCTCAAGGAGCCGTCCTCTCCGATGAGGTAGTGACTGTCTCTAAGCTCCAAGGGTTTGTTGTCTCTCTCCCATGTGATGGTGGGTGTGGGGTTACCCTCTGCCTCACACAGGAGGGTGATGTCAATGTTCTGCACCGTGGTCAGGTACTCGTCCTGTCCATTCAGGATGCTGGGTGTAACTGCAATAATAATGATCAGGAGTGTCAAACAGTTTGTGAGCGTCAAGTAACACCTGGCTGGAATGCTCCCTAGGGAGTGGAGATTGTGCACAAGTGTTTCAAAGCACTGTATAATAATGAAGACGATTCTAGAAACCTTTAAAGTAAATTAATAAACAGATAATTAACATTAACATAGATCAGATTACAGTAATATACATGTGCACCAGGGTCATTTATAAAACTTAGGACTTAAGTTATAAAGAGTGTCCCCATAAAGAATATTCATTGTGTGCTTACCCTGTACGTCGATTGTCCAGTTCATAGATGCCATACCAGCATCATTGGTTGCTGTGCAGTAGTACTCCCCAGCATTGGCTATGTTAACAGACCCAATCTCCAGGGTGATGCCCTGGTCTTTGATAGTGACTGCCTCCTCCTGGCCGGTCAACGTCTCATCTCCTTTATACCACTTGATGATGGGTGGTGGGAAGGCATCTGTTACCATGCACTGGAGCTCTATGGAATCATACTGCCCTACTGGGTACTCTACGGGCGTCTTGGAACCTGTAATCTTCGGAGCAACTACATAAGAAAAATATAATGCAAAATATAATGTGATAAAAGATTGATCATCATCATCTTTCTAGCTCTCTCAATGAAGCATTGAATAGGCTGAACTCTCTGGAACAAAAAGTGTTCAAGTACAACAACATTACGATAGAAGTAAGAGAGGACAAAACCAGTACGACATACTGGTCTTCAAGACAGTTCAAAAGCCAAGCGAATAAGAAATGTACTCTCCTGTAAAGTTAAGACAGAAAATTTTACAAATTCCGTGAGTTTTTTTCAAAAATTTTGCTGTAAGATCAGTGATGGTGACCCAAAGTTTAGTAGGGTATTAGTTATATTGTATTCTTTTGCTAGAATGAGAGAGAGTGACAAGAAGAAAAAGATAGAGAGAGAGAGATAGAGAGAAAGAGAGGGATTTAAATGGAGACTGTGGAAAAAGGGAGACAGAGAGACACATAAAGATACAAGTATCTACAGAAAGAGAGAGACCTAAGAGAATGAACTATTTATTAGCCATACAAACATTCTCTCTAAACCACATTGTATTAATCATAGGATAGATATACCAAAGGCTTCAAGATTATTTAACTGTTCACAATGAAGGATAAGGCGATAATCAAGACCAGAAGTTGGTAATTTTACAGAGCCATTGTGTTGCTCACAGCAATCCTTCTGCCGATTGGTGCCCATTGTATTGTGAAAAATGGCACATGTGGCAAACAAGCGAGGGTGTACAGAGGCGAAGAAAGCAGTAGAAGTGTTAAACTTACCTGACACTTCAAGCCTAATATCCCTGCTTAGCACCCCTACAGCATTAGTAGCCTCACAGGTATAGGAGCCCCTATCTATCGACTCCACATCCCTGATCATCAAGGAACCGTCCTCTAGCAGCTCCATCTTGCCATAGTTCATCAGCAGCTCGCGGTTGTTCTTCAGCCAGCGGTACTGCGGCTTCGGACTACCACTGATGTTGCATGGGATGATGACCTTCTCGTCCACACCGGTCGATACGTTCCTGGATGCATCCGGCTGCAGGGAAGGTGGGGCTGCAGAACACAAGAGAGTGTGGGAAAGAGAGAGAGAAAGAAAGAGAGAGAGAGAAAGAAAGAGAGTGTGGGAAAGAGAGAGTGTGGGAAAGAGAGAAAGAAAGAGAGTTTAGGAAAGAGAGAGGGGAAGAGAGAGTGTGGGAAAGAGAGAGGGAAAGAGAGAGTGTGGGAAAGAGAGAGAGAAATAGAGAGAAAGAGAGAGAAAAGAGAGTGTGGGAAAGAGAGAGAGTGTGGGAAAGAGAGAGAGAAAGAGAGTGTGGGAAAGAGAGAGAGAAAGAGAGAGAGTGTGGGAAAGAGAGAAAGAGAGAGAGGGTGGGAAAGAGAGAGAGAAAGAGAGTGTGGGAAAGAGAGAGAGAAAGAGAGTGTGGGAAAGAGAGAAAGAGAGAGAGTGTGGGAAAGAGAGAGAGAAAGAGAGAGAGTGTGGGAAAGAGAGAAAGAGAGAGAGAGTGTGGGAAAGAGAGAGAGAAAGAGAAAGAGAGTGTGGGAAAGAGAGAGAGAAAGAGAGAGTGTGGGAAAGAGAGAAAGAGAGAGAGGATGTGAGTAAGAGATAGAGAGAAAGAGAGAGAGAGAAAGGAAGAGAGGACATAATTAAGCACATGAAATAATGCTCTTCTGGCTCTAAGCAGACAGTATTTTTTAATAACATTGAAATAAACTGTAAGTGACAACTTCGGAATGCACTGTTTTCTATATACAATATCGTTTATTATGGAGAATATGTGCAAAAATGAAATAAAAATGTCCAACCAAAGATTTTAAATCTTTACATGTAGTTGAAAATAAGATATAAAATCTAGTCAAAGCATGATAAAGAGCATTGACTTGACTTCCTTTTGAAGAAAACAAACATTTTGTTCACAAACAATATTTATTTTATGACATTGTACTAACTCAGAGTATGACTATCATAGAGAAAGACAATCACCAAAACAAAACAAAAATCAAAAATGTATATAATACAAATTATTTATAACAGTACAGCTATGAGGTATGAAAGGATGAAAAAGCTTATTGTAACTAAAACAAACCATCTCTTGAGCTTATTTCATTTCTCAGTTACATTCAACTACGATCCGTTTCATGGTTTGATAAATGGCAATCAAAACTTACTGTGTATCCATAGCGTGAGCATCTTATAATCATGGCCCGCCTGGTTGACGGCCACACATCGATAGACCCCAGAATCCTCCTCCTCCACACTACGGATCCTTAGGGAGCCAGAGAAGAGCTTCTCCAGGTTGGGGTTGGAGAGGTTGAGAGGAGCGCCGTTCTTGTACCATGTGATCTCAGGGAAAGGTACTCCTGCCGACTCGCAAGGGAGGATGACGGAGCTGGAGAGGGTGCGGACAATGTCAGACGTGCCATCGTTGATAGATGGTGGTACTGAGGAGACAAATAGAATAGAAAGGGAAAATCTAAAATTTCTAAATGGGTAAAATATGTACATCAAAGATTATGACAAAAGACATCAAAATATTACAGTGAGGACAAAACATGGAATAAATAAAGGTACATACTTGAAATTATAGTAAAATACATGAGGGGGATTAAAAAAAGGACCAAGTCCATGTTAACACACCTGAAATCACTGTAAGATTGTAAGCATACTAACTTTATACTCACCAATCACATTTATATTGACTACTCTGGTGTCATTTCCAGCTGAGTTCTTTGCGATACATGTGAACACGCCCGAGTCAATGACCTGTACCTCTCTGAGATGCAGAGAGCCATTGCTAGCGATGTGATAACGGCTGTTCTGACTGGAGATGGCGATATCACCAAACATCCAGAGAATCCTGGCATCGGGTACCCCACTTGCTTCACAGTGGATCGTGACGCTGTGACCTACTTGCACCGTGACCTGCTCCTGTCGTCGATTCCTGATCACCGGGCCGACTGTGTTTGGTGGAACAAATTGGGATTATTATGAACATCTGGGAGCACTAACACTATAGCCTAATATCATATTCATGTAAATTCAGTTTGTGTTATAACTCAACTAATATTTACCAAAATTATACATCTCTCTTCTAAAAGCTGATCAAAGTATTTAGAGAGTATGATTACGTTTTCTTTTGGATTCAGTCACATTACAATACAAAGGCTTCAAGATAATTTAACTGTTTCCAGTGCAAGATTGATCTATAACAATGTCAAAAGGTGGTCATGAAGCTTATAAAGACCACAAATGGGTAATTTTGCAAAGTCATTGTGTCACACAAAGCAATCTGTCAGTCTATTGGTACGTAACATTTTTATGCCAAATTGCATGTATGGCTAACAAGTGACCTTGCAGAGTGGCCAAGAAAGCAACCAAAGTGTTAATCCTTTCTCACCGTGGACTTCCACGGAGAAGTGGCGCTGACTGGACCCCTGTCCATTGGTTGCCTCACAGTGGTAGTGACCAGCATCCTCAGGCCTTAGGTAGGGTAACCTGAGACTGGTATCGCCGGTCTCAAAGTGAATCCCGATGTCTGCCCTGGCCAGTATGGCCTGACCGTTCTGGTACCATGTGACCTCTGCAGGAGGATGAGAGTCGGTGACGTTGCATTCTAAGATGACCGTCTGATCCTCTTCAGTGAAGACAACGACAGGGTCGTCCGGTGTGTTCTCACCAGCAATGTGAGGGCGCACTACAAAAACGAAATAAATATATTGATAAGGGGAGTGTTTCACGAAGACTAAGATTGACTTTAAGTTGGACTTAACTATGGCAGGTCACCCATGCCACTATTTGCTCTCACCACTGTGATCTTTAGATAATATTTTTTCCTTCAATAATTAACTATTTATTTCATGAAATATATCTCTAGTAGGTACTGCTCATGTCTGCAATATATAACATAAAATAAACATAGGAATACATAATATATACAATTTTTCAAATATAACAAATATAAATACAATAGAGGACTAAATGAAAGAGAACAAAATGTATTTCAATCTATTATCCTATGACATGAACTGTTACATATCACTCTTTTTAACATAGATGTAATGTTCAACAATAAATGCAAATTTACTGGATGAGCTGGACATCGTGATTACTATCAAATCTTCAATGTGTTCAAGTCCACAATCTTCACAAGATATCAACCATCTTCTAAGAAAGCTTACCCTGTGTATCTATGAAGACATCAATAGAATCAAACCCACTCTCACTCTGTGCTCTGCACTCGTATCGGCCGTTATCATAGGGTTGCAGACTAGATATCAGCAAGGTGTTGTCTCCAAGCACTGTGTAGCCTCGGAGTTGTTCTATAGGGCGTCCATCCTTGAACCAACTGACCTGAGGTCTAGGTGTCCCGGTGGCTTGGCATGGTATCCGTACCTCTGTGTTCATGATCTGTTCCATCACCTCAGGGAGCTCATTGATGATGCGAGGAGCGTCTATCACAATAAAAAATTGAAAGAATCTCAAAACGTTATAGTCTGATCTCATGAAATCAATAAATAACTAAACTGATGATATACAAGTAAAATTATTATTTGACACACAGAAATAACTGTTTCAGATCCAAAACTACAAACCCTGTAGGTGTAATGCACCTTTTCTTTTCTATGAGTACTTCAGGTAGCTCATTGATGATGCAAGGAGCATCATCATCATTTAGCTTAAAATCATGACAAGAACTTCAACATCAATAGCTCTTAATCACGACCTCCATTGCTACTTTTTAAGGGTAATTGACTGGTGAATCAATTGATAATTGTCACAAGAGATCAGGAGAGTATTAAAGCCTGACTGCACTACTTGTAGCTACTTGCGCCCTCTATATAGAAAACAAAGCCTAATCGGTGCCTGTTGGTCTCCCATGATCCTCTTTTTCGAATGTTAATTGAGAGCTGATTTGATGAAATAACTGAAATATCTGTCAGTGACCATGCAGGGAGGTCTAATCCCTCCTTGCCAAACTATTGCAGACAGGATTAAGACATACCTTTTACAGTGAGAGTGATCCTCCTGGTATCAGCACCTGCTTGGTTAACCACCAGACAGTAATAAGCAGCCGCATCCAGCTCTCGCACATCACTGATGATCAGAGAACCTTCATCTAGCTTGTGGAATCGAGGGTTGTCGTAGTTGAGCTGCAGGCCACTCTTATCCCACATGGTCATTGGGGTGGGAACACCGATAGAGTCACATGGAAGGGTCACATTCTGGCCCAGGTAGGCGGTGATGGTGTCAGGACCGGGACTGATGTATGGAGGAACTGAAACATACAACAGGTACAGACAGCGACAAGGTTACCAAGGATGTGACTTGGACTGTTGAGGTATATGACAACTTAGAAAAAAAGAAAAAAAAAATTATTGAAATATATTTAATCAGGATAACAAGAATCAGATATACATTGTAGATACAAAATCTGTTTTACATAATGGTCCTGAACAGGATAAAAACACAGAAATATAAATAACGAATATCACCAAAGCTCACAGGCAAAGGTAAGAACAGTATAAAACTAACATGTAAGCATAATACGCATTAAAAATAGTAAAAAGCACAACAACAAAAAAAAAAAAAAAAAAACGAAAATGAAATAAATGAAATTAACAGCGGTTAAAATATCAAATCACTTTAATAAAAGGCATTAAAATATCACCCTAAAAAATAGAAGAGGAGAGAAGATATAAGGAAACTGGTAAAAATAGAGGAGGAAAGAGTGAAAGAAAGAAAGAGGGGAGAGGGAAAGAAAGAAAGAGGGGAGAGGGAAAGAAAGAAAGAAAGAAAGAGGGGAGAGGGAAATGGAGAGAGAGAAAGAGAGAGAGAGAGAGAGAGATAAGCCATGTCAAAGCAGTAAATGAATCGGCATTGTATTACAAAGGTTTAACAAATTTGAAAAGAAAAGATGCAGAAAACAGAAAGAGAGAATGACGAGGTGAAAACAAATGATTAGTCACTTTATTATTTAGCATAAAATTATGACAAGAATTATGACAAGATAAAATTATGACAAGGTAACCAAGGATGTGACTTGGACTGTTCAGGGATAAGATATGCTTTCCAGTAGGTTCTTGTTACATTCCATAATTTTGAAATTACTTTGTAAACTATGTTCTTAAATGTGCAAACAATTGATATATGAAATGAAATAAATAAAATCAATCAATCAATCAATCAAGATAACTTTGGAAAAGATGCGAAAGTAGAGACGGGAAAGGTGAAAAAGATAATTATTCACTTTATCATTTACATTAAAAATATAAGAACAACTTTAACATTAATAGCTTTTAATCATGACTTCCACTTCTAGTTTCTATCCTTCACATTGGTAATAACTTGACACTGAATTACAGCATGACAACATACTACACTACACCATGAAGCTAGATAGGTCCTTATTTGCTCTTCCTCAAATCACAAACTCTCCAAGAAAGTACACGACCAAATAACAGTAAATATTGGAAAACCAACATTTACTTTCATTTCTAATACTAACCTTGAACATTGATTTGATAATTCCTAGAAATGTTGCCGACGATGTTAGTCGCGATGCAGGTGTAGACCCCGGAGTCCCTCACCACAGCCATGGGGATATCAAGAGAAGATGGCTGGATGCGGTAATGAGAGTTGGTATAGGGGATCACCCGCCCATCCTTGAGCCATGTAATGGTAGGAGGGGGGTAACTTTGCACCTCGCAGGGTAGCGAGACGGGATTGTTAAGGGTAACATCGTAGCTGGTGTCCCCACTGTTGATGGATGTTGGAGGTACTGTCAACATAAGAAAAATAGAAGAACATAAATGAATTTATTATTATTATTATTTATTCTACATTCCAGAGATACGATACGATCAAGACATAATAAAGAACAAATGATTCAGCTTTCTGTGCTGTACTTCCACAAGTTATGGAATTCCTATGACTCTTTGGCCTTCCCACTCACACCTGAAATCAAACCAGGTAAAGCTATGAACTTAAAACCAAAATAAATAATAATAATAATAATAATAATAAATACAATCAATTGTTGAGAAGATTTACATTGATTCAAAAGACATCTTGAGTTGCCTAAGAAACCTGTGACAAGAACAGCCACATCCCTGACTAAACAAGGTACGTTGTTCCATAATGGATACATTACAAACAAAATGCATGTCCAAACCTCTATTATTCAGAAGATTTACCTGTTTTTTAGCAGGTACCTCCATTAGGGCAGGGATCATTACACAAGAATATGAAGCTAAGAAATCATTGATTGAATAATAATTATAATAATAATAAACATAAAAATAATAATAATAATATTGATAGTAATATCAATATTAATGATATAGATATTAATAAAATTCATATTAATAATTGTAATACTAATAATCATAATTATAAAAAAAAAACAAGTTTCAGTGAAAAATTACTCTTATTTCCTTGTGCATCTACATGAATAATTTAAACTAATAATAACTTAGACTATTGTTTGAAAAGTGCATACATACCAAAACGACCAAAACGAAAAGAAGGGGAAAGTTTCTCACCAAGTAGTATTGGTAAGAAATTTCAAAGAGAAATTACTTTGTTTTCCTAAACTCTTCATGATTTATCTTATAAAATTCTGCAAGCATTTAGAATCCTTACGGTAAACTGTCAGCTCCATGTGCTTGTATTGGGATCCTGCTGTGTTAGATACGTTACAGGTATAGATGCCACTATCTTCCCTCATAGTGGAAGCTATGAGAAGCGAGTTGCTGGGAGTTATGTAGTATCTGGATAGGAGGGGGGGGATGAATGATGAAGATTCTTTACACGTCTGTATAATAATAATCCTCTTTTACCCGACACACCTCCTACAATCTCTACAGCTTCAGACAAATGTCCATGTATGCTCCAAACAAAAATACATGTAGTCCTACACTCAGACATTTCTATAGATTTCTCAATGTATATTAGATGACTTTCACTAAACAAATACCAATCATAAACACATACAGTATTCATGAAAGTATTTATACCCCTTGTAAATTTGATCTTTTAAAAAGTTTTTTGTAACTCAAGAATGAAAGTTGACTGGTTCAATTAGTGCCTTTTTTAATACTTTTAGTCGAAAGCTAGCTTTAATATGTAATATTCTGAAAATACGTAAATCAGGACAAAATAATTTTTACTTTTAAAAATGCAACACTTGGTCAGAGTATGAATAATTCAGTTTTTAACTGTTTATATGCTTTTATAGTACAACTTACCATAACAAAGACAGAAACGCACACCCCCTATAGTCCGACACAAAACATTGGTTTGAGATCTTACCCTAAGTGATGCAAGTTCATCTTTAACTCTATTTTAACTGGGCTATTTCAGACCATTTCACTGCCGATCGCCGCGAAAATTTGCATACATGTCAAGTGAAGTGTATAGAATACTATGGTAATTTCAATTTTTTGAAAAATTCACTCATTTGCATATTTATGGTAATTTATGCAAATAAGGTCATAAAATTCACATTTTTGCCCATAAATCATACATTATTCATATTTAAGCATTCTTTTTCACTACATATATTTGTTAAACCATTTGGAATAATAATACAACACAACAAATTGGAAGAGTCAGGTTATTCCTTATGTTATCTCTTGTTTTGATAATTTCTTATGTATTTCATTGTTTTTATAACTTTTTTTTATTGTTTTTGTTTTATTACACTACAATTCAACTATTTTGACCCCAAACAAACACCTAAACTTTAAACAAGACTAAATAACCAATGACATTTCCATATGTTTTGTACACAAATCACAAAAATGAGCGATTTTCGGGCTGACATGCGAAGACAAAAGGTCACGTGACTTTGCAACTATACGTCCGATTTTCAAAAAAATCGTTTTAAAAGATGTGTAAGACTCAAAAGAAAAAAGTCATGAAAGAAAAATTGTATATATGCCGCGATTTCGGAGTAGTCGCAAAATTTCTACAGGGGGGGGGGGGGTTAAATTGACCCCCCCCCCCCCCAGTTAACGTAGGGTTAACCAATAAAAAAAGTCCAACCAAGATCTCAATTCATTGAACACATGAGCTAATTAAGACTAGACCTTGTTAACGTGGTCTCAAAGCAGTCCCAAGTTGGACCTACCTGACATCTTCTTGGTTTAGAGGAGCTCCATTCTTCAGCCACGTCACATCAGGGGGAGGGAAGCCAGCAGCTAGGCACTGGAGTGTCACAGGGTTGCGTATCAGGCTGGTGTAGGAATCAGGACTATCTAGTAAAATGGGCGCCACTGTTAAAAACAAAAAACAGAACATAAAATGAGTTATATGGCATAAGTTGTTGAATTTTTCAAGATCAACCTTGATTATGATTTACAATTTCTTTGAAACTTGTCTTTTGATTGTAATTTCTACCCTGAGAAGTATCATCCTCTAACATAAATCTTGATGCCATACTCATACTTATTCTAGCTCCTTGTGTTGTGAATTGTAATAGATGTGCATTAAGTTAAAGAACAAAATTTATTGCATTTTCATAATATTTTTATTTCATTTGAAGAGATCCTTTTCAAGACGTTTTTTTCTGATACACACTAAAATAAAAAGAATGAAAAAGTTCACAAATTATCTTTCACCTTTCCCAGAAGTTAAAGATAAACTTTAGTACTGGTAATGCGATTGCATTGTGAAAGAAAAGGTGTGAAAGGATCAGAAACAGTTGATCATGGAGCATGTAAGTATTGGTGTGCACTGCAAGGTTCTGGAGTCATCAAAATCATAATAAATTTGACCGAGTCTTGGTAAAGTAACAAACACTCACATAGAAAGCTATATATGGGACAACACACATGGTGTCGGGGATGGTACTACCTTGGTTTCCTTGTCTTTCTATGCTCATTACTCAGCCAGTATACATTTTCTTCCAAAATTGTTTGGCACATGTCATTTATTTGTAATCTTGAACATTCAGTGTAAGTTTCGTTTGATTCTGTGAGAATTAATTTCTTTTTTTTTAACCAGTACTGGAGTTTATCTTTAATCAACCTTGCCTATAAAAATGAAAGTCTAAATTCTCAAATAGCAAAGACTTACAGTTGACGGTGAGAGTTACGAACTTGGAAGCTTTGCCTGCATCGTTGGAGACATAGCAGGCATACTCTCCAGAATCTTCCTGATCTACGTTCACTATCTGAAGAGTACCAAAGGCGGTCTTTCGCAACCTGAAGATTTAAAAGTCAATGGAAAAACCATTAAACAGCTACATACGATCAATTCTAGCATGACAGACATGATATTCACACTTGAAACATATTTCAACATCAATGAATCAGACACATTTTACTATTTGGGACATGCATAGCAAAGTTGACAGTATTTCATTTGAATGTTTAAGAGAAAATTGACTCAGATTCAGGTTGAAAATTCTGTGAATTTCAAGGTTCAATGAGTCTAAGTTAACAGAAGGTTATCATCACACTCGACATGTTGTAAACTATTTGATCACATGTGTCCTTGTTAGAGCTAAAATTAATGTAAAAACAGACGTAGGAGTTTTTTGCAATAGCCTTATAGCTACAGCTGTATTAAGGAGGGTGGATAGCGGACATAAAACAAACTTTGCAGCAACTCAGTAAATTTATCTTTAAATGATATGATGAGGAGATGAGTGTCAAAGGGAAGAAATCCATGACGTTTTACTAGACAAACCTTGGGTCATTGTATGTGCCAAGAGGTTCTCCATCCTTATACCAAGTGATATCAGGCAGTGGGATACCATCAGCCCTGCATTCCAACTCAATATGAGCTCCGACCTCAGTCGTACGGGTCGCTGGGCCATCTTGAATACTTGGAGGAACTGGGTGAACAAGGATAAAGAGGGATTTCAAGAGATAATCAGTTTCACATCTTGTTTAAACTCTTATCGTAAATAAAAAAATAAGTGCGTACTTAAACGGAGTGTAGCTTGGCAAATACTGGTTAACGCCATCTACGTCTTCTTTTAGACAACTGCACGTAAACAAATGGACTTGATTAATGTCAGTCGGCGTTCGCGAAACAGACCAAAGTTCTCCTCAAGCCTTGGTTTTGCGTATGTTGCAAGCACATGATTGCTGCGGTAGAATCGTCGTGGGCGTATTATACCTGATTGGCCCCCCGAGTCAGGCCAAGGGAAATACACGTAGTCTGGTCAGGCTGCACTCCCTTTAAAATAACTGAAACTTGACACTCCAACCTGAATCATTTCAAAATGATGCTGTTTTTTTTTTAATGGTGAACACACAGCTATTGTTTTGCTACATATATGTACAACTGCATGCATACAAATATTTGAAACGTGAAAGCTGCTACAAATTGGTTACTAAACATCAAATCTTGAAATCTGTAGAGACCCTAACTTATAGTATACAAATCACCAACAACAAAATATTTTGCTCTGTTTGTTAGGGGTACCATGAAACAGAAAATTAATCCAAGAGTTCTACTTACTCATGACAATGAGCCTGAAGTTCCTGGTGACGTTGCCTGCAACGTTGCTTGCCACACACTGATAGATGCCGGTATCAAATGGTCTAGTACTATAGATGTCCAGTGAGTCTTGCGTGATGACCATAGAGCTAGTGACCGAGATGGGGTTGCCTGACTTGTACCAGGTGACTATTGGCGGAGGGGTGCCCGTCACCTCACAAGGAAGGGAGACAGTCTGACCTATAGTGATGCTAAACGTCTCCTCGACAGCTTCCTCAATAACGGGAGCAACTGAAGATGAACATTAAATAAAGATTGAAGTTAATAACATTCCACATGGTTTCCTTGACAACATGCTCAATAATCGGTGCAACTAAATTTGAATCTTAAAGAAAGAATAAAGTTAATAGCATTCAGTATTCATAAGTTCCAAATTTGTTTTCATAATGATTTTACTTCGCTCCCAAACTTTGTTGAGAGAATACATAAAATTTCACCACACCACACCCCTTCAACCACATTCTCTGGTGTGTGGTTTATCTGGTAATGATAACAAACTCAAATTGAGTGAAAACAAACATTATTCTGGTGAATTACATCATCATTCATCACTGTTATATAAGGAGAGAGCATTGTGCCAGAAACACAACGGAAATTTCTGGTCATTAATGGGCAGAAACCTTGCACAACAATGAAAAGTGATGTCTACGAAGACAAGGGCCCCTTCTTTTAAAGGATATGATTGACCCAAATCACTAACAAGTAAGTCATTAATATAAAGTTCTGTTACCTATCTTATGTAAGATTAGTGATTGATATCAAATGTGAGATGCCATCAACTATAGTCAATCATCCATGAAAGATGGGGCACAGCTGCATGTTTACAAATTCACAGCTAAAACCCCAAGTGTCAGGATAATTTGAACTACTGCTACATCCTCTGTCTGGAGCCCGAGGAGCATTAAATCTATACAACATGATACAAGAAGTTAATGCCCTAGTGACTCTAAACAGACAAGATGCTGATTGGACTTGGGACCTGTTTCACAAAACTTGTCATCAGTGACAAATTACAGTTTTAGTTGTAAGCTACTGAAATCCTTGCTTCTGATTGGTTATAAGCAGATTTGTCACTGATTTTTGTCATTTTTCATTGAAAAAAGACTTAGTGAAACAGGTCCCTGACGTGCAAGAGTCTTCAAAGATACATACCATGGACAGACAGAGTGATATCCTTGTACACTGATCCACCATCATTCCTCACGACACACTTATATGTTCCAAAATCAGTCGGCAGGACACCAAACATGGTCAGAGTGCCAGCGATCTCATCAACGTCATAGTGCGGATCGTTGAGTGGGATAGCAATGCCTTCCTTTGACCAAGTGATCGTTGGAGGAGGGGTACCGGTAGCTGGACAGTGCAGGATAATGGCTTGACCTTGGACCACTGTGTACTGAGTCTGGCCATCAAAGATGCGTGGTGGAACTGAACATGGTATATAAGGGGAAAGAAAGATATTTTAAGTCAATCTCATTCCAACACCATGTAATGTTTCTATACTATAGATCTCTTCTTACAATCTCTTAAATCATCTTTGCTATTCATCGCTCTCTCTCTCTCTCTCTACCTCTTCTTCTTTTTACCTATTCGTACCTCACTATTATCTCTAATATTTATGTTTTTGGTCATCTTGTCATCCCTCCCGCATCTACATCTATTCCCATCTTTCTCTCTCACTATCCATTTCTCTCTCTCTCTCTCTCTCTGGAAACTTACCAATTACACTTAGAGTGATGAGCCTGTTGGTAGATCCAGCCTCGTTGGTAACCAGGCAAGTATACGTTCCTGTATGCTCCTCTGAAGTGACGTCTATCTGGAGCGATCCTAGATCCAGGATGCGGACGTTCCTGGTAGCTATAGACAGCTGAGCTCCATCTTTCTGCCATACAACCTCCGGCATGGGGATGCCATAGGCCTCACAAGACAAGATGATGGAGCCTCCAGCTACCACGGCGTACTCTGTGTTTCCAGGCTCGATGCTTGGGGGAACTGTGCCAATGGAAGCAGTCATGAGATGTAGGTTGAATGACTGTGTAAACATGCATTAAATCTCAATAACACAGACTTAACCTCCAATATATGCCACTAAGTTAAAGTTTCAGAGTCACGTATTGATTTAGAATTTCTTAATTTAAGGTGAAATTTAGCATTTATCAAATCTGCCCTAGAAACATACACTTATAAATCAAAATGCATATCCAGTTTGATACTTGAGAGGACAACATTTTCAATTCTTAGTCCAAACATATAGTTTACATATTTGACAATTTTGTGCTGCATTGCCTCCCAATGTGTGAAAAGTGTTTATACATGTAGTAAGGCATGAGTAGACAGAAAGACTGATGGCCTTCGGAGTAAACTAATAATAAAGAAAAGGATTAATGGACTGATCGAGGCATGACGAATGGAATTTTTTTAAACCAATTTCCATAAAGTTACCTGCTTGAGGATTTTCAAGGGATAAATAGAATCATTGTAAAATGGAGTGCTTGATAGTATAAAATGAAAGATTAATGGAAAAACAGACTGACTGACAGAAACAGAAGCAGAGTTAAAATTATTGGTAGACCACCCACCAAGAATAGTAATGCGGACATCCTTTGAGACGTTGCCTGCTATGTTAGAGGCCACACACCTATACTGCCCTTCCTCAGCCACAGACATCTGCTGAATGACCAAGCCGCCGTCTGTATTCACATAGAAGTTCCTTCCCGCTTCCGGGAGGGGAAGGTTGTCTTTGAACCAGGAGATCTGAGGAGGGGGAGTCCCCCTTACATTGCATGGGAGGGTCACACTATCCCCCTGTGTCACATTGACGACACCGGTGGTCTCGACACCCTCATGGGCAGGTGGCACTGAAAAGAAATAAATGATAACGTTATACATCTCTATGCAGACCACTCAAGTGTATTTTGTGTGCAGGCAATTGGTATTGATACACCTTTCTACCTTCTGTAATATATAAAAAGAACATAGGCATATTAATGGAGGTCTTTATTATAATTTTGATTATTATTATTTCAGTTAGACCATATTGAAACAAACAGGCAAGTTGAAGTACAGAACACACAAGGTAAGGTAATTTGTACAAATTTCACCATGTAGATAATTATAAACATGTAAGTCACCTGTATTGTTTACGTTAAGGTACCCAAGTACACCAGTATTTTTAAACTATTGACTGGGCTACCCTGTTGAAATAATACAAAATAAGTGAATAAATAATTGATTTCATAAATAAATACACTGTACATGTAGATCACAAATAATCAACCCAAGATCATTACTACTATTGGCACAATACAAGAAATTAAGATAATAATATTCTCTCACTTACCCAGAATAAAGAGCGTTATTTCAATCTCTGAGAATCCAGCAAGATTGGACACCCTACAGATGTACGTCCCTGCGTCCTGCTCTGTGACATAGCTTAGAGTGAGGGCGCTCTGATGCAGCCCAAGATTGGGTATCGTCTGTCCGTTCTTGATCCACTCAATGAGTGGTGGTGGGTGGCCTGCTGCCGGACATAGCAACGTGACCGACTCGTGATGGATTACAGTGTAGCTGGTCTCTGTGCCTGATATACTGGGTGGATCTAAAGGGAAGATAGAGAACATATCACTTTAAAGCCCCGTCGTCCTACTTGAAGCTACGTGCTCCCTCTATATAGAAAACAATGCCCAATCGGTGACCATTGGTCCCCATGATCCTTTTTTCTTATGTTAATTGAGACCTGAGCTGATGAGATAGCCACCTGTCATTGACTTCGCTGTGTGGTCTAATCCCCACTGGCCAAACTAGGACAGCCGACCTTTAAGATGAAGAGCCAAGAGAATTATCAGTGAAAACTGTACAGCAGTTACTAGCATTATCATTTAGCACGGTCATCATTATCATGTTGTCATGACTACCACCACCATCGTAACTATGAACTTAATCATTATCATCATGACCATCCCCCAACCACTGCATCCACCTCCACCACAAAAGAGCCATCATCAGGTATGATAACTGGCATCAACATTTTAACCATCATCATCACCATCATCATCATCATCATCACCACAATCATCATCATCATCGTTATCATCATCATCACCACAACCATCACTTTCATCACCATAATCACAACCATCATCATCATCATCATCATCCTAACATCACCACCACCATTACACCACCAGCACTACCATAGTCACCATAATTCCCCAGTAGGACTTACTGTGGACTCTGATACGAGTTATCTTGGTATCATTGCCGATAGCATTCTCCGCTACACAGGTGTAGTTGCCTGCATCTGACATGACCGCACCTCTTATTCCCAGGCTACCATCAGGGAAGAGCTCTAGGCGAGGGCTGTACTCAGGGTAGAGCCTCTCGCTGGAGTGAAACCACGTCACTGTCGGTGGTGGGTTGCCGGAAATCACGTTGCAACGTACAACCACATCGTCTTCAACAACCACCACTTCCTCCTGGCTTGTGGCACTGATCTGAGGCTGGACTGTGAGAAAGAACAGAAACTGCATGGCTTAGATAACAGTACTGTGAAACCTGTATAGAAAGACCACTCCAGAGAGACAAGAAAAGTGGTCTTTATGGTCAGGTGGTTGTTATGTGCAGGTTCCTTTAGTTCACGTTGAAATGACAAACAATATTCCCAGAAAACTAAAAATCTAAACAGGTGGTTGCTAAAGCAAGTTTCACTGTCGTAATGATATGATATGAAAGAGCTGATGAGCAGCATTTACAGGAAGTACACTGCATGAATTGTTACAATGAATTAACATTTAACTGATAAAATAGGTTCAGCAAAGCAAACGAATACCATGCAAATTGTTAAAATGGATTCCACCTTTCAACTCTGAGATCCTTGAAGACGTTCAAATCAAAACCACAGTCAAAACATACTTCTGATATGTGTGAATTAAAATGGAAAGAAGTAATATTACCTTGTATAAACTTCATCCATGTTGAGGGAGAGAGGGAGAATACTGTTAAATTACTCATCATTTCAGTGCCAACTATATATATATATATAGTCAAGTACATTAATTTCTTTATTTGAATAAAGTCAGAAATAGTTTAACAGCGGAATACTCCACAATGAGTCAATGCAAGTATTAGGATTAGGGTTGAGATTAGAGTAAGAGTCAAATTAAGGTTTAGGGTTAGGATTAAGATCAGGGTAGGGTTAGGATCATGGTTACAAGTAGGGTCAGTGGCAGGGTTACTTCCATGTAGGAGTATTCTCCATTATTCGTTAAGTGATGACTTAAATTACTTAGGGTTAGGGTTAGGATTAGGATTAGGGTAGGGTAAGGTTAGGATTATGATTATAATTAGGGCCAGGGGTAGGGTTACATGCATGAAGAAGTATTTTCCCTTGTTCGTTTGGTGATGATTTCACTTACTCAGATTTGTGATTCGAAGCTGAGCCGATGCCTCAGTTGATCCATGTTCGTTATGGGCCACGCAGACGTACGTCCCACTATCCTCCACTTGCATGTCTGGTGAAAGAAGGAAAAGGGAGAATGTTATTCATCGACAAAAGGGTGCGAGGAACGCAAGGGGAAAGAAAAAGAAGTAATGGTCACCTGCAACATGTTTCTAGTACACTGCACAATTAGGTCCATGCTTGCAAATACAAAAAGAGAATGTAAAAGTACAAAACAATACACTAACACATATAGATGTAGCATTTAATATTAAAGAAATGGTGGGTACATATAAAGACAAAACCAGGTAGACACAATGACTATTGAAAATATATGACACAAAAAGAGCAAGAGGAAGGGAGGGAGAGAGAAAATGGAGGAGGGGAGAAAGAGGGAAAGAGATAGAGGAAGGGAGAGAGAGAATGGGGAAGGGGGGAGAGAGAGGAAACTTTTTTGTATGACTACAATAACATAGGAACAGCATACTTTTCAACATACTGTACTCCTTTGATCTCCATTTAATTGTATTTCATACGGTAAATTTCAGCTCTTTAATGAACCTTACTAATATTCTTGATAAGCATATATTCAATCATAAATCTGGCTACATTACAGTGAGATATTGAACAGGACATCCTATTTCACAAAAATTATAAAAAATATCCATTGTGGTTTTACATTTATGATAGGACTACACGGAAATCCGTTTCCAACTTGGATGCTGTTCTTTGGCAAGGGCTGCAAGAAAATGAAATAAATCCCTCACAACTTCAGCCAAAAAGATAGAAATAGCACGTAATGGTGTTGATCAAACCTAATTGCTTTAATAGGTGATGCGAGACACACATGAAAGCTGGGTTAACAGGGCATCGACCAGTGATGACCCTGGCTGGGTATGACGATATAGATGTGACTCACACCATTGCAAGACACCATATGCTGACAATAGACAGTAGAATTATCATACAATCCCCATGTGGTTTACATTAATTAATGGCATATTGGCTAAAGGGTAAGAAAACAAAGAGGTGGGCCACTGGATTAACTTCCAAGAGGAGTCACGCTTTGGCTACAGATATGCATCATCAATAATATCTGTAAAGCATTTTGAGACCCATATTATTCCTTATTAAGCGCTATATCAATTCAGATTTATTATTTATTATTACTATAATTATTCTAGTTTCTTTCTTTTTTTCAGCTAGGGAGCTGTCCTAAACTTGAGTTGAAATAATAAGCCGAAAGTTTCAACTGAATACCGAAGTTGGTCAAGCAGTGGTCCCGTAATCCGGCAACCCGGGTTTGAAACCAAGCCAATGTGCTAGTGCCCTTTGGTAAGACATTTATCATCATTACAAGGTCCCTTGGAGAGGACCTAAAGCCGTCGGTCCTCTGGTTGCTTACTAACAAGCATTTATGCTTTCTTAAATCTCAGGTTAAATAACAACCAACCAACCTAAGCTGGAAAATGATTAAAATACTATTTTTTTAGATAAGCACTGAATATGGGTCTAGGTGGTTCTTGTCTACAGCCTACAGGAATGAGAGGATGCAGCAGTTAATGGGTTATTGGTTATTGAGAAAAGTGCATACCTCTGATGAATAGATTCCCGTCTTCAGTCATGGTAATCCTGGGGTTGATATCGAGGTGCGACTGGCCGACTTTCCTCCATGTAACGGCAGGTGGAGGATGCCCCATGGCGATACAAGTCACTGAGACGTTCATCCCGTAGTTAACACCAAGATCAATGGGCGGCTGCAGGATAATGGGTGAGGCTGAAGGGTAGGTGTGTGGAAAAAGACACAAATTGTTTATAGGAGTGTCGTGGCCTAGTGGTTTAAGGCAATTGACTGGAAATGCAAAGATCGAGGATAGGTATCCCAACACGGCACTAATATCCTATGGCAAGATATTAACCTGCACTTGCTACTCTCCCCCCAGGTTTTAAATGGATACCCGGTAGGATGTGACCGTCATTGTTGGTCAAACAGTTTTTGAGCGTCAAGTAACGCCTGGCTGGAATGCTCCCCAGGGAGTGGAGATTGTGCACACAGTGTGTGCGGGCAAGTATTGAATCTGTTTAGCGCTTTGAGTGCTATATAAAAGCGGACTATTATTATTAATATTATTTATTTAAGAAGAATTTTATCCAACACAAGATATAATTTCAAATCAAGGTAACATGTAACAGATATTATTTCTCAAATAATCAATAAAAGACAGCAAACATACTTTTGAGTATACATATATTTTTACGAGGGAACAGCCCGAGGGCGTTCACACCATACAGCACAGCTATCCTTGCTCAATACAATCCTCCCACTTTTAGACAAGGTTCTCGACATTAGCGGCCATGTGAACGTGGCCCAGGATCTTATCAAAGAGCAATAGGAAGGACGCTGTCACAGTCTCCAGACAGGGAATCTTCTTATGTTGTTTTAAGAGGGGGCAGTCTGAGGGCAGACGGTGGGCATTCCAAACATGAAACAGGGGCCATCTTTAGTCTACAGCAACGGCCGATCTTCAACTGGAAAGCATGGTTTACAGTAGTGAGGCTCACAAAACAGTCAGTAAACTTTGAGTTTAGGTCATGGTTCTAAACTTTTAAACAAATTTATCTTGTAGTTCAGGAGTTTGCAGAAGCCCTCGTGGTTACGAAATTTTAAGTTAACTCAAAGTAACAAACCATGACAGATTTTAAAGTTAGGGCGATAACTAGCTGGATTGTCTCAGTCCTTTGTGAACCATTGACAATGTTTGGACTATTATTTGTAACTTTGAGGTATCGCAAACTAAAAGTAAAACACTACGACACACTACCTGTGAACGTAGACAATCTTATCATGCCATTCACAAATTAAGCACAGTAGTACAGATATTGACCTTTCTGTTGATGTTCAAAAAAGGATTGTAAGAAGTATGCACAGAGTTAAACTCCTATACAAAAATAAAAGCAGGAAAGGACAAGATCATTTAAGTGCATAGAGTTTTTCGTTCCTACAAATGAACTGAAAAACTGAAATACATGTATATCTCTTCTTACCGGCAGTCATTTAAATGACTAAGTATAGCTCTGATGGAATATATGTCATTTATTTGTAAGAGTGAGTAAAAGGGTTAGGTTAAAAAGGGAGAAAAGAGGGACAAACAGAGAAAGAGAGAAAGCCAAAGAGAGAACAGAATGCTGCAAACAAACACCAAAACGTGAGCAGAAAGAAAGCAGAAAATAATAAAGATCTACTGCAATAATCATGTGGTAGACTAATGGCTCCATATCACTTCCTACTACATGTGTCGTTTCCTTTTAACTGACTTTAAAATGATTTAAAGTCAGCCCTGCTTTGAAAGAGTATTCTAAACCTACCTAAGGTACAAAATATATTGTTGGGTCGGGGCAATTAGCTTACTTTATTCCCTTCCACAACTTAGAATTAAATTAATACAATAAAAAATCAAGACGATTTCATGGATTATTACTATCTCTCGATCATCTCTTGGAATCAACATATTCTGAATCGTATAGTTTTCATATTCCTATAATATCTGTCCCATCGCATCATATTTCATTGCCTGACCAGGCAACAGAGACAGTGTATCACTTACATTTCTTTGTATTAATATTCTGGCAGTCCTTTTTTTAAGGGGGGGGGGGGTCGGGAGATAGGGAGGAAAGAAGTTTAGAGCAGGCAATTCCCATAATACAGAATGATTCCAAACACTGGAAAAACACCACTTGCCACTTATTGGATGGAGCACCTGTATCAGAACGAGCATGAATGATTTTCATAGGGTCCACAAGTTGTCACCTGTGCCTTTCATCAAGATTCACCAGTGTGATTTGACTATAATTAAGTTACTGGTTGACAGTTGTGAGAACATCTTTTTTTTTAAGTACACCAATTCTGAACACAAAAATTCATATAAATCATGTAGAAACTACTTAGATCCAAAGTGACAATAAAATAAGTTAAATGTACTAAATACTTACCATTGATTTTATGAATTGAGATTTAAATTGAGTGGTCTGAATTTATCGAAACTAATTTAATGTTAGGGTAAAATAAGATTATAAAGGAATGAACTGTTCAAGGCATCCTACAATGAAGTCTTTGGGGAAAATAAGCAGAGTTACGAGTTGAGCATCTACAGTGCATCTCGAGTCTGTTGTTGACTGTTTTTTGTAACAAATGACTGTCCGGAGTAGCAAAACACTTTTGTAACTAGTCATAGGTCATACTGTATGGTACCCTTTAAAACATGACATTGAAAACAATTTATCACTTCCAGAATGTGGTTAGAATTTACGATTGTTAGTACATTGAAACAATTTGTACTCTAGCTGTGGTCACTAACAAGCCAAAACAGACTGAAATGCTGTCAGCATGATGCAAAAACACTTTAAATTCTTTCCATACCTTCACTTAGTAGTTTGAACTTTCAAAAGCATGAAAAACAATGGATTGTCAAAACTGGTTTCTTCCAGACCCACCAACATGTTATCTTCACTTTGAGTTCAATGCTCTCAGAGAGACTACTAAAATCTAAACAATAGGATTGTCTCAAGTAGTAATGGTTCGGGAAGAAGAGCTATAGACCAGACACAGACAAGATATAATAACAGGCAATAGACCATCATGGCAGGGAGCAATTGGTAGAAAGTGGCCGGGTTGATAACCTACCCTATTATCCTTTGGGATATATGTATATATATATATATACAGGCCCATCCAAAAAGGGGGCCATCAGCTTTATTCGTGCATGTTTTTACTCTGAAAGAGGGGTGTCATTGCACCCATCACATCCCCCTTCCAACATGACCTGGGCCCAGTCTTACAAGGAGCTGCGATCTATCCAAATCAATCACAAGTTTGCAGTTTCCTATCTCTTACGTACATACCGTAGTTGCAATTGATATCAACTCTTTGTAAGACGGGGCCCTGGTTTATATTACATTATAAGTAAATAAGTAAAAGTGAAGATGATTTTTGGTGAGGATTGGAAGCAACTTACATCTAACTAGACGATCAAGTTTTATCCTTTTTCTTGTGCATTAAATGACAAATGACACCTTTCTAAATAGAAACCTACACCCCCTCCCAGCACTTGCCAACAATAATCTAGCAATACCAGCTGATTGTACTTATAACCAGCTTGTAGATTCCCAGACATAATCAAGCCGACACACTTCTGTACAATACGATACCTGACAAACCTGAAAAGTGAAAAGGGGGGCCCGGAAAAAGAAGCCAAGAGAAGGGGGGGCTGGAAAAGGGGCTGGAAAGGGGAGCCTGAAAACTGATATTCCTGAAGGACTTTTTTTTTGAGGAAAAGGTTTGTAAAAGCACTGGATGATCTTCATGATGAGACAAAGTGGGTCGAGCAGGTCTAGTCCTGACCTAATTTACTGGAAGATAACAAACCTGAATACCCTAATCCTAACTTCCTCTGGACAATGTTTGCATCCCATGCAATTGGGAAATGATTTTCTTCCTACGCGTCCGACACAAGTTCTGGAGAATAATGTCATCATAGAATGAAAGTCATGCTCAAAAAACAACCTGTCTCATCTACTGGATCAATAGTAAAGTATTTCTATGTTTCGAGTTAGAACTTAAAGGCTCGAAGCGCTCTTGAGTATTTACTGTGTGACAAAGAAAAAGCATATCTTTGCAATGAGAGGAAGCATAAACTTTTGTTTGAAAGTAAATGTTCCATATTTCTTTAACAAATTTAGCTATAATAAAATGCATATTTATCCTTACAAAATATTCCTGATTCATTCATAATGAGATATTCACTGTGATATGATTAAATAAGGTTTATCAATTCAAGTTAGAAATTTATCAATTTTCCACATAACTCACAAAGATATATTGCACACAGGGAACATCTAAATAGAAGACAATCATAACAAGACTTACAAATATTGAAGTAAGAACAAATGATATGATAAATAACAAATTCAAAACATGAAATTATATAATAGAGTATATGTGGGGGTGACAAATGCCTCAGGTCTATCTAAGGCTATTCCAGGCAAGATTTGGATAGGAAAATATCAAATTACTATCAAATTATAATTATGAACAATCAAGAACAACAGAATAAGTGAAACTACAGAATAATAAAAACAAAGAATAAGATATAAAATAATCTTATGGGTAAGTGAGATTTTCATACAGATATATTGTTTTGAGATTGAGAGAATAGGAACATAGATTTGAGAGATGATATCAATGTATTATTTTCATCTTTATTTATTGTTTTGAACAATCCATAAATATCCCAGAAAGACCCATGGTGTCAAGATCACATGTCAGATGGTTAACCCACAAACCACATGGGGTTAGGCCATTCGTGGAGGGACACATTCAGATGAGTTTAAGTCCACAACCCTACAGGAAACGTGAACAGACGGGTATAGTCTGTAGGTTACAGACTCTAAGTTGACACCTTGCCACAATTCCTAAAGCATTGAGCAGAGCCTAGCTCCTTCAGTCTCTGGCTGTGTCATGTTCGGAGGAACTAAACCAGAGAGCCTATGCCGTCAGCCTAGTCTCACCACCCAGACACACTTACGCACAGCGACTGACATGGGTTCGTGCCTGCAAACTACATATAAGACGGGTCAGGGATGATGAGACAGAGTGTTTGTCATCAAGAGAGATTTGATTGACAGCTCTGAGCCTGTAGATCTATCTGGCTGCCATCTCTTCCCTGTATGATTAGCATTCCAAGAAAAATGACACATGATCCTTCCCATGATGCTTTGCTTAATATAGCAAGGGAGGAGTGCATCATGAGAGCCAGTCAAAACAGAAGTTAAGTAGAACTGAAATGATTCAGGTTTCAATATTAATGCACTTAAACTGTCTATCAGAAGAGCAAGAATCTATTAGCCTTGATATTGTCAGGGTGATATTGAAAGTATAGTCCCTATCAGAGTAAAGGGCATAAAGGACTTTAAAATTTGTTATTCTTTTCCTTTTTTCAGATCTCATGCCCAGTTTATCATATATGTCAATCCTATTGCTTATCATCTGTAGAACAATTGAAGAACTTTTAACAAGGAAACCCTTCAAAAACCTACTAATTTTTTACTAAAATTAGGCATGCATTAATTTGTCAAACAAGAAAAACAGTTTTGTATAGCCCTCATAACTACTGTAACACACAAGATAAAACAGAAACATTAATTCTACTTCGAAGATAATTTTTAAAGAATTCATGGAAAGTTTGTTCAGTAATTTGCTTGCACTTTAGAAATAGGGCAGTAAATTTGTAAACAGCCCGAGGTTACTAACAAAGTAATCATATCACTTGTTATCAATCAAAATGTTTGTAGCTTAAAGCCCCACTGCACTACTTGTAGCTACTTGCGCCCTCTATATAGCAAACGATGCCTAAGTGGTGACCTTTGGTCCCCCATGGTCCCATTTTTCTTATGTTAATTGAGAGTCGATTTGATAAGATAACCACCTGCCAGTTACCATGCAGGGAGTTCTAACCCCTCCTGGGCAAACTGGTGCAGGCAGGCTTTAAGATTCACTCTCCCGATCTCTATACATACCGGCAATACCATCTGAAATTACTTGCACTAAGACCATGCATCCAGCAGGGAAGTTAATTTCCATTTAGTATCCCAAATGAGTAATGAATTAATCATACAAGCGCTAATTAACCATTAATAAATGTGCTGACATTTTGTATCTCTCACTACAAATTGGCAACACACGACTGACGTAACAGACCCATGATTTTAGGAAAGAGTGGCCCCCTGCGACTGGAGGGTAAAAAAGGTAGTGATGTCAATTAGAGCTGTCAAAACAGACAAGGTTGCATCAATTGTAAAGAGAGCCTTACTGTCTGTTAAAACTGTGAGGGTTTGTTTTGTAGTATTTAAAGGGATTGTTCATAAGCTTTTGGAATTCATTTTTATTTTATTTTCTAATGACATTGTATTTCAAAATTTATGGCGTAAATGGATGTCTCAGCTCCTCAACTCATTTAGGATTTTTTTTTTAAACTCATTAAATAGAAACACTACATATTCTCTTCTTCTATTGTTCTATTCTATTTCCACAATCGTACCGGTTTAACTTAGCCAATCTTTGTCATGAACATAACCTTTATTCCCTTTGTTAGAACTTCATTGTTTTCTATATATGTTTCTGTTTCATCTTCCTTTCATGATCTTGTTTTAATTTATGTACATTGTAAATCACATTGAAATGTTGAACAACAGGTGTGAAATAGGCTATAAAAGAACAAAGTATTATTATTATTATTTAGACTTTTTCCACCTGACAATGACATGGCATACAAAGAATAATTCTTTCATCTAAAGAAGTATATCACCTAATTTCTAATTGACATTGCATGAAGCCTAATGTTTCTAACGTTTGAATCCATGGTAGATTTCATATGCATGAACACAACTTGACTTTCATGTGCAAGAGAGGTTGAAACATTATATTTCAATTCTCTTTTCAACTCAGCTCACCCTTATCTTAGACTCTATTTTGTCTTCAACAGAGTAAACATAGGTAGGTGGCGTAGACGTAGAACAACAAGTTAAGGCATGTTCAGATATGATGGGAAACATGAAACGTATTACATTTTTGTCACAATTGAAATAAATCTTGGTATACCGCTGCACATGTGAACAAGGCTGTACCTTACGTCTTGGACAGTCTCAACACAGGTAGGTTAATAAAGTGCAGAGAGAGGGTACAAGCAGTTCATGTAGAGTGTACAATCAGAGGCATTGAGATAGCCAGACGGAGCATCGGACACTAGCAGAGGAAACTATCGAGACTCTTGAATCACCCTCCAGGGCGATGCTTGGGAGCTATAAGTGTCGGTGGTTAGAGGGTAGGAAATGAAAGTCACCACGTAGCACTTAGCAGGTATTAGGACTAATAAACTGTCTAATTATCTCCTCGGCAGTCATGACTTGTCACTTTCCCGCAGCGTGATCCCGATCGATCAGAGAGTTTTCTCCGCAAATCTGGCTTATATACCCTCAATCTGGGGTCATTAGATGCTTTAGTGATGCCTGTAGGTTTGTAGGTATACTGAGGACTCACTTGCAGCAATGGCTCAAACACTCGTAGAAACAGTGAGGTGTTTCACTTCTGTGATCCTTGACCCACATGCCATTTCTTCTAATCCAGTTTTACAGTATTTACCTGTAATTCAGACTAATCTCCAATTCTCCACAATATGCTTATCTAAATCCTAGCCATTTTTGAGAAATTAGACCCTTAGAGAAAGACCTGCAAAGTTACAGTTTTACAATTTAAAGGCATCATTCATATCGCCAGTTCATGACATTTAAATACCAAATTTTTTCATTTCATTTCATTTCATTTATTTTCATATTTCTCATAAACAAACATATACATGTACATTTCAAATAAAGTACAAAATTGTTTTTTTCTTCAATAATACATAATAATAACAAAAATAAGTGGTCAATGTGAATTACTGATTTAACTAAGAGAAATATGATGGGACCTACATGAAAGCAAGCTTGTAAAGCTGTAGGCCCCAGGGATGATCTAGGATCATCCCACGCCACCTTCAACTCGCTGTGCGTAATGATGAAGCACTCAACAAGCTTAATTAAGTCAATCTCCCTGACATAACAAATCAAATCAATCTCCATGACAACAATATCCATATCAATTTATACAAATTTCAAAAGGAACTAACCCTGTAGGGTGCTTAGCAAGTTACATAGAAGACATGCTACATAAAACACTCAGACATATAACACTCAAAAACAAAAACAAACAAAACTTAACAAATTCAGTCATTCGTCATAAACTTAAAGAGGGTTTAACCTTTTTCTACAACACATGCAAAAACGTATGGAAGTGAAAAATTAACAAGCAAATTTTGAAATGCAAAAGATTGACATGAATTACATATCAATCTTAATGTGTATGGATAGGAGGAGAAAGCAATTGAGACTTCTTATGCTTACATCCAACTTCAAGATGAACTGTCTCTGAGACCACGCCCGCCTCGTTGGTAGCATAACAGGTGTAGGAACCAGAGTCTGAGTCCTGGACCCCCATGATGTCCAGGTCCCCGTTAGGCCAGATCCTGGTGTAGGTGACCCTAGTCAGGTCTCTGTCCCCCTTGAACCAGGTGATCTCAGGAGGGGGTACCCCAGAGGTTGGGCAGGAGAGGGTTGCCTTCTGACTGGGCGGGGTCAGGTAACGGTACTGCGTCATCTGGATGCGAGGAGGCTCTGCAATTGATCATATAAACACATTGATATGAATACATGGTACTCTGCAGCCACAGCAAGAGGGGTCTTCTCCTAGCCATCTTTCTAGGTACATGTACGTGTATATGAACATCAACTGAAGTTGTTATTACTATTAATCACATCAGCCTTTACATGGCAAAAATCAAACAAGTTTATTTACTCACTAATAGAGTAGAAATGAGCATTTGCACATTCATTATGATCAGATGAACTACTGTAGAAGGCTATCTCTGGAGAGATAGGAACACCAGTTTGGTAATAAACAATCACCATGAAAGGAGACACACATGGGTTAGAGTCCCACATGCTCTATATATCCAAATTATGTAATATTTCAGAAATGTGTTTCCCATTGGTGCTACATACATTATAAACGCAGGCATAGAGATGATATAGTATGCCGAGGGCCAACAAGAATGAATCAAGACCCTTCCTGCGTTCAGCCTGACAAGCTTGGAACAGAGAGTTATCAAGGTTTGGAAGCGGACGGCTAGGGATCTTATGGATCTTCGTTCTTACCATGGTAGGATACATAGACGTTGAGTAAGTCTGAGCCGGCCGTGTTGCTTGCCAGGCAGGTGTATATTCCCTGGTCCTCTCTGGAGGCATTGAAGATTTGATGGATGATCTCTCCGCGCCTTGTCCCAGGCACGATGGGAAGCTCCTGGCCGTCCTTCAGCCATCTGAGCTCAGGGTGTGGGTAGCCATTGGCCGAGCATCGAAGGGTGATGTTCTGACTGGACGTGAAGGTCACGTTGCCTTGGTAGGCGTTGATTTGGGGTCGCTCTATATTGGAATGATAAAGGTAAGGTATAAGCAGTCAGACACACACTACAGCTTCTATCAAAATGTAGAAGCACAAAAGGATGCGTCCATAACGCAAAACCAGTTACATTTAGTGCTGCCATGAATTAAGAGTCCTGGGTACCGTTTCACAAAGCATTTTTTCAATGGCAAATGACAGAAATTAGTGACAAACCTGCTGATAACCAATCAGAAGCAAGGATTTCACTAGCTTATAACAAAAACTGTCATTTGTCACTGATGACAAGTTTTGTGAAATGGGGCCCTAAATTTCAATGCATCAATTAATTAACTGATTTAATTATTATTCACCAAATAATGTAGTTACAAGCTACACAATTAAATCATCTAGAGCGAGAAGGGGGTTAACTCATATAAACTTTAACATGGGGTTAATGCCCTTTTGGCTTTGAAAAGATGAAACGTGGCTGATGCTGTATCAGGGCTCTAACCCATACCTTGCACATAAAGATAGACGTGTTCCTCAGTGACTCCTCCTTCATTCCATGCTCGACAACGATAGGAGCCAGCATCACCAGGATGAACATCTTGGATCACAAGGGAGCCATTATTCATCAGGCTTACCTATGGAATAAGGTTTGATCAAAATTCAAGAATGAGTGGAAGATGACACAAAAAGACATTAAGAATCTACATACAATCTATCATATCCAGAGAGGTCAATGTCCACAAGTTCATACACTTGAAATTTAATTTTTTTTTTCATTTATGAGCCAGTATGATAAGAGTTTCTTTTGTCTGCTTTAAGTCTAACAATAATACATGTAATTCTTTTGTCAGAATAAATTGGCAAGACCTTAATGAAAAATTACTGACATTTGGCATTTATTCAACGTTTTATTTTATGCCAAAACATCAACAAGATTCTTATAACTCTCAACTTTCATTGTTTTCATCATTATTCCTTTCAAGCCTCATCCTCTATCCCCCCTCCCCCTTTCCCTTCACATATTTCTTCTCATCTGTTTATTATCACATCTTTTTCATATATCTACCTATTCGCAAGAGGAAATCAAATGACATACCACTTTACAAGGGAATCAGAACATAACCAATGCTCCGTAACTCAATTGAAATTCCTAAATCAAATCAGCCAACATGATATTTCTGGAGTGTGTCCAAAAATTGCAATTGCCTACGGTATACAACAAAGGATAATTCCCATGATTCTGAATTTCCTTGAGATTTCCGTTTACAATTTGTTAGAGATCATCTCATGTCACTGCATTGAGGTCATGATAGGAAGTACGCCATGTGTTTCTTAGGAATGACTTAAAGTGTAACCAATCAACAAACAAATGTTTTGTTCTGTATGTTAGCGGTTCCTTGTTGCTAGCTATATTTAAAAGTGAGCTTCAAATGTAACATATTTCATGAGACGTTGCAAGTTTATATATACACTTAACTAGCAAAGAAGCGGCTTGTGAGTAGACTAGTTGACGCACCAGGGGGGTGTTTCACAAAGGCTAAGATTTAAATTTAAGTTGGACTTAACTATGGCAGGCCTTTCATGCCACTGGTTGCTCTCACCATTGGTCTCTCAATTATGATATTTACTAAAGATTCTTTAGATTTTATTTTTTTCAAAAAAACTATCAAAAAAATGTAAATTCTGTAGATTTGTGACCATGATTTGTTAGTCCCTTGAGAAAGCAATGCCAGGAATGGTTAGAGGAACTAGTGGCATGAACGGCCTGCCATAGTTAAGTCCAATTTTAAGTTGATCTTAGTCTTTGTGAAACAATCCCCAGTACATGTACATGCTCACATAGAATAAGGCCTGTATGGAAACCAAGTCCAACTTGGCTTTGATGTGTGGGGCTTTATGTTATTCTTTATGTTTTCATGGAATGCCAAGTCAAATTTGTTACGCTAATTTAAAGTGTACAAATCAGTTGAATAAATCATTTTCTGTACAGCTAGAATATATAAAATCAGCCTTACAAACCTTGACCCAATATTCTATGGGTTAACGGTGAAGGAGTATGAAGAATAAAGGATTACATGTATTAACCCCATGCACGGAACCTTCACCTCACCTATGTGAGTACATACCTCAATCAATCTACTCAACCAGTCAATGATGATAAATGATGATAATACTCTACAATGCTACAAAAAAATGCTACGAGAATATAAGAAAGATAACTTCACTGTTGTGAATTTCAACTACACTACCTGTTTTGCCATGTGATGATAAACTCTACAATGCTATTTCTAAGAAATCTCTCATTTTTGACATAACATGCACATTCATGCGTCACTGCGACCTAAAGGTTATAGACAAGATAGATAGGCTTACTCTCAAGATTGGAAACCTTATACTACCTATTTTTTTCTCTCACTGTCTTCTATTTGATGATACACTCTACATACCTCACTATGACCTACAGACTACAACGTATCGATTCGATAGAGAACTGACACTGTTGAAAACTTCAACACCATGTATTTAAATGTTTTTTCACATTGTTTTTGTTTTTCAATGTTTTATATGTGATGATACACTTTACAATGCAGTAAAGTTGATAAATTGGATTTGTCTCTCTTTTGTTCCACCATATGCACATCCATAAGTCATTATGACCTCCAGTGGTTAACATTTTAGATAAGATAGGTTCATATAACAATCCATTAACTTTAAGTTTGGGTCGTGGTTAGAAATTGCATTTATTTTATAGTTAAGGATTGTGCAGATGCACTCGTCCTTTATTAGAAAACTTAAGTTTACAAGCAATCTTCAGGTTAGCACAAAACTACAAGCAGCAAGGGGTTCATATTCAAAGACGTTGTTTAACAATGTTTACAGTTTTACAAATCTGAGATGCATGGCCTACATGTTTTAAGTGTTTGTGATATGGTATAATATTGAAGCTCTATAATAAACAAATTGAGCTTCAAAATGATCATGAAGTGCTTCGCAAAAGTAAAAATCTTTGAGCGACAGGTTTTACCATACTCATTTCCCCAATAGACTGTAGTGTTATTCAAAACTGTTTTGCAAATGGTTTTTGACATTTCTAATTCCAATCCTAAATATCTTGATAATCAGACAGGCGATAGGTCATGGGATTCCTAACTGACCTAAAGGTTTATAATTATGATTGCAGCATGAGCTAACTCCAGGATTTCTTTTTAGAATCTGAGGCAAAGATACTCAATTCCTAAAGGTATGTGCCGTGCCGATGCAATTAACTTTGAGGTTACGTCACCTTGTAATTCTAAATGAATCCTTTCCCGGCTTATAGTTTAAAATTTGATTACTCATTGTTTCAGTCCTGAGTGGAACATCATCAATATTTAATAGTGGATCTTTTTTTGTAACTTTGAGGATTTGCAAACTAAAAGGTTAAAACTGTGACGGTTTGGTACGAACATATCTAAACTTACTCTGTTGTGGCCTTGTAGCGACACCAATGTATTTGGTTTATCCCATGTTATGTTATACTCTACAGTGCTGGAGATGAAACATGACATGACACCATCGCTACCAGGTAGGACTGATGTGTTGTAAGGTCTGGCAATCACTGGGGGTGGTTCTGTAATCACAAAGAAATCGTTCAAATTCATTAATAGTGTAAACTTATAAAGCGCACACACCATCCAGGGACATTCATGGCATTAGCCCAGCAACAGTTCTCTTTAATACAAGTTTTAAAAAATGTTTATTCAATAATCGAGTTATACCATCAGAAACTCAAAAACAAAATTGGAACATTTGTATCACCTATTTCAATCCTCAGCTTCGCCCAGTCATTAAATCTATACATATTAAGTAATGAAACTGGTACTTCATTTATTCTAAAAGGGTATCAATGCATACTAAACAAAACTAAACTAAATTACATACAGGATGAGAGAGCATGGATCTCAAGTTCAAGGTAAGCTATTTGATACTCATAGTACATGTATACAGAACAAGACTCAAAATTGAGAATTTTAAAGGCAAAACTATAATGAAATGGAGGACATTAAATAATACAATGTTCCCCTGGAATGTTACAATACTGAGTCTTAATGTATAATTTTTCATTTCATTTCATTTATTTCATTCTCCATAAAAACATTAAAACATACAAACATGGTATACAGATAAAAGATCGATTACAAGAAAAATACAAAGGGAAGGAGCAAACAAAATTTTATGGGAATGTGGGGTTAACAAAAAGGGCAATTAGCCTTATGAAGGTCAACCCCTTAAAAATTATACACTGTATTGTTGAGAAAAGAAAAAGGGAAGAGGAAAGCCGAGAGAATCTAAACACCAAAAAAAAAAAAAAAGGAAGAAGGGAAGGGGAGGGGGGATACATTAAAAAGTGCATTAACTGAAACGTAAGAGCATTTAAGATGAATAAAAGAAAAAGTCATATCAGCCTTCCATACAGTGCACTAGAACCCCCACCTTTTTCATTTGGGACCATGGTGTATTACTTCTAACTCATCCTTAATGGCTTTTCGTCAACTGAACAATTAGCAATTGGATTCCCAAAATCAAGGAAAAAGAATGGACTCTGCCGGTTTCTAAGAGTTTGGATAAACATGCCACTGTCACTATACATGGACAGATTTTTATTTTAATACATGATGGAAAAGAAAACCAGAGAGGACAAACTGTATCCATGACTGTAACGAAAGGACAGTTTAGGGTTCAAGGATGACAGTGTGTGATACCTGTGATATCGAGGTATGTCTCTGATCGGGCACTTCCTTCTTCATTTTCTGCTATACAGGAGTACACCCCTTCTATTCGGCTATCAGAGTTCTTTATAGTCCAAGTTGCGCTACCAGTTTCGCTGTAAACAGACCAGACAGGTAGATAAATAAGAAAATTTAGAATAGTCTTTATAATAATAATAATAATAATATTTAATTTTTATATAGCGCTTAATACAAATGTCTATAAGTGCTCTACAAATATACCATTACTAATGGTTTTAACACTAGACCTTGTTTTACATAATTAATATTCAGTAATTTTTTAATGTAGATTCATGACAGAGGCACACCTGCAGTGACACAATATTTGAGGTAATATTTTTGGTCAATTCACTATTGGTTATTGCATTTAACAATGACCTATACATAAATGTGATTCACACAAAAGTGCAAAGTACACTGTTGGTCATAATGGTGGAATATTTATTTTTACCCCAGTTTAGGGAAGGATTTAAAAAAAAAAAAAAATTCTAATAGATCTAGATAATGGCATACATTCTCAGATTTTATTGAATATTAATTTGCGAGTGTTTGTTTTGCGTGACTGTTAATCTTATGTGTGCTACTATGCTAATCAGTTAAGGGACCTACGTCCTTCAGTCATAATTGACAGTAATGAGGATTAATGCCTCACAAAAGGGCACTAATATATAGCTGATCGACACGATTTTTATCCTGGGGCCTCACAGTAACGAGGCCATTGCTTAGCCCCTGAATCATGACTGTACGCAGTGTTTGCTAGGGTACGCGGCCCCTTCGACAAATCCCCCAAAAACGAAAAAATGCAATAAATTGTCAAAAATTCATTGCATTTTCCCCCGGCCCCCAACAGGAAAAATTCCTCTGTAGGGCCATGCATTATGGTTCAAGGCATGGCCACACAGAGGAATTTTTCCTGTTGGGGGCCGGGGGAAAATGCAATGAATTTTTGACAATTTATTGCATTTTCTTCGTTTTGGGGGATTTGTGGAAGAGGCCGCGTACCCTAGCAAACATTGCGTACAGTCATGATTCAGGGGCTAAGCAATGGCCTCGTTACTGTGAGGCCCCAGGATAAAAATCGTATCGATTAGCTTTTTTAGTGCCCTTTTGTGAGGCATTAATCCTCATTACTGTCAATTTTGATTTAAGGACGTAGGTTCCCTAGCTGATTAGCATAGTAGCACACATAAGATTTAGCAGTCACGCAAAACAAACACTCGCAAATTAATATTCAATAAAATCTGCGAATGTATGCCATTATCTAGATCTATTAGAAATAAATAATTAAAAAAAATCCTTCCCTAAACTGGGGTAAAAATAATTATTCCACCATTATGACCAACAGTGTATTACACATGTAAGATCAAATTTTTAAATAGCTATAAGACCATATTTACAATTTTAGAGCTACATGTATATCTGTAATATTCCTTGTTTCCTAACAATGAATATGTGAAACATGCGTAAATACCCTTGTCACACTACCAAACCAACTCAAAACCCAATCCACACTGCCCGTTTTTGGCCATTGGGGGTAATGTAAATGTGTGTTCATCTGTAGTTGGTCTGGTGTCGGCCACGTTGGTTTGATTGAAGTATAAATTTAATTTGTTTATGCTAGGTAGCTTAGTCAAATGTAGAGGCATAAAAAAAAAAGACGCGTCCGGAATGCAAATTGCATAATTGTTGGAAATCAGTATTTTACCACAAAGAGGTAGAATTAGATCGTCAGGATATGGAGCTGGTAAATGCATGTACCATCTTGACTAGGTGTAATGTTAGCTAAACTTTCTTTCAGATATGTCCAAAAAGAACATTTATATGACAAACATTAAACTATTTTTCTAAGTTACCATCCTGAAATATCTACATGTATAAGCTCTGAGGAATCACCTACCTGAATTCAATAGGTCCATCTAGGGGAGTTCCCCTTCTCATCCACCGGACGGTGAATGGTATCATACTCTCAACATCACAGGTCAATATAGCATCCATTCCATAATAACCTGGTGTCCTTCTCGGCATGAAGGTTGTTGGGGGGTCTAAAGATATTCAAGATTACAAAATAACGATAAATGAGTCTATCACATGATCTACATGGTCTAGAGGAAAACATTTTATTCCACTCTGCACAGAAGCAGACTTCATCAAGGAACTGGATATTATTTAATTGAGAGGATGAAACATTTACGATGATTAGGTTTTGCCTTGAGCCATGATCTCTTCATAAAAATAGGTGCTCTTCATTGGAGCAGGAGGAAACTTTATTAAATAAGTTGTTTGTTTCATACCTAATCATCCACAAGGTCTAAAGCTCATGAATCTATAATGAGACAAGTCTTCATTGGGTAAAACTTGTTTTTCTCACAGTTACACTCCTGCTGTCATATTGCTGAAGTTCAAGTTTTTGATTATATTGAATAAGCTACTCGTTAAAGGTTTACTTGGTTTTTATGACCAACATGCAGACTACAGAAATGTGAGTACATGTCAGGAAAACCTTCCAGACTCAGATACAAAAAAATCTGCAGTGTATTCAGAACATTACAACAAGGATTGTAAAGAAGGCTTTCAAACATGAGCATGTTACACCTCTTCTTGCATATTTCTTTTCTTTGACAAAATAAAGCATGGAGTTAATGTCAGAGTTCATGTTGGATCACCATTAAACAAGACACGATTCACTAACCTGGTATAAGAGGACTGATAGCTGCTTTGGAGAGTCGCTGGAACCTGAAGTTCATGCTGTCGATACCCGATACCCTGATGTGGAAGTAGCTATCAGGTGGGATGGTGCGAGGGGCAATGTAAAGGTCTGGATTCTCTGTGCTCTGAGTAAGGCGCGTCTCAAAGATGGTCTCACCCCTCAGGTTCAAGAACTCCACCTTCTCCAGGATTCCTGGAGGATTCAGATGAAGGGCCTCGATCATCAAGTTAGAAGGAACACCTGAAAAAGGTAGAAAAAGAAGTGTATGTATGTATGGTACTGAAATAAACACATAATATCTTAACAAAGGCATGTCATTATCTGGCATTTATAGAATAAATGACTGTATCTCTCTCTCTCTCTCTCTCTCCAACCAAAGCAAGCCATTGCAGAAAAACCCTTATATGCTTGAACCTGGAAGACTCCTAAAAGAGGAGTTGTGAAATGATTTCATTTTTGCCCTTCCAGCAGTGTCCACTGACAGATGCTTTGTTTTCAAAGTCTTCTAGAAAATCAGTGTAAAATCCCAATCTTAATATATATTTGTCTCTTATATTATAATGCTTGACAAACTTAATGTAATTAAATTTTATTAGTTTTAAGTGAATCAAATATCAAGTCACATAAATTACAGGATACAAAAAACTTTCAAAAAGTGGACCTACCTCTGATGGGTCTATGGAAGGTGTTGTTTAGGTCCGACGTGGGGTTCCTAGCGAATCCAAAGGCGAAATCCAGAAGACTAATGGCTGTAACACGCACCGTATGTTCCTCTCTAGAGTTTGTTATCAGCTCATAGGTGCCCGGAGACGGCTCAACCATTCCAACTACATACACATTTTCTAAAGTTAATAATTCCTCTAAATACTGCTGTCCACCGTTATATCTTTGTGAATTTATCAATGGTATGTCTCTACCTGCAAAAGAAGGACAAAGGAAATCATTGTTTTATTTTGCACCACAAAGGGAGTGAAAACATATATACAGTAACTGAAATTAAAAAATAAACAGAACTAAATACATAACATCTCACACCTACAGCAGAGTTAACTCTGAATCTTGAAATACATGTAGTAGACATAACTGTAACCCCTTCCATACTGTGGGGTTGTGTGGGCAGCACATCCCATTAAATATTGTTGGCGTAAAAATATTTTGTTAGGATCACAATCGGTCAAATTTCTTCTTTCTTTCAAATTTTAAAGCAAAAAGGTAAAACCAATGTAGCCTCTTTTATTTAAAGAGCTCAGTTATGGAAGTCTTAGAGAAAAGGATGAAGGAAGGCAAAATGCAAACAATGTAAGGAAGTGAAACAAATACAAATTCTGGACACAATTCCTCTTGTTATTTTCATCATCACTACCACCCCCATCATCATCATCATCATCATCACCATTCATCATCATTATCATCATCTGCATTATCAAATTCATTACCAGAAGCCAAATTATGAAAGGAGGTACTATCTTTGTCTCAAGCAAGCAGCTCAAGGAGGATATGGACTTACCCCTAGGATCTCTAAAAGTGACGTTCCTACTATCACCACTGACAGAGATGGTGATCTGGTTGATCCTGGTGTCTATCGGAACCTGATGCACTTGAGTGGCCCCATGCTCATAGTCGGTTGACAGCAGGTTGACCTTGCGAGATTGCAGAGATATTTCAACAAATCGCAACACCTGCAGGAAAGGACAGAAATGAAAAGGGGTTCAATATTTGTCAGCATTATAGATATGGAGCTACACTACTCATCGGTTGGTAAACTGTTAGTGTCCTTGAATGTGTCAGATACACAGATAACATGGAAGTTTGCAAGCCGTCCACATGTGTCCTTTGGGAAAGGTACTGATCCTTGATCACCTCAATGCATACCAATAAATACATACTGTACATATTAGTAGTTTTAGTACTGTATTAAAATATGTGACTGAAGTCATGATATCATAAGGTGCAATAAAATTTCCTTCTAAAAATGACATGTACATTGTACAAAAGATGATTACATGTATTACACACTACAATAAATATAGGTTCTAAGCACTAAAATGCATTTTCTTAGTCTTTTATCTCATTTAAGTTTTGATCATATATTGAAATAATTGCTATTTTATCTACTGATTAAGTTTATAAAGGCAAAATACCACTGTTGAATTAGGAGGACAAACACCTAGACACATGGCTTCCATGTTTCCACACAATGGTCTTCATTGAGACAGGGATGCTTCCCATACAGAATGGTAGACATGTAGATGTATCTCTATAAGTATCTTCATTGTGACAAGGGTATTTCAAGTATATGAACACTGGTAACTATAAACTGTTGAACTTTAACCTTCAAGTCTCTTGAAAATGGTAGGTCCACATAACAATATGAATGAAATAACCTTTCATACATTCATAAGAATCTTACACTGAATGTTTTTGACTAAAATAAGATCTGCAAAATAATTTTGGTGCAAAATACATACCATAATACCGGTAGCTGGGAAATGAGCAAAGAATGATATATTAAACTGAGCTACCAGTTCATTTTAGGAGTGATTACTGCATGTATAACTAACAAGTGGTACTGTACATACATGCAAATGTGAAAAAAGCTTTACTGGCCAAAAGCCTATAGTAACTATGAAATTCAGTTACCATAACTCAAGATGAGCTTTAAAGCCATCTACACTACCGGTAGTTTGGCCAGGAGGGATTAGACCTCCCTGTATGGTCACTGATAGGTAGTTATCTCATCAAATCAGCTCTCAATTAACATAAGGAAAAGGGGACCATGGGGGACCAACGGTCATCGCTTAGACATTGTTTGCTATATAGGGCGCAAGTAGCTACATGTATAAGTAGTGCAGTGGGGCGCTTTAAATGGCACATTCACAAAGTAGGGGAGGGGTGGGGTACTCTCCTTCACTCCTCCCTTATCCTTTGACATTTACCCAGACTGAAGTATTTATAGAAGATGAGCTTCCTACTGTCTACGATCCCGATCAGAATATCAAGATCAATATACATCATCTTTACACTGCTCTAACTGCATTCCATAGAAGATCTTCCTATGACCTTCTAAACCTTCATAGGTTCAAACAATTCAGGACTGCTTTTTACAAAAGAAATAGAAACACATGTGTTTGGAATACTCTTCTTCTATGACAATTTTCCCAATTCCATTCGCATCAATTCAATTTTCAAAGGAAATCTAATGGTTTAAAATATTCTCTTTAAAATGGTCTAAAGTTTACATAGTATGCAAAATACCTTTGGGTTCATTTGATGCCTTTACAGTACGAAGTTAGAATTTCTTGCTTTATTTCATATTTTCTATATTTCCTTCGAAGGCTGTTTCTAAATTTCATCTCTGAGTTAAATTGTTGTATGCTGCTGAATATATCATTGTATCAATATTAACATGGAGTGAACTCGAGACTGTAATAAAAAGTAAGTATGAGTTGAAGTTTCTCATACATTACCATCAGTATCAATTCATTCTCACATACAACATGTATGTACATATATATGCAAGTCAAATTAAAGCTATACCTTCTTAAATTGCATCATCAAGCAAGGCTCTATTCAAACTGAAAACAATGAGATTATAATCCACCTGTCTTGTAGGCAAGTCATGGAGGAACCCCCTTCTTTCCTCATTATCTTTACTTTCATTTATTAATCTTTGTAGTCCCTCAAGTCTCTCACAATTTCCTTTCGTATAATTAGCAGGAAATCACTGTTTCCCTGAACGGCAGCGTGATAGAAAGGCACCGACTTGATAGCACAGTGGACTACCATTTTGAAAGCAAACAGTAATATTTACCTGGGACTCAGAGAATTGGCTATGTGAAGAAAACAAATAATAAAATGATAAAATGTGGCTTGTATATCTCTATATTAGCAATGGGATTTTAATCTTTACAAATTTTGGATTTACTAAAAACTGTGGTAGTCCTTTCAAATCATCCATCAATATTGCTAATATTGAATGGGGACAAAATACCACTTAACTCTTTATGCGCCACTTAAAAAACCCCCCTGTGCCACATTCTTTTAGGGTCACACATTTCGAGGGAATCTTTATTGACTCTGCTGAATCAAGAGGCTATAACTCTTCACTGGATGATCATGATGAAAAATATTGTGCAGCAAAGTTGTAGACCGGAAAACGTGCTTTTCGATGAACCGTCATTTGTTATATTTTGAATTATCATTTTTATAATAATCATAATTATATAATGTTTAATTTTTCTTATTTACGGCAGTTTTTTATCCCTCTAGAATTTCTTATTTAGCAATGATAAGACATCTTCAAATCGAATCTATTAGAAAGGTGGACTTCTTACCTTTCTTTACATACCTTGCTCAAGTATTCTAACAATTCAGAAGGTTAGTATTTAGGTTGTTGAAGAAAAGAAGTTCAATAGGGAGAGACTTGAAAGTACCCCGCTCAGCCACCCTTGACAATGGGCTAATCTGCCCATTGAAATCCCTATTACCCCAGGTTATTGTCAATGTCCGGTTTAGCGGGGCATGAAAAGGGACGTCGTGGGGATGTTTTTCTTTGTTGTGCCATGATAAGTCAATAAGAAATAAGAGAATGTTATTGATTTTGCCCACTGGTATGAGCATGTAAAAATGGTATAGGCATAATATATTATATGTGATATACATGACATAATCAGCATCTTATTGAAATGTCTCATTATGAATGTTCACCGCATCTGTTCTCTCACCTTCTTTACCCCTCAATAAAATTGATTTCAAGTACATTTATCACAGCCATAGATATACAAAGAAAGAATGAATCAATCTTAAAATATAAACTATATTGCATTGTTTTCCATTTACTTTATTGTGAGAGAGCTTATTATCAGAAATGATTGACGAGTGGAGTATGCAATGAATAAAATATGGAGAACGGACGTGAGAGACATTATGAGAGAGAAATAGTGATATGAAATGAAAGGACTTTACTGTGAATAAAGATTATAAGAGAAAGAGATAAAGATGACGGCAAGACAGGATACATATTGATACGAAAATAACAATAATAATGAGATAGAGATGACGGAAAGAAAGAGAGTAAACACTGATAGCATAAGAATGAATAAAGATAATAAGAGAAAGATATAGAGATGACGGCAAGACATAGGGTACATATAGATAGGAAAATGATAATAATAATAAGATAGAGATGACGGAAAGAAAGAGAGTAAACACTGATAGCATAAGAATGAATAAAGATAATAAGAGAAAGATATAGAGATGACGGCAAGACATAGGGTACATATAGATAGGAAAATGATAATAATAAAAAGATAGAGATGACGGAAAGAAAGAGAGTAAACACTGATAGCACAAGAATGAATAAAGATAATAAGAGAAATATATAGAGATGACGGCAAGACATAGGATACATATTGATAGGAAAATAATAATAATAATAAGATAGAGATGACGGCAAGAAAGAGAGTAAACACTGATAGCATAAGAATGAATAAAGATAATAAGAGAAAGATATACAGATGACGGCAAGACATAGGGTACATATAGATAGGAAAATGATAATAATAATAAGATAGAGATGACGGCAAGAAAGAGAGTAAACACTGATAGCATAAGAATGAATAAAGATAATAAGAGAAAGATATAGAGATGACGGCAAGACATAGGGTACATAATTATAGATAGGAAAATGATAATAATAATAAGATAGAGATGACGGAAAGAAAGAGAGTAAACACTGATAGCATAAGAATGAATAAAGATAATAAGAGAAAGATATAGAGATGACGGCAAGACATAGGGTACATATAGATAGGAAAATGATAATAATAATGAGATAGAGATGACGGCAAGAAAGAGAGTATTACACTCATAGCATAATAATGAATAAAGATAATAAGAAAAAGATATACAGATGACGGCAAGACATAGGGTACATATAGATAGGAAAATGATAATAATAATAAGATAGAGATGACGGAAAGAAAGAGAGTAAACACTGATAGCATAAGAATGAATAAAGATAATAAAAGAAAGATATAAAGATGACGGCAAGACAGGATACATCTTTCTTTCATTAGTTTTATTCATTCTTATTCTATCACTGTCTACTCTCTTTCTTGCTGTCATCTCTAGCTCTTTCATTAATTTTTATTCATTCTTATTCTATCAGTCTACTCTCTTTCTTGCTGTCATCTCTATCTCTTTCTTTCATTATTTTTATTCATTCTTATTCTATCACTGTCTACTCTCTTTCTTGCTGTCATCTCTATCTCCTTCTTTCATTTTTTTTATTCATTCTTATTCTATCAGTCTACTCTCTTTCTTGCTGTCATCTCTAGCTCTTTCATTAATTTTTATTCATTCTTATTCTATCAGTCTACTCTCAGGGAACACTTTTATCACTAGAGTCTTCGTCACTGCTCGATTCGTCGGAATCAGAGTCCATGCTCCATGCTTCCATAGTAACAAGATCTCGAGCCTCCTCTACACTAAACACACGTTGACGTTTTCCAGCAGGTGCCATCGTAACATCAGTAAAAAAAATCCAAAGAAAACCGCTAAATACACGGTAATTTCGAATGTAACACTATGAAGAAAAACAGTTTACCGGAAAGTGTGCGATGTATACAATGTAAACAATAGTAAACGCAACGCGTGGCTACACACTGCGAGCGGTATT